CCACACCCGTGTCTAATCCGGGGTGTGCGCTGCCTTGTCTACGTGTGCTCCCCGCTGCCCGAAACGCTCCTTCCGGAGGCCCCCAGACCCCTCTCTGCCCTCTCCTCCCGTCTCCCCAGCCTCCCACCTTGGCACTTCCTGTCCGTCTCCAGAACATTCTAACACTGGTGGCCCCTCTCTCTCTGTCTCTGATCAATCTCATCTGCTCTCAGGACCTTAAACCCCGTGCGCTGGCAACTCTCCAACCAAAGGCAGGAGCCCTTCCTAGAGGAGGTCCTCACAGTCTCTGGTGACACCTACTGGCCCGTGGGCCCGTCCCCTGGAGGAACTTCTGGGCCCAGGCTTAGCTGGGAGCGGGAGGAGCTTGGGGCTGGGCTGAGACACTCAGTGGCTGTGGTGAGAGAGAAGGGCCCTGTTCTGGGCTCAGTGCCAGTGGCGGGCAGGCTGTGTTTGCAGTCTGCCCACCCTGGGAGGCCCCGGCTGCAGGTAGGTGGGCACCGGACTCGAGGGCACTGAATGCTGCCGGCTCAGGGAGCAGCCCCTTCTCCGAGCCAGGGCCGCTCAGAGGCAGCAGGGCCCTGCAGGAGGCGCCAGCAGGCTGGCTATCCCAGCAGGCCTTGCAGACAGGCAGCCTCGCCGACGGGCAGGGGTGGAGAGCCTGGCAGACACGCTGGCTGACGGGTCATTCACTGGTGCGTGGCCTCCAGCACCTTCCTGCCGTCTCTGTGCCTTTCTCTCCGCTTCTGTAGCCGCAGCACCTGCCCGCGAGGCTGTAGCCAGGACCCCAGTGGGTGTGCGAATGTGTCCATGGCGCAGAGCCGGCCCTCCGCAGGTCTGCCTGCTGGTCACAGTGACTCCGTCCCCCGCAGGGCAGGCGAGTGCCCGGACTGGCGGCACTCGTCCCCAGGAGCCCTAGGACCGTAACGTTATTCATGCCGTCCCCGGGGCCCGGCCAGCGCCGTGTCTGCTGCCTCTGCACAGCGGGAATGTGGGGACCATTTCCTGGCTGGCCTTGGAGCCGCGCGGAGCTGTGCCCCGCACCTGCTGCTGGCTGATTCATCTCTTCCCTCCTCCGCCGCTTCCCCGCCCACTTGGACTGCCATCATCTCGCCTGTGCTGGGAGGTGATGGATGGGCCAGCACTGGTTCCTCTCCCTGCTCCCCAAGCCCAGGCTCCGCTCCCTGCCTCCCCAGCCCTGCCCCTCTCCTGGACTAGGGCCTCTGTCTACCCCCAGTTCTAGAGGCAGGTAGACCTGTGCTTAAATTCAGACACTCCAATCTCATGAGTTGCTCAGCCTCAGTTTTTACATCTGTGTAATGGGAACAAAGGGACCTCCTAGAACGGTCGTTGTGAATAATGTCCCCAGCTGGGTGACGGCATGCAGTAGGGGTGCAATAGTTGCCGGCACCCTCTTTTCCCAGCTGGCGACGCCCTCGGCTGAGAGCCAGGGCCCGGCCAGCTGTGTGCTCCCAGGCGGTGGTGGGTGTGTCAGCGCAAAGCGGAAGGACACCGGACACCACCCTGCAAGCCCTCCTCCCTGAACTCGCAGATGCGCCCCCTTTGCCACCGGAGGACGAGCTGAAGAGTGTCCTGAGAAACTGTCCTGGTGCGTCCCCTTGGGGCGGCAGACCTGGCCCGCCGGAGCCGGCCTCCTTTGAGGGCTGCCGGTGAAGCAGAGCCCGTGCGGGGGGAGGGGAGCCCCCTTTCTCCCCAGAAGTCTAGGGTGCTCTCCTTATCCCGAGACCAAGGGAGAATGAATGTCCGTGGGTGGCAACAGATGAAGCGACCGGCGTGTCCTTTCTGGTGCCCACATTTTCAAGGAGGAAACTCAGCTGACTCCCCGGTAGAGAACCGCACACACAAGGTTTCGATTCCTCAGAATGTACCCCCGTCCTTAGTTCCAGGAGAATAACAGGCCTGTTCTCACCACCCTCGTTAATCATCCTCAGGCAACAGATCCTTTAGCCTGGCTCATCGGTGCAGCTCGGAAGATGCCTGTGAGTGTGCAACACACTCAGCCACGAATGAAGAACACCCGACAGCAGTGGCTTAGACAATCGAGTTAGCTTTTTCCTGTGCTTTTCACCTAGGCCAGGGATTTGGAGACCTCTCCTCGGTTCTCCTAGACAGCCCCCCCCCCCATGTTACATCCTACATTCAAAGGAGGAAGAAGGGGAAATAATTTGGCTAAACCATCTACCTGTCTGTCCCTTTGTACCAGGAAAAGCCAAAGATTTTTAAGCAAACTCCTGTGATTTGTTTCCTTGTCCAGAACTGGGTCACATGTTCGTCCCTAGCTGCAAGGGAGGCTGGAAAGATGGGGACCAGAGTAACCATCCATGGCTTAGACCAACCCGCTGTAGCTTTGCTCCTTGGGCTGAGCACTCTGCCATTCTGAACAGAAGTGACGTTCTTTTAGCCAGGAAGATGCTGGGAAGCAGGGCCAGGCTCTCGGGGTGCCTGCCCCCCCCCCCAGCAGGGGCCCAGGGGCTGGCGAGCTCTCCTCACTGGCTCACCGACGTCGTGACGAAGCCCATGCCTGGAAGGTGGTCCAGGCCATTGTTCGGCGTTGACTTCTCAGCTCAGGTGTCACTGGTCATTTCCGTTCTGCATGAACTCAAGACCTGTCCGCACCTGGAGGGCAGTGTAGATAGAGCTGACTGAGCACCAGCCAATCTGCAGACTCCCACCTGCTGGGGAGACAAGCAGGTGCACCGGTGCCTTCAACATGGCACCACCAGCTCTGGGACATGGGGGGGGGGCTCCTCACCCAGAGCGGGGACTGGGAGCAGGGCCCTGGTGGGGGCGCAAGGCTAGGAAGGCTCTCGGAGGTCGAGAGGGAGGAGCTGTGAAGCCAGGGATGCGAGGTGTCCTGGAACGTCTAGGTTTTCTCGCGTTCGCAGGTTCTGAGTCCGCACCACAGTCAGCCCACGAGTGCCCTGAAGGCCTGTGACTTATCTGTTGTCCCTGTTGTGTGTCCTCAGAACCACCTCAGAGCCTGGAGCTTATCGGAGCTCTATAAATATTTGGGTCTGAATACATGTGCTCCAGCAGAAATAAATAGATCATTATCCAAGACACGGAAATATCTTGGCCAAAGGGGTAGTTACGGGCTCCGAGGGACTTCGGGTGCTAACTCTCCCTCCCTGCCAAGCAGGTGAACCCCGGGTCCCCCCTCCCCATCCCTGGGGAGCTGGCTGGAGGGGGTATTTTGGGAGCCATTTGTCCTGACTTAAGGAAGTCGGCTAAAAATCGCCCCTTAAGCTTCTACGAGGCTAGTGTTAACCCAAAAGGGGTTTGGCAGCTGGTGTGGGGAGTCCGGTTCCCGAAAGCAGTGCAGGCAAGTTCTAACACCTTTGGAAAGGGTCTCAATCTTTTCTGTGTTCAGGGTCTTCAGACTGTCCTTGCCCGTTAGGGTTCGGGTATCGGGCCCTCCCTGGGGACAGTTGCAGAGACCAGACTGGGTGGCGTTGCCTGCCCTGCGCTCCAGCTGCAGCCTCCAGGGGTTCGCTCCTCCCCAAGGCTAGGACCTGTGAGTCAACTCATTTCAGATGACGCACTGTCCCCAGCCAGTCACTCTGGCCCGCCGCCAAAGTTAAAGCAATGGCCTGTCACCCCGCAGCTGCTGCTGTCCTGGGCGGGGCTGTCTAAATATTGCGCGGTGCCGGAGCCCTCGCTCGCATTTGGTCCTAGACAGACAGCGCCGTGCTGGTTCCCAAATAACCTCTTCCATGGGGCTTGTCAGACCTCCCGGTGCCTTTTAGGATAAACATTTAAAATAGCTCCTCCTAAATCAGGACCGAGCCCAGGCATTCCCCTCGCTGCTGACTGGCAGGGGGGCCCCAAACCTGCCCTGCACTGGGACGTTTACGCGAAGAGGCCATGGTGCGAGGAGCCGACAGGGTGGCGGATGTGCCTATGACATGTGGTTCTAGGGACAATGTGTGCCACCAAGTTGCTTCATGGGCGGAGTCCACACTAGCTGCCAGGTGTCAAGGGGGCGTGGTCTAGCCCCACCCTCCAAGCAGCCCTGGGGCAAGCCTGTGTCACAGACGCTCACTAGAGAGTAGGGGACCTGGGCCTTTCAAGTTCAAAGTCAGTGCTCTGTCTGGGATTTTGGGGGCAACTACGAGTATGTTTTCCTTCCAGTTTTTTCCCTTTACGTGAGGAATCATGAGGAAGTTTAGGCACTTATGTACTATCCTAGAATGAAGTATTTTTTACTGAAAGACTTACCCTGTTGCCTTCGTATGACTGGGCGGTCTGCCTCCTTCTGGGATTGTACCTGAAGCTCCGCAGGGTGGCATGAGACCCTTTCTGGCTGGCCCCTGGCACCTAGGGCCCGTTCCATGGACATGCCACTGGCCTGGATGTTCACCTGTAAGTTTATGTCTTTACTGGTGTGGTTTCCTCAGCCAGTGTCTCTGTCTGGCTGCGTCTATGCCCCTTCCAGAGGCTCCTCCAGCGTCACCTTCCCGGGAGCCGTCCTGACCTCCACATGCTGGGCTGGGTGTGGTTCTGAGCCCTGAGTCCCCCAGCAACTGTGCCTTTAAAAAAGTTTTTATTGGTTTTAAAGAGAGAGGAAGAGTGAGGGTAGAGAGAGACATCGGTGTGAGAGAGATACATTGATCGGTTGCCTCCCGTTGAACCAGAAACCTGGGCATGTGCCCTGACCAGGAATCGAACCGACCAGTGACCTTTCGGTACATGGGACAACACTCAACCGACTGGGCCACACTGGCCGGTGTGCAACCGTGCTCTTTTCTTATCACACTGGGATCATGAGGTTTGGTGTCTGGCTCCCTCTCGCGCGGACACTCTGAGCTCCGCCTGGGTAGGGACAAGGCCCTGTCCGAATCTGCATCGGCTCCTGGGCCTCCTGCAGGCTGGAGGTGGGTGGGGGTAGGGCGGAGGGAACCGTGTGAGGGCAGGTCCCACAGAGTAACTGTGGGTCACATTTGCATTTGCTCATGCCTCTCTGTTTGCTCCTGTTCGCTCAGACGTGCTCTGCCCCAGCGTCCGCGTGGAAGGGGATCGCTTTAAGCACACCAACGGCGGGACCAAGGAGATCACAGGTAAGAGAGACGCAGCCCACGCTCGCCTTGCTGCACCCGAGCGTGGCCCTGGTCCGACCAGGGTGGCCTCGCCGTCCTGTCCCGTGCCTGCCTTAACCTCAGACCCGGCAGGTGGCCTGCACTGCGCGGGTGGCAGCCCCCCGACCGACCGCCGGCCGCCAGGACAGGCTCGCCTTCGCCGGGGCGCTGGTGACCCTCCCTCAGGAGGCAGTGAGCTCGGTCTGTCTGCATCAGCACGAATGAGTGGGCGCAGAGCCGGTGAGTGAGTAAGATGATAGGCAGGGCGAGCCGAGAACGGAGGAGCGCGTGGGGCTGAGTCAGCTGTAAATATAGGAGCGACTCCGCGTGCGAGGACAAAGGGTCACGTGCCCGAAGCCGCTCCTCCAGGCCGTCTCTACGGGTCCCATGGGGGACAGGCGGGCATGGCTCAGGTGGCCTCCCTGGCATTCTGCAAAGCACTTTAGGTGCCTGAGCTCAGAAACAGCAGCCCTGTTCTCCTCACCAGTGCCCACTGGGCCAGGTGCCCCTCTCCGTCCCACCATGTCTGGGGGCCAGCTCTAGCCCGTGTGCAGCGCTGAGGGTCAGCCTGCCCTCCGAGGCCGTGGGCCGTGGGATCAGGACCAAGGCCTTTGCAGACGCCGCCAGTCCCCTGCCCCATCCGAGACCTGCGTGCTCAGGGCTGCTACTGAGGACATGGATGTAGCAGATGTTCGTGCCGAGGGCTGTTTCTAGAATGGGGGCTATTGAAGTAGAGACCACGCGCTCCACCGGCCCTAGGGGGGCTCTTCTGAGGTCCACTGGGAGCCCACTTCCCAGTACCCCAGTTGAATCCAGATGCAGTCACCCTTGGGCCAGAAGCTGAGGAACACACTCTTATAGCGGCTTCCTTCCCTGCCCCCACTGCCCTGTCATCACCCCCAAACCAGAGCACTCTGGAGGGACCAGTGAGATGCCGCTGCTCCTGTCTCCTTCTCTGGGGCCTGGTCTGTGGCCGGTGCCCAGCGAGTCTCCCCCACTGTCAGGCTCCTCTGTCCAGCTCCGGAATGACTCAGCCTGGTCACTCTGTTAACTCAATTACCTTCAGGTGAATGTGTTTACGGCTGAGTCACTCTGCCCAGCTGGGCACAGCCATCCTCCTTGGCTGTTTGGTGATCGATCCTCGGCCGGCTCTGGCTCTGGGAAATCTCCTGCTCATGAACCCGGAGCAGGGATGTGTCTGCCCGGCTTCGCCCCGGGAAGCTTCCAGGGAGGTAGCTCTCGAAATCAAATTCTCACCTCGCTGCTGTATCGGCACTCGGCTTCCTGAGCGCTGGGTCCTTCATAGCGTCAGCCTCCTAAATAATTCACGACCCGGCCTGGACGTCCACAGGGGGGAATGGCGGCCACCACAGTGCCGCCAGCGGCAGTGATTGTGACAGTGACTTCCCGTGTGCCGAGGGCTTGCGTGTGCTTCTCACTTAACCCTCAGCACACGGGCCACATGCTATGTGCTGACACTTGGGGAAACGGGGGTGGCAGAGTCAGGGCTCACCTCGGACCACGGAAGGCAGGACACACGAGTGAGGACATGAACCCCCCTCCGCGTCTGCGTCAGGATGAGTGAACGGACGCCCTGCCGCTCTGCAGACGGAAGAGCCCAGACGTTTTTCTACATGCGAATAACTAATTCTTGCTGGGAATATTCAGAGTGTGTGCGTGCGTGTGTGCGTGCGTGTGCATGTGTGAGTATGTGTGTGCGTGTGCATGCATATGTGTGAGAGCATGTACACGTGTGCATGCACGTGAGAGTGTGTGCATGTGAGAAAGTGTACATGTGTGCATGTGTGAGCGCACGCGCGCGTGTGTGTGAATGTGTGTGCATGTGCATGCATGTGTGTGAGAGCATGTATGTGTGTGTGCGTGTGTGAGAGTGAATGTGCATATGCAGAACCGGGAACAAACTCTTTAGTCCCTGGCATATGAGGAGGCTCCCACTGAAGTCTGTTTGGTGACTGGATGGAAATGGGACCCTGTACTCCACTGCGTGGGCTCCGAGGCTCCTAGGAATACATCACAGGGCCGGGTGGGCATCCATGAGCATGCTGGGCACACAACTTGTTGGTGCAGCTCCGAGAGCACAGAGGGCCCGTGGCATCCATCACCGCCTCTAATTATCACCAGCCCTGAAGAAACCTCCGACAGGACTCCTCCTGCTGAAATTGGAGTTATGGACAGATGGAACCTCAGGCTTTCCAGTTGCAGTGCAATGGGGTAATCAGAGGAGAAAATGCAGTTCTCCGAAACCTCCCCTCCAGGCGTTTGTTTCCTTGAGTGCCTCTGGTAGGTCAGGGCACGTCTGGCCCGAGACAGCAGGGGGTTGGAGACAGGACACTCGGGCCGAGATCTCACCCTGCTGCTCACCAGCCAGGGCCGGGCTCTATCCCTGACATCTCGGAGGCTCGCTTCCTCCACTCAGTGACTGTGGATCTGATCTGACGACTCTGAAGACCCCCTTGGCTCTCACAACCAGCTTGCACATCCCAGCAGCTAGAGACTTCGATGGCTTTCCTGGGAGTTAGCTGTTGGCATCTCAAAGATGTGCTCGGGACAGAGCAGGTCTGAGTGTGGCCACAGGCTCCCTGGAGGCCCCCCCCACCTGGGCTTCCACATCCAGGCAACCAGTAGCCCTAATGGTTGGCAGTCCAGTGGCTTCTTCCTCCCCCCTCCCAGCCCCACCGTACCCAGCCACGTCCTCCTGGTCTGGGACCCTCCCTGCCCACTGCCACAATTGCCTTTGAAAGCCCTTCCATGGCGCCCCATTGCCTACAGAAATAAACTCAAAGTCTCCCACGTGGCTGGCAGAACCCAGCTTGACCTCATTCTTAGCCAGTAACCCCCTCGCTGTGTCCCTCCTGACATCCCGAAATAGACAGGATTCCCAGAAAGAACCTGACTGACTTGGGTCCAGTGACCTCTGCATACCCAGCCACCTTGTAAGGCCGTTTGGCCTTCTCTGTCTGCCCAGATTTTATATGTTCTTCAAATTCAGGCCAAACCTTGCCTCCTCCAGGAAGCCCTCCCTGATTGCCCCTCAGATTGACAAGGAAAATATTTCCTGTGCTCCTGCACAAGCCCAGCCATTCCTCCATTCCTCCTCTGTATCATGAACTAACCCTGCTCATGCGTGTGTCTCTCCCATAAGACACTAAACTCTGTGGGGCTGGGATTGTGTCCTGCTCATGATTGGAGTGAGCCAATGGGGCCTCAACCAGGTAGGAGGCCCCTCAGGGTCTGATGAATTCCCTCCCCCTCTCCTTGGCTCTTTCCACAAGCGGTGCCACCAACAAGAACAACTACAAAAGCTCCTGGCTTTCTATGGATGGAAAGTAGAGTCAGGCCCCATCCCTCACACCGCCCAGTGGGGGGCAGTCCCTGGACAGATGAGCTGGTTCACCTCGGCAGACCCCGAGCCCCGCAGTGGCCGTCATGCCCCGGGAGGCGGGCACAGCTTCGCCAGCGCAGACCTGGAAGGACGAGGGGGGGGGCAGGTGCAGCGGGGGGACTGGTCTTGCCCTCTCCCTGATGCCAGGGCACCCACGGACTTGGACCTCGGGGAGCTGCCCCTCGAAAAGCGTGTGTCCTGCAGTCGCCTCTCTGTCTCTCGGTGCCTTGCGTCCAAGTCCGTCTACCTCGGGGACACTTTTCACTCTCCTTCCCGGTCCTTGTCTTCTTCAGGCATCGATTGTTCTGTGGGTGCCCATCGCGCCACCCAGTTAATTACTGTGCAGTTTGTCACGTTCCAGTCTTTTTCATTCACTGAACCCAGAGAGCAGAGCCTGTGTTGGTTTTTATGAAACTCTCTTGTTTCCGATTCTCCCACGTAGAACTGCTAGAGGGGAACAGCGTGAGGTGGCGATTTCTAGGGACGGTGGAGGAAGCTGTGAATCGGAGCAGGCTTTCTGCTGTTCTGGCCCCTGCGGGCACAGGGCGGCACTGGGCACGTGCCCACCGGACGGATGAGAGCCAGCACTCAGCGGAGCCGCGGGCTGGACCTGGTGCGCGGCCTCGGCCGCCTGTGAAGGGCCCTTACCCTTACCGCGATGAGAAAGGGAGTTTGAGGGGCGGAGGGGCGCACCAGCGTCCTGGAGCTGCAGAGTCGAAGGGCAGGGACAGGATGAGGCCCAGGTGGGTCTGAGTGACAGGCTCTCTCTCTGGCTCCTGAATCAAACTGCCAGCGTCTCTGGAGCCCACCGCTAGCCTCCAACTCTCCGCTTCCAGGCGGTGACCGCGGGGTGGGGGAGCGTGTCCCAGGCCGCCGGCAGGCGAGGCAGACTTCTACCAGGTGGGAGGGCCGCAGGGACCTCCGCGTCCTTGAGGCAGCAAGCCTGCTAGCTTCCCTGTCCCTGCTCGTGGACGAGGAAGGCCCGAGTGACCGTGCCGCAGGCCCGCACGGACAGTTTCCGACCCCGGACAGCCTGGCCTCACACCTGCCTTTCTCTGGGACAGAACCGAGCCCTAGGCAGCCTCTGTGCCCTGCCCATACCATGCCACCCTGGAACTGTGGGCCTCCGGGGCTCCTCGGCCAGTCGCCGCCTCCCAGCCCCCGGGACGCTTCCAGGCGCAGGGCGCAGTGCGCTCGGGCTCTTTCCATTGGGCTGCAGGGGCCGGTCAGTTCCGCCAGCTGGTCCTCTGGTCAGCTGGTCCTCTGGGAGGTGCTGAGCCCAGGGCTGCAGAGCACCTTCTGCCGCCTGTCCCCAGGTGATGCTAAAGAGCCACTCAAGTGAATGAATGTGCCCCGTGGGCTTCCTGTGCCCAGGCACAGCGTCCAGCCAGGACGCCTTCCACGCCAGGCTCAACTGGTCCAGGATGGGGCAGCCCAGCATGAGCAGTCTCTGCCTCGTTTCCTGGGACAGGAGTGGGAGCTGGGCCCCTCCTTCCTCACCGCTGTTCGCCTGGGAGCATCGCCCCTGCTGAAGCCCCCGCCGCTCCCCCGGCCGGGGGCAGGTGGGCAGGTGGGCCGGCTGCCTTTGCAGAGAGCAGGTGGGCTGTTCCTTTGTGCTCCTCCCTCCAAACTCACCCCAGCTCTTGTCTTTGCACAGGTTTCGACCTGATGGACCTGTTCAATGTGGAGGACATCTTGGGGAAACGGGAGAATGGGGTACAGAGCTCCTACGTCCGGATGGGGTCCTCCCCTGTGGTGCAGAGGACCGAGTGAGTGGTCCCCCCCTTATTCCCTGGGGTGCAGAGGACCGAGTGAGTGGTCCCCCCCTTATTCCCTGGGGTGCAGAGGACCGAGGGAGTGGTCCCCCCTCTTCCCCTGGGTTGCAGAGGACTGAGAGACCCAGTGAGTGGTCGCCTCTCCTTCAGGGGACACCCTGAGTGCCCAGCAGGGTTCACACCTTCTCAGAGCCTAGGGAGGCCACCCAGAGGCGAGGCAACAGCACTGACCTGGGAAGCCAACCCGCTCCTCAGCGCTCTGTCACCTTGCCCCGCGGGCTCCCTGGTCCTCCGCACAGCTCCCCGCACAGGCGGCCGGTCACTCACCCAGGCCCGTGCCTCCTTCAGCTCAGGGACAGCACCCAGGCGGCCGGTCACTCACCCAGGCCCGTGCCTCCTTCAGCTCAGGGACAGCACCCAGGCGGCCGGTCACTCACCCAGGCCCATGCCCTCCGTCAGCTCAGGGACAGCACACAGGCGGCCGGTCACTCACCCAGGCCCGTGCCTCCTTCAGCTCAGGGACAGCACCCAGGCGGCCGGTCACTCACCCAGGCCGTGCCTCCTTCAGCTCAGGGACAGCACCCAGGCGGCCGGTCACTCACCCAGGCCCATGCCCTCCGTCAGCTCAGGGACAGCACACAGGCGGCCGGTCACTCACCCAGGCCCACGCCCTCCTTCAGCTCAGGGACAGCACCCAGACGGCCGGTCACTCACCCAGGCCCGTGCCCTCCTTCAGCTCAGGGACAGCACACAGGCGGCCGGTCACTCACCCAGGCCGGTGCCTCCTTCAGCTCAGGGACAGCACCCAGACGGCCGGTCACTCACCCAGGCCCGCGCCCTCCTTCAGCTCAGGGACAGCACACAGGCGGCTGAGGGCGCACGGTGGGGCTGCCAGGGCCAGAGCACCCCAGTTCCCTCAGGTGCTTCAGCCATGAAGACCCCGTTTCAGTGTTTCCTGGGTGCCTGGCCCTGCACGAGCCATGGGGTGCCCCTGTGCTAGGGCTGGTCATGCTGTCCCCTGAGTGTCCTCTGCCGTGCTGCTGCGAGGGGGATAAAAAGACGTGTCCCGGCTCGGTCCAGGCCAGGAGGGTGCCGCTGTTCTCGCCTGCTCACCCCAGGCACACAGGCCTTCAGAAAACACGCGTGACTTTCACGCTGAGCCCTCCATCCCGTAGCCCTGCCGCAGCTGCCAAGGCCCAAGTGGGCGGGAGGCTGACAGGGGTGAGCGCCTGCAACAGTCCGAGTTACTGCGTAACGGCTCCTGGGTTCCGTGCGAGCAGCCGTGCCCGACTCTGGCTCCCCCCTGTGTTTAGGCTGAAGGGCTGGAAAGCCTGTGTGTGAGTGGGCCCCCTCCCACCTGTTTGTCCCCCAGCCCGTCCCCCAGCCTGTCCCCCAGCCTGTCCCCAGCTTGCCCTCGTCTGGCGCCTTTCTCTCTGTCCCGGAGCCCGGCAGGCTCCCACCTCGCACCTCATTCGCGGGCTCCCCCGGGACACAGCTCGTCCTGGGAGGACAGCCCGGCTGTCATGCTGTCGAGGCGCCGTCCCTGGACTCCCAGACGGGGGCCGGCCTCCCCATCTTCCTTCCTCACGACGTGCACTCCCCACGAAGCAGGCAGAGGGCCCCTCACTGAGCAATGGGGCAACTAGTTGTCTAGAGACTGCCCCCCCCAAGCTCCAGGAGGGAGCGGGGTCTGTCTCGAGCCCGCGTCAGGCCCGGCTGTGCCGAGGAGGGACTGCTCGCTCTCTGCTGAACGGGCGAACACCTCCGCGCATCTGCATACGCACATGCATGTATGTCACGAAAGTGTGTGTAGAAAAAACAATAGCGTAGTTGGACTCGTGCGTGAACTAAGGAGCAGAGCGCGTAGCGAAGTCTGTCTGCGGCCTGAAGCCGGTGTCTTTCGGGCGGGAGCCGGCGTCCTAGGGCAGTGACCGTGGCGTCCCTGAACCCTGAGGAGGTCCACGCACTGCGGGATGGGCGCTGCTCCTCATGCCGGGTGTGGTCCTGGGTGAAATTTCAGCTCAGACAATGCCTTTGAACACCGGGGCCAGCTCCCAGCTGAGATCTGTGAGCGGAGAGTCAGGGAGCAGCAGACTGCCAGATGAAGGGTCCCTGAGGGTCTGCGAGTCTGAGAACCAGGAACCCAGCCGCCCCCTCATTTCCCTTCCTGGCTCCCTGGCCAGACGGCTGATGGGGAGCCAATGCTGCAGGGTTCCCAGGCAGCTCCCTCCCCCAGGTCTGCAGCTGAAGGAGAGGGGCTTTCTGGGGCCAGGCCCCGCTCCCGGGGTGAGCCTCTGGCTGCCACTACCAGCGGGCCGCACGGAGTCCACCCTCCGAGCCCGGCTCCCCCAGCCAGAGATCAGACTGCCTTCTTCGTACTGTCTGGCGAGAGACTATTTCCTTCCGGATTTGGAGGGGACTGCAGGGAGCTGGGGAATGCCCCCGATGGGGGCTGGCTCCATGCTCACTGGCACCTCAGGCTCTGTGGAGATGGGAGGATGTCCTGGTGCAGGGGCGGGGACCAGGCAGGACAGGGCCTGGCAGGGGGGCCTTGCTGTCCAGGAACAGACAGGGCGAGGCGAGGGCGGCCACCCAGCTGCCTTTGGCCCCAGGGGGTGGCGGTGTGGCCTTTATCATGGCTCTTGTCAGGGGCAGTGCTGCTGGGACTGAGGGGCTGGCGGGGGGCTGAGGCCCATGGAGGGGCCACAGGAGGGGCCCCCGAGGGTCATCTTGAGGCCCTGATGGACAGACGGGCAGTGCAGGCATGCACAGAGGTGGACACGCTCAGGGGCACAGTTGGCAGGACTCGGGGACCCGAGCAGCCGCAGCTCTCGTTGCTGAGCCTGGTCACACCCATCTGTCTGTGTGTCTCCCTCAGGGATGTGTTCCCCCAAGGCCTGCCCGACGAGTACGCCTTTGTCACAACCTTCCGCTTCCGGAAGAGCTCTCGGAAAGAAGACTGGTACACGTGGCAGGTCATCGACCAGTACGGCATCCCACAGGTACGAGCTGCACCGGGTCGCAGTGGCCCTCAGCTCCCCGTGCCCTCGGGCTCGCCTCCCCCGCCCGACTCCTCCAGCGGCCTGGGTGCTGGGCTGGGAGATCCAGCGGCGGTGCTTGGAGGCCAGGGAACCTGGGGGGCTGCCACACCGCAGAGGACCGTCACCCCCGGGAGGGTCAAGTGCTGGTGCTCCGGTGGGGACGAAGGCCTGTTGCCTAACCAGGCGCGTGGCAGCCCGCTCTGCCGGCCAATGGCCCCTCTCTGTCAGCTGCACGGGTGGGGTTCACGCAGGATTGGAGAAGGCGGCTCGGGGCCAGCCCGACCTGGGTTCCAATATCGCGTCCGCTCCTGTCTGGGCGTGGGCCCTGACACAGGTCCTGTGGCTGTTCTTGGCTGGGGACGGGAGCACAGACCCCACCGTGAATGGCTGGTGGAGCATGTAGAACAGAGGCTGATGCTCATCAGTTTTGTCACAGGCCGTGCCCTTCTGCTGGTCTGTGGTCCAGCCTAAGGGCTGCGTCCAGTCTTTGCTCATCACTGTGTGTTTCGGCTGTCGGTCCCCAAGGCGGGGCAGCCCAGGAGCAGCATGTGGCCGAGGGAAGAGAGACCTGTCTCAGCATCCGAGCCCGGAGCCCTGGACGCTGGCTTGAGGGGCGAGCAACCCTGCTTTGGTGCTGTGCCCAGGGCCTGTCTGCAGCGTCTGCAGGCCAACTGTATCTTTGGGGTTTAACCCTTTTTTTTTTTTCATGAAAAATGAAACATGTGAAGACATGACTCACCCCAGCTTGGGGATGCTGTCTATACTTTCATCCGGGATTTCAGTAAAAGAGAAGCATGTGCTCAGGCTCCTCAGAGCTGGACCCTGACATGACCACACTGCTCAGCCACACATGCTTGGCCACACATGCTTGGCCACACATGCTTGGCCACACTACTCAGCCACACATGCTTGGCCACATGTGCTCGGCCACACTACTCAGCCACACATGCTTGGCCACACTACTCAGCCACACTGCTCAGCCACACATACTTGGCCACACTGCTCAGCCACACTGCTCAGCCACACATGCTTGGCCACACTACTCAGCCACACTGCTCAGCAACACATACTTGGCCACACTGCTCAGCCACACTGCTCAGCCACACTGCTCGACCACATGTTCTCGGCCACACTGCTCAGCCACACTGCTTAGCTACACATGCTCGGCCACACTGCTTGGCCACACTGCTCAGCCATACTGCTCGGCCACATGTTCTTGACCACACTGCTCGACCACACGTTCTCAGCCACATGTTCTCGGCCACACTGTTCAGCCACACATGCATATACTTGGTAGGAGCCAGGGCTGGGCCTTAACTCACTCAGTCCTCAGCACAGCCCTGTGAGTGCAGCTGCTGCCACCATGTCACAAAGGTGGGACCTGGACCACAGTGAGGTCAGGCCCGAGCCTACGTGTTTCTAGGTAGTAAGAAGAGAGGGGGGGGGTGTGGACCCAGGCAGTCGGGCTCCAGCTGTGCATTTCCCCACCATGTCCTGCGGGCTCCTGTGTCTCAGTCCTGATGAATGGTGTTTGTGTCGCAGCCCTGGTAGGACTGAGAGGCATGGAACAGACAGTGTCAGGGTGCCCGGGAGTGACCTGAATCTCAGTGTGGGAGGCTGCGCGAGACGAGACTCTTCCCCAGCGGCCTTTGCTGGAGAGCAGCCGCTCCCGGCGGCCCTCGCCCACCACGCTGCAGGTGCGCAGGTCCTGCTTCTCCCATTTCCGAGTCTGAGCCGCGGGCTGGGCGCCTGCCACGACATTCCTGTGGCCGGCCCGCACCACCCCCTCCGTCTGGGTCCTCTTCCTTCATGATGTTCGCAGAGCTGGGCGCTCTCGTGTGCCATGGCTGCCTCCTGCCCTCCGTGTGCCAGAGCGGCCGGGGGCTGGGAGGCTGCCGAGCCGGGCGGAGGCTGAGCCTGCCTTCAAGGCCCGAGGTGCATCTTCAAAGAGGCGCCTGGCGGTTCAGCTCCCGTGCGCCAGCCTTGCTGGAGCGCCCTTCACGGGAAATGTCGACGGGGCCACCTCCGTGCCTGGGGAAGCCCTGGGACACTGGGCGGGATGGTGTTACCAGCTGTCCACGCCCGTAGTCATCGCAGATCCTCCCACGGGGTTTTCAGACCCGTGGTCCCGTTTAGTGTTTACAACCACCCTTGGAAGTCGGTACTTCTCCCGTTGTCATTTGGAGACACCGAGGGGCATCCGCCCACTCATTCCCCGCACCAACAAGGGACAGGAAGGAGGCTGGGGCAGCTGGGGCAGAGCTCGGGCACTTAGAGGGGAGGCCCAGGCGTTGGAAGGCCCGGTGACGGGCAGGCTTAGAAACAGGGACACTCGTGCAGTCATCTAGGCCAGAGACGACACTGACTCAGACCCGGCAGTAAGCTGTGGAGACGTGATGAGACTCTGGGTGTATTTGGAAAAGACACCAACAGGACGTGCTGATGGCTGTGAGCCGTGAAGCACCTCACCGAGGCCCGGCCGGGGCTCCCTCGCTCCACAGCTGCTAGAAGCGATGGGCACAGGGAGGGGACCGTGTTCCCATGGAGCCCCAGGCGTCCGAGGACATGGGCTCACGCCTGTGAAGCCATTTTCAAAGAATAGAAGATGTACTAGATTACGTGTATCAGAAGGATCGGGTTACTAGCCAGGGGCTTCTAGTTTTCTGTTTTACACCCAAACCAAAACATACCAGCAGGAAATTCAAACACCCCTTAGGGTCCCCTGGGCTGGAGCCGCCCGAGGCCCAGAAAGAGAAGAAACCAGAGCAGCTGGAGTATTGCAAACGCCGAGGCGGTGGGCACCCGCCCGCCGTTAACCCGGGGCTCTGGCTCCTCATGCCTCCCGCATCCGTTCACTGCTTCCTCTCACCAAGTGCCGCTCCGGCCGGGTGGTCCTAGCCCCTGGGTGAAAAGATGAGCAAGAGACAAAGTGCCTGCTTCATAGCGGGGGCGGGCGGGCAGGCCACGGGGGCCCAAAGAAATGAGCAAGATACTTACATATATGGGCAAAATGCTATGAGAAAATGGAAATACGTCCACGTGCCTCTGGTGTGACCTCAAAGGACCAGGTGAGAATCCAGTCGCCTGTGTGTCAGAGAAGGCATCACCGCGGTGTCTCTGAACTTCCTTGCTTAGGTTATTACAGCCAATGTTTAGAATGAGGCCCGGCGTATACTAACTAAGTGCTGCGCAGGTGTAGTGTGTGTCTATGAATTCATTTATATAAAAAAGTTCACATATATATGAATAATAGGCACTGTTACTGCCTCTGTCTTACAAAGTGAAGAATTGGACAGGGAGGTTAAGCAACTTGCCCGAGGTCACACAGCTCAAACTGACTTGCCAGAGAATTTTTGAAGAATGTTTTAATAAAGTGGCTAGGGGTTCGGGGAACTGATGATGTTGAGGGTCAGGGTTCAGGAAATCAGCAACTGATACTGGGATATCCTGAGATGAGCAACAGCAGGACCTACCCTCTGAGCCTGGGCAGGGGAGGCAGGTGGTTAGGGGAGGTGGTGACAGCTGGAGCCATGCGGGGGTGAATGACACAGGAGGAACAGCTGGCTGGAACCACAGGGAGCCAAGGTGGGGGACGGGCAGGAAGACTCAATCCCCGACCCCCTGCTCTTCCCACTCTGATGGACACTGGGATGGGCTTCCTGCAGGCCAAGCTTAACAGACGCCACAGGGTCCAGGAGCCCAGGGGACGCAGTCCATGGAGGTCAGACTCTGGGAGCCGGAGGCAGGCAGAGGGAGGAGGCTGTCGAGGCGAATGAAGACCACCCAGGGACGTGGAACAGAATCCGCCCTCCAGTCCTTTGCTCGGTGGGCTCACTTTCCCTGTGCCCCCTCCGCGCCTGATAGTGCCCGGAGCTCGCCCCCTGCTGGCCTCCTGGTTCCTGGCGCGTTGCTTGCCTGTCACAGAGGATGTTCAGGGATCGTTGTGCGGGGGATGGAAAAAGTGAGCACGTGGATGAGCGCGGATTGATTCATTGTAAGACGAACAACAGTAAACTTTCTCCCAGCGTTCTCCGGCGTTGTGCAAGGGGCCAGGGAGCTCCAGCGCACAAGGCGGGTGAGGTCGCTGCCTGGAGCGAGCTGCTGTGCTGGCCCTTTAACTTGATCCTCAACCTGAGAGGCTGGGGTGATGGACGGGGCTTCAGACGCGGACGTGCCTCTGGCCAGATGGGCTCTGTCTGGCGGCCGGGGTTTTCAGAGACCCCGAAAGCAGCTGGGGTCTCACAAGTCCAGCCCCTCCCCTCTGCACCGGTTGTCTCGTGGTCTCAGGAAGGTGCTCGGACCTGTGAAACCCCTCCAGGCAGCACTGTGAGTCCAATCCCTGCACGGCAGGCCGAGCTCAGCCTGCGAGGCTGAGACGTGGGAAGCGGCTGGCCCACGGCTGACCAGCTGGTGAGGGTCACCGCCAGCACCTGACTCGGTTCTCAGGGCTGACTGCAGGGCCTCCTCCCACCCGGTGCCCTGCAGCTCCAGGAGCCCCTGGTCCTGTCCTCCCCAGGTCTCCATCCGGCTGGACGGCGAGAACAAGGCCGTCGAGTACAACGCCGTGGGCACCGTGAGGGACGCCGTCAGGGTGGTCTTCCGTGGCGCCCGCGTCAGCGACCTCTTCGACCGGGACTGGCACAAGATCGCCCTGAGCATCCAGGCCCAGAACGTCTCCCTGTACATCGACTGTGCGCTGGTGCAGACGCTGCCCATCGAGGAGCGGGAGAACATCGACATCCAGGGCAAGACGGTGATCGGCAAGCGGCTCTACGACAGCGTGCCCATCGACGTGAGTACCAAGGCCCTGGGGTCACCAGGGAGGTGGCTCGGGAGCCCATGCTCCCATGTCCCCCACACCTGCCTATGTGATTGATCAAGGCGTCACCTTGCTCGGTCTTAGAAGAGAGGACACGGACTCAGAGAACTGCCATAGTGGGGCCCAAAGTTGCCGTTACTCAGCCGCTCGTCCATTCATTCAATTCCAGCCATTGGTCAATGATTTATCACATAGCTATTGGGCACCTATTGTGTGTCGGGCACTGTGCTTGGCACTGGGTACATGGTACACTTATCTATACATCTATATCCATATCTGTATCTATATCTATATCTGTATCTGTATCTATATCCGTATCCATATCTATATCCATATCATATCCATATCTATATCCATATCCATGTCTGTATCTATCTATATCTATATCTATATCTATATCTATATCTATATCTATATCTATATCTATATCTATATCTATATCTATATCTATATCTATATCTATATCTATATCTATCTATATCTATATCTATATCTATATCTATATCTATATCTATATCTATATCTATATCTATATCTATATCTATATCTATCTATATCCATGTCTGTATCCATGTCTGTATCTGTATCTGTATCCGTATCCGTATCTATCTCTATCTCTATCTCTATCTCTATCTCTATCTCTATCTCTATCTCTATCTCTATCTCTATCTCTATCTCTATCTCTATCTCTATATCATCTCTAAATATCTACTTAAAAATACAGGAGACTTTGTATTTATCTACTCACACATACAGCCGCTACGTATACTAAGCACTCAGTACCAGGAACTAGCATTATCAGGCTCTATCCGGGGAGCAGGTGGAAAAGGGAAGGAAGAAGCACACAGCGCTGTGTGTGGTGAGTGCTGTTATGGAGGTGGCAGGGCGGCGTGTCAGTGGCAGGTGACGGAGCCGGCAGGGCTCGGAGGGGCCGTTATGAGGGGAGAGGAGAGAAGAGCTGGGGGAGCCAAAGGGAAAGCACGAGGGAGTGGGGCTCCGTGTTTGAGAGGCGTGGGTCCGCATGGGTGCCCAGGGGGAAGGTGGACGTAGAAGCCGGTGCCGGTGTGCAGAGAGAGGGCGCATGGCGCTCTCTTGACTGTAGGAGGTGTATCGGTTAGCTGTTGCTGCATAACAAACAGCCCCGCCTCCAAGAAAAAGGCAGATGCAAGCAAGCATGTGCTGTCTCCACGTGTCTGTGGCTCAGCAATGCGGGAGGGGCTGCGCTGGCTGGTTGTTGCCTGGATCTCTCGTGAGGTCAACCTCAAGCTGTGGGATAGCTGAGTGGTCATCTCAAAGCTCAAATGGGGCCAAAAGACCCTCCTCCAAGCTTACTCAGGTGGTTGTGGGCAGCCTGCTGTGAGCTGTGGAACCGAGGGCTCCTTGCAATGGATGTGGGAGCGGCCCTGGCGGGGCGTGCGTGTGGGGAGCTGTGAGGTCAGATGTCGTAGAGGGAAAGGACAGGGTGAGGAGATACACCTGGAGAGGCAGGCAGAGCCAGGGCCGGAGGGCTGCCCGTCCTGCGGAAGACTGTGCACGCGTGTGTGCACGTGTGTGTGCATGTATGTGTGCACGTGTGTGTGCACGTGTGAATGTATCATCACAACCTCTTTCGACAATGTGAAGGAGTTGTGGTTAAAGGAGGTCGTAGAAGCCAGTTTTTATTGTAAAAAGTGCATATAAGCCCCCGTGTGGAGATGCCTGGCGAGGTGGACAACGGGCACGCTGGACTTTCAGAGCCTGCTGTGACAGCCTCGTGGGGGGCAGGCCTTCAGTAGACCGGTGCCAGCTCACCCCTTGCACTTGGGCCTCGCTTTTGGAAGGAGGTGTAAGTTCAGCTCAGGGAAGGGAGTGACAGGGTCAGAGGAGGAGGTGGGACCCGACAGTGGGACCTGAAACCGTGGAGGATCCTGGGTTCCAGAGACTCACCCTCTGACCTGTTTCTCATTTTAGTTTGACCTACAGCGAATTGTGATTTACTGTGACTCCCGCCACGCGGAACTGGAGACCTGCTGTGACATCCCCTCGGGCCCGGTGAGCACTGTCTGCACAGAGGCCGGGGAAGCAGGCCCTTGGCCTCCGGAAGGGCAGGCGTCCAGGGCCCGGAGAGGGGCTGTTGGGGTTCAGGGGATGCCCGCCGTGAGAAAGGGATCTGGGAGGGAGCCCAGTGACCATTGCTAGGGACCCATTTCCTTGTCCAGCAGGGCGAGCAGAGTCATGCAGGTCCTCCTGGGGTCCTGGTGGCCCAGCTCTGGGGAACAGGGGGCAGAAGCTGGCAGCTTATCCCTGGAGGGACTGACTGTCCTCCCCACAGGGCACAGAGGAGGGGGGTGAAGTGCGCTGGGCTGGCCGGCCAGACAGGAGGAGGAGGTCCTGGTCAGGGTTCAGAAGCGTGGGCAGACCGGAGCTGGCCCTGGACCCTCTGTGTGGTTCAGCCTCCCCCTGGGACCTCTCACCTCTGCCCCCCTTCAAGTCTCCCTCTCCCACCTCTTCACCAAGTCCCAGGGCTGCTCAGGCGGTGGGCATAGTCCTGGAGCCTGCTGCCCAGGGTCGCAGGTGAACCCCATGGCCATGCTCGGCTGTTCCGTCCCCAGGACACTGAGCGCTGGGTCAGGGTGCCCCTCTCAGCACCGGGGCGGCACACGGCACCCGATGCTGGGCGAGCCGGGCGGGGCTTGGTCAGATGGGCCTGAAGGTGGAGAGAGGGGCAGGGCTGGAGGGAGGGGAAGTGGTGAGGACATTAGTCCTCCTGAGCATCTAGTGGTTGTGAGACACTGAGCTGTCCCACTAGGTCCTGCTCAGGGCCTTTGGATGGAAACACGCTGGCCCCTCCTGCAGAGCTGCACGCTGAGGCTCGGGGGTGAGGTGGGTGCTGCGGGGCGCTCAGGGGCCAGTGGGTGGCTGACACCCAGCCCCTGTCTCCAGGGCCTTGGAGTGCCAGCACCTGTGGCCACACATGCCTGCCCTCCCAGCTCATGCTCAGGTGTCCTGGGCCCCCAGCTCCCCTTTGTCTGCTTGGTTCTGAGGAAGCTCCAGACTGAGCCCCCCAACGGGCAGCACGGCTGGGTGAGAAGCCAGGTGCTGACCCCCGGGCTTTGCTTCCAGTGCCAGGTGACCGTGCTGACACAGCCTTCGCCCCCGCCCCTGCGGCCGCCCACCTCTGGCAGTGAGCAAATCGGGTTCTTGAAGACCATCAACTGCTCCTGCCCCGCTGGAGAAAAGGTACCTCTGCAGTCCGGTCTCAGCCCTCAGCCAGAGCTGAGCGGGGCAGGCTGGCCGGCAGGCCCGGCAGTGGAGGTGGGAATTTCCCATCATGCACTTGTGCTGCCGGGGCTGGATGCTCCCAGGCTCCCGTGACTCTCAGGTCTGGGGAGCTCCTTGCTCCTTGGACCTCTCATTTCTTGACTTTGTACAAGCTAGGCGAGGAGAGCCTCAGACTCAGCTCGATTCACATCTTCCTGACGTTGGTGAGGTGTTCCTGAGGACTCTGGTCCCCACCAGCATCCCCTCCACTCACATGCAACGGAGTCAAACAGGATTTGGTTTGCGGGTGCCACTGAGAATGGCGACGGCTGGGTGTAGCTGTGCCCACCCCTCACCCCTTTCTTCTCCGTGTTCCTTTGAATCAGCCCAACTCTGTAATCTCCGTGCAGAACTCAATCCAGTTTAGAAAACTTTCCCATTGTTCACCGAAGCTCACATGTCGCTTTGGGCCCGTGTTGCCATCTCCGACACCGAGCATCACGGGGAGGGGAGCCCCGGGCAGGCACTCCGGTGGGCTCCTCGGGAGGTCGCGCACACAGCGGTTTCTCTCCGCTGGCATCTGCCATGGCATCCATGAGGGCACGGCCGGGCGGAGGGGCATCCGTTTCAGGGACGTGTGGTGCATTGTGTGAGTGGACGGGGTGGGACTTGCACACACACACTTGTATGGATCACACGGCGAGTGTTTGTGATAAGACGACATTCACCGGTACCCACAGCCTCTCAGATCACATTGTACACCCAGGAATGAGGCCTTTTACACGTAGCACATACTTCAACAAGTGAGCAATGTTACGGTGAGAAATGCCCTTGTAGACACGTTCCGTTCTGTATTTTAGGGAGCCGTGATTCCATGAACCTTCAGTGGGCCACGTGTTTGTGTTTAATAGAAGGCACAGCGTGTTCGGGTGCAAGTTCCCCCAAGGCACCGTCCTGTCCCTCTCTGTCTTGGCCCCACTGAGGGCCGTACTGGGAGGCGACGCCCGGGCTCCCCATGGAGGTTTCGGTTCAAGAGCAGGGCCGAGGCTCCGGGAATCCTGTCCGGCTTGTGGGCAGCACACAGCTCGCAAGGCGACTGGCATGTGGGGTGAGACCCAGCGGAGAGCGCAGGGCCACAGAACAGCCTGACTCTCTCCTTGTCCTTTTTCCTTCAGGGTGAGAAGGGTTGGAGCGGCCCCGTGGGACTCCCCGGCCCGAAGGTCAGTGGCGGAGCTGGCGGGGTGGGGGGACCCGGAGCCCCACGGTCTCTGCTGGGCTCTCTGTGCGAGGGGAAAACCCGGGGTGCTAGGTGACTGCCCTGCAGGGTTCTGAGCTGGTTGGGACAGAAGGAGGAACTTTTTGCTCAGAACCTCCATTTCCGTCTGCAAACGAGCAGGAAAGGGTTGGGGGCAGCCCTGGCTTGCGTGCGGCTAACTCTCTCCAACCCTCTCGGGCCTCTGCACCCAGACGCCTGGGGTGGGGCGGGCTGGGCGCGGGGCTTGTCAGAGTCTACTTGTTTAGACTTCTGTTTGTTTAGATCGCATCGAATGTTGGCACAAATGTTCCAGCCTCATTGATGGCTCCAAGCCGGGCGCTGTCGGGGGGGCCCCCACAGTGGTGGCGCAGCCCCCTTCTCCACCGCCCAGTGACGGTGCTGAAGAGCCGGGCAGGGCATCTGCTCGCCTCATCGATTCAGTCGCAGAAACTGAGCCCCAGAGGGAGGCCAAGTGCCCCTGGTCACATAGAGGCTGGTGGACGAGGGCAGAGTCCCCAGGGGCCGCTGTCTGGTCTGGTGTTTGGAATAGGGGCTGGTGTGGTGCTGGAAATACTTAGGGGTGACTGCCTCCCTCCCCTTCACCTCCCCTCCCCCTCCCCCTGCCCCCCTCCTGCAGCACCTATTCCAGGCATTCACAGCGTCACCACTGAGCACCCACTGGGCCCCAAAGTCCCCCCGTCCCTCCTCTGCTCTGTGTGTGCCTTCACCCCCTCTTCTCTCGCCGTTCTCCCCTCTGCCCCACTTCCCTGGGATGCGGAGTACCCACACCCCACAAAACACATCCCATCACACACACCACCTCACGCACAAAACACCCCAGCACACACATGTGCACACAAATGCACCCCCACTCCCACGGGGACACACACAGCGAGCTGGGGTTGAACTGGAGCTTCTCACTCTGCTCCGGGCCCCGGCCGGACCAGCGGCCAGGCCACCCCCAGGACAAGCACGGAGCACCTTCATCTACCTACTTCTCCGGACACCCCCAGCTCCGGGCGCAGAGGCCGGGACGTCCTCAGCTCTCCCGTCAGGGGCGGAAGTGTCCTCGCTGTGCCGTTAGCCATGACAGCCAGTGCTCGAGGGAGCGGGGCACGGCTGGCGGGGGCAGCCGGGGTGGCGCCTGTCGGAGGGCCGGCGTGATGTTCATGTCTGCTTTCAACTCCTCAGGGAGACATGGGGGCCACTGGGCCACCTGGAGCTCCCGGACCCAAGGGCGAGAAGGGAGACTCGGTGAGTAAGGGCCCCCCTCTGCCTGGCTGGTGTGGGAGGCCCAGGGCTCCCCCTAATCTCATCTGCCACCTGGAATGTGCTGAACCGCCGGTGGGGGCCAGGCACCAAATCCCATACCGCCCTCCCAGTGAAGGCCAGGCTCCTGGCTGTGGGCACAGGGAGAGTGTGGGCACGGCCCCTCCGGCCGCTCTGCCCACCCTTCACCACCCCCCTTCCCCCCGGAACTGTCTCCCAGGGGGGTCATGCTTCCCCAAGCTGCCCGCTGCTCATGAGGCCCTGCCTGGCTCTGGCCTCTCCCAGGGATCACGTGCCCTCCGCCCATCCCGTGTTCCCTCACCTCCCCTCGCTGTCGGGCTCGTGTTGGCTCATCCCTCACAGTTGGCTGTGGGGTTCTCGAGGGCACCTTCCCGGCCCCAGGTCGGGGTCACCCACCACCTCAGAGCCCCCACGCCACCCCTACTTCCTCAGTCCCAGCATCGGCTGACTCCCTGCTGTCCTGTCTGTGGTTTGTCGTCCGGTGCCGAGCACGGACCGTGCTCACAGATCCTCAGCTGATGAGTGGATGAAGCTGATGGTCGGGGGAAGTACGCACAGGCACAGGGCGTGTCCCGAGCAGGGTCTCGGGAGCCAAATGCCTGGGACATGAATCTGGCTGCATCAAGATAGTTCACCTTCCTGTCCTCAGTGTCCTCATCTGTGGAATGGGTGACAAAGCTAACCGTTCGGTGCCTTATGAGGGTTACGTGAGCTCACGCATGTGAGTGCATTAGAACGGCGCAGAGACCACAGCAAATGCGGTGGGTGCTCTTGTTACTGGTCATCACTGCCTGCCTGGCTGAAGGCGACCCTCCCCCTGCTTCCAGCCCTTCGTATTCCCAACAACAGCACATGCTGGGTGTCAGACAGGCTCGGCAATGCCCTTAGCTTCTTTGCCGTCTGGTCTTGAGCAGGTCTCAACCTCTGAAAGCTCCATTCACTCCATTAGCACGGTGAAGACAAGAAGGGGACTTTGTGAGACACCTGGCCTGCAGCAGATGGTCAGTGAGTGACAGCTGTCTCTGCCTGTGATTATAATTAGTTTCCTCTAGTTCTCCGTGCTAAGGGGACGCCCCCAATGACAAGACCAGCCTCTCCTGAGCGCTGTCGTGGAAGATGCAGCTCCCTCCACAGCCCCCGTCCTCACCACCAGCAGCTCCTTCTCGTAGCCACGCTGTCTGCGCTGCGTCCGGGAGCTGCCTGGGGACCCTCTTATTACTCCTCATAGTAACTCTTTACGTGTGGTCTTGTCACGTCTCTGGAGGGGATGACGCAGACTTTCCATGCTTGAATGACTTGTTGCTGGTCATAGAGCCCAGCCTGGCGAGGCGGACTGGGATCCTGGTCTGTTTGAACCCGAGGCCCGTGCTCGCCGTGCGCTGCACCTGTCGCCCTGCCGTGGACACCCAGCTCCTGAGCACAGGGCGAGCACCTGCTCCGTGCACCGTGGACCGGAGAAGAGCTGCTAACCGGAACGGCGCCGCCGTGTGCCTGGTTCCTGGGGCTCATTTAGACCTCGTGTGGACCTGGCGAGGTGGGCCTAGCGACACATTCACGCACGGGGACAAGAGCAGGCGGCAGAGTCTGCCTACTCAAGGGCCCAGACGTCGGTCCCTCCGCGCAGCCGTTGCAACCGCACCCAGGAACTATAGCAAATCACTCCACAGAAATAAAGGGAGGCAACAGGACAGCATCTCTCCAACCACTGAACAGAAAAAGGAGATAGAAATTGTTGAAAAGAACCACGTAGAAAACCTGGAATTTCAAATGACAACAGAAATGTAGAAGAAAACCAGCAGAGGCTCCATGGCGGGGCTGGGCGCTGGCTGCTGAGATAAATCCATAGACATTGTGTTAGCTGACGTTCAAGAGAAAAATAATGAAGGAAAGTGAACAGAGCCTCCGAGAAAGGTGGGGGCCCATAGAGTGCCCCGATGTGCACAGGACGGGACTTCCAGGTGGACAGGAAAGAGAGGTGCAGACAAGGTTTTCAGACACGTGACTCAAGACATCCCACACGGACAAAAAGTAGTAAAGTGCACATCCTAGAAGCTCAGAGAACTCCAGTCAAGATAAACACAGAGAGATACATCCTCAGATATTGCATCGTAAAAATCTTAGAAGACAAGGAGAGGAATTTGAAAGCAGCAGGAGGAAAATGAGTCACCAATAAGATGATCAGCTGACTTGTTGCTGGAAATAATTGCGACCAGAACGAGTGGGGTGACACATTTAGAGAAATGATTATGACATGTATGATAGTAAATGCCCCAAAGAGGGGAAGAGAGAACAGAGCTTCCAGGAACATGTTTATACATGTCACGGGAAGTAAGTACACACAGGGAGTAGGTTCCCTTAGGATAAGGTGTACATGGTAAGCCCACGAGCAGCCTCTAAGAAAATAATTGAAAATATATACAGTGACAATAGTATTGAAGGGATCACAATGTTGCACTAGAAAGTACTCACAATGCGAAAGAAAAACAGGACACACAGAAAACAAACAGTAGCCCTGGCCGGTTTGGCTCAGCGGTTAGAGCGTCCGCCTGCGGTCCGGAGAGACCCGGGTTCGGTTCCCGCTAAGGGCATGTACCTCGGTTGCAGTTTGTCCCCGGCCCTGGTTGGTCGTGTGGGTGGCAGCCACTCGATGTGTCCCTTTCACATTGATGTTTCCCTCTCTCTCTCTTCCTCTCTCTCCCTCCCACTCTGTCTGTACAAAAAATGGAAAAATGTCCTCGGATGAGGATAAAAAAAAAAAAAAGAAAACAAACAGTAAAATGGCATATGTAAACTAACCACATTAATAATAACGTTGCTTGTGAATAAAAAGAAAACCCACTAAAACGTAGAGATTTTCAGATTGGACGTAAAAACGAGATTGAACTGTTCTATGTCTACAGGAGACACCCTTGAGATACAAAGATACAAATAAATTGAGAGAGAACGGATGGAAACTATATATCCTGAAAGAAGAAAACAAAAAATAACGTAGTGACTACGCGAGTATCAGACAAATAGACTTTTACAACAACAAACATTAACAGAGATGAAAAAAGGCATTCTATAATCATAAAAATATCATCCTTCACAGATACAGAGTAATTATATCTGTACATCAACACAAATAAATCCCCAGCCCATGAGGAAAAACGGACGGAATTGAAAGGAGAAACAGAGAAGTGTTTAGAGACGTCAGTATCTGACTTTCAGTTGTGGTTAGAGCACCCCGAAGCGGGGAGACAGTGGGGCGCACACCCATCGCTGGCCTAGAAATCAGCCTACAGTCCTTGAAAGGCTACATGCAGAACTACCACAGGACTCAGCAGGTCCCCTCCAAGGGTGTCTCCAAGAAACTGAAACAGACGTGGATACAAAGCCTTGTACGCAGACGCGCAGCATTTGAGTTCGTAACGGCTGAAAAGTAGAACCGACCCAGACAGTCATCGCCTGATGCACGAACAAATGCATGTGTGTTACATCCGTGCAACAACAGTTCCACACAGTAGAGGGGAGTGCTGATACATGCTACGACATGGCTGAGCCTTGAGACATTTGCCAAGGAAACACTGGCTAGGAAGCCAGTCCTGAAAGCCCCGTATTCTGATTCCGTTTATATGAAATGTCTGGACTAGGCCAGCCTAGAGAGACAGAAACTGGGTGAGTGTTTGCCCGCGGTGGGGACATGGGGAGCGGCCACCAATGGGTAGGCAGTACCTTTTGAGGTGACGGAAACGTTTCAAAGCTAATCACGGTGATCACTGTACAGCTCTGTAAATATACTGAAAAACCATTGACTCGTATACTTTCAATACGTGAATTATCGGGAATATGGATTGTAGTTCAATAAAGCTGATACGGAGAAAAGTAGTGCCGTACTATCGGGTTGTTGGAAAATCTAAGTGAGACGGTCCCCGCGAGAGTCATCACTCTGCATGACCGGCACCGTCCTCATCACTCTGCATGACCGGCACCGTCCTCATCACTCTGCATGACCGGCACCGTCCTCATCACTCTGCATGACCGGCACCGTGCTTCAACGGCTCCTGGGCAGAGCGGACGGGAAGGCACCATCCACGTCCCCGGGAGCTGCTGCCCCCGGTACCAGGCCCTGGGCTGCCCGATGGTCAGCCTCTGCCTTCTGCTTTCCTTTCTAGGGCCGAGGACCTCCTGTGTGGGGAGAAAAGGGTGAAAAGGTAAGCATCTCCCTTATCACACGCCTCCAGGCTGCGGAGGGCTGGGAGCGGAGTGCGCCCTCGTGCCGGTAGAAGCTGGAGTGGGAGAGGAGGGCTCTCCAGGGCTGAGCGCCGGCCTCATGCGTGTGCTCCCCCGACCCGGGGCTGGTGGGCGGTCGGGCTCCCAGGCAGAGGGAGGAGCTGGGCACAGGACAGCGGGACGGGGAGGAAGTGGTCGTGTGGGAAGGCAGTGGGTCACGGTGTTCAGAGCAGAGGTGCTGCACGGCGCCCCAGGGCGTGGGATGCAGAGCTGCAGGAACAGGTGCGAGCCAGCCCAGAGGGCACCGGACGTAAAAACAGCTTTCGGCCTCGGCTGCAGCAGCAGCAGGAAGGTGCCGAAGAGGGTGCCCTGGTCAGACGCGTGGATAACGCTGGAATAGCGGGGGCCGCAGGAGTGAGGGTGGAGGGCGACCGGAGGGCTTGGGAGAGAGTCAGACATTGGTGCAGAGTTTACAGGGAGAGACAGACGAGCGGCAGGTGCGGCAGGAGCAGGCGGGCAGAGGGGTGGCGGAGACGCAGAGGGTAGCCATGAAAGTCTGCGAGGCGCCTTTGTGTCCATGACCACACCCGGGTCCGGCCCCTGCAGACTGCGGTGCTGCTGGCCGGGGCATCCTTCCCCGGGGGCTCACGTCAGCCCCTCACAGCAAACCAGAGGCCCCCGCATTTGATGGCTGGGAAGCAGCTTGCCCAGGGCCAGCCATGCTCTCCCTGTAGGCTCCCTTTTACCGAGCATGTTCCCCCCGGAGATTTCTCCTAAGGAGGCGAATCCGCCCGGACCCGGAGATGCGGAGGGATGGGCCGCCGAGCCGACTTGGGCTCTTTCACTCTGGCCTCAGGTGGCCCCTCTGTAGCTGTGCGTTGTCACCAAGTCTGCCTTCATTCTGCCACATACTGGCTGTGTGTGATGTGGGGTGAGTCACCTCCCTCTCTGAGTCCCTGCTTTCTCATCTGTAAAAACGAGGGGGCGGGCCGATGATGCACAGAGCCGGCAGGCGCGGCTCAGACGTGGGGGTGCGCCCACCTCCAGCCTGAGCCCCTGGAGCTGTCCTCCGGGAGGGGTTTCTGTCCCTTTTGAGGAGGAGGGGAGGCCAGGTGGGTCAAGGGGACCAGTGGAGACCACAGGGGAGAAGGTCACTGGTGACTGACTAAGGCTCTGGAAGGGGCTTAACACGCTGGTGTCTTTGCTAGAGGAGTCTCTGCAGGGTAGTTTGCAGAACGGCGGGGGAGGGGTGGTGGGGGTGGGCGCCGGGCGTCTAGGCACCATACCACTGCTTCCGCCCATACTTTACGTCCTATTGCTGAGACACACTGCAGGGAAGGTGTCGCTTTGCCCATGTGCCCGTGAGGGGGGCGCAGCTTAGGGGTCTCGTGGCCTGCCCAAGGTCACAGGGTTACTATGTTGGCTAGGAAACAGTCACAGGTTATTCCTAAAATAAACAGACTGAGTCACTCCCCAGCTGCTGAGGAAACGAAGGCTCAGAGAAGGTGAGTGATTGGCCCAAAGTCACACAGCTGACACACTGCCGGAGAACTTGGCCTCCTGACTGCCGGGCCCCACTGCGCCCCTGGGCTGCCTCCTCTCCGGCTCCCGCTCTACCCACGTTCCCCGAGGGGCTCTCAGGGCAACCTCCCTCGTGCCTCAATGTGTATGCAATTGGGCTGAGGAGACGGCAGCTTTTTAGGGGGTGTTTCAAGGAGCTGCGCACGGCCCAGGTGCTGAGGGCTCGGGAGGTGAGGAGGGAGGGACAGACCCTGCCGAGGAGACAGCCGGTCTCCCAGCGGTGCTGGCCCGGTGAGTGGGTGGGTGCTCTCCTCATCCAGGATCAAGGCCGGCTCCATTCAGTAGCGGGACCACAGCCTGCAGTCGACCCGACCCAGTTTCCAATTTGAGCTCCCCTGCGTGATAACCGCGTGTCTGAGCCTCAGTTTCCTTTTCTGAAAGTGGGGGGATGGGATAACACCAGTTCCTGCCACATCAGGTTGCTGAGAGGACTCGGGGAGAAAGGAGTGGACATGGGGCCTGTGCTATCTGGGGCTGTCTCGGTGCCGATGGTGAGGAGGGTGTCCAGCCACGGCGCTGGGCTGGTCTGGAGCCATCCCGGGGAGCTGAGCGCAGGACAGGGAAGACCTCGTGCCCCTCTTCCCATGCTGAGAAAATCCACACGCACAGTGAGGACCTGGGGTGGTGGGCTGAGTCGGTGCTGGTCCATGGAGATGGGGTCTGCAGAACCCACGGGTAGAAAAAGATTCAGGAGCAACATAAACAAGGCCAGTGAGCTTTCGCGCGGTGGGTCCTGAGGGCCCTGCCTGGGCGACCAGAGCCTTCCAGGGGAAGCTGCAGCCACTGCCTGGCCCCCTTCCTGGACCCACAGCGCCCTCTGGTGTCTGGAAGCCAGAGCGGCGGGTCCAGTTTGCTCTGCAGGGCTCCTGCCCACGTGGTCAGTGTCTGGGGTGATCTCTGCCCACCTGTCTGGGGTTGGCCTCCTTTCTTGGCCCCTGGGAGGAAGGAAGACAAAGGGAGGCTTGGTTTTGTGCTCAAACACGGGCTCGGTGATGGGAAGGACACAGGTTTGGGGAGTTGGGCAGACCTGGTTTGGATCCCGGCTCTGCAGTGGCTGGAGGAGCTTTGGTGGCTGTCTCTGGGCCTCAGCGTCCTCCTCTGTAACGCGGGCCCATGGACGTCTACCCTCCAGGGCTCTTCTGGGGAGTACAGGGGTGATACTGCCTGTGAAACACCTGGCTTTGTCCCTGGCATGTGGCAGGTGTATGTAAAAATCTGTTCCTTTCCATTTCCTGCCAAAAGCTGTTGCTAACACCCACACGAGTGACCTAAGGGTTTCTTAGAGGCCTAGTATTTACGTGCCTCGTCCACGGGAGAGCGTGGTGGGTCCACAGAGCTCTGGGACCTGGGCTGGGCCTTTCTAGGGGCTCCCCCACAATCCCGTGCATGTAAGTTCCGGTCCCGGGGTAGCTTTTCAGTGTGACTCTTCTCGATGGTCCTCGAGCGAGTCAGGGGTGTGACCTCTGTCCCCGACACAGTTTCACCTGTCAGGAGACCCTGCCTGGGCCACATGTGTTGGGGACAGAGGAGCAGACCACAGTCACGTCAGTGAAGCAGTTGTGGGTTTCCTAGGACCTCAGTGTTTACTGCTGGGGTGCTTAGATGATGAACCCCCAACACATCAAGGGGGCTATCAGAAGCCCCACTCCCACGAAGGGCAAATAGCAGGTCAGCCGCAGTGGACTCTGCACTCGTGACAGGTGCACTGACCAGACGGACACGGCGAACGTGGGGAAGACCTTCTAACGAGACGTGTGTGCACACGTAGGGCCTGTGCGCAGTGAGGACGACCTCTCCGTGCTGACTCCATGGTTCACACTGTGCACGGCGCTACCGTTCAGTACACCGTAAATATTTAACTAAAGAACAGGTCTTAATCTTAATATAGTGAAAACCCTTTTAAGTAGAGTGCATTCATCATTGTTCACAGCTGAAGTCCAAGAGCAATGATTTTGGAGGGAGGAGCCCTCTGTCCCAGCATCGGGGGTTTGCTGGCCAGTGTGGCTGTGGGTCCAGGTGGCAGAACATGGTGGCGGCTGAGGGTCGGGCTTTGGGAACCTGGCACAGCCGGTCCTGCTGTATAACCCTGGGGACGTCGCTATGCTTCTTGGCCTCAGTTCCCTCACCCGTACGCTGACAATGGTGGCAACAGCAGTGTGCTCTCGTGCAGCTGGTGTGAGGGCTCGGCGAGCGTGTCCGTGGCCAGAACGTGGCGAGCACCTGGGACACGGACTTCAGGACGTGGTGGCGAGTCAGGTGTGGGCCATCAGGTCGGGATTCCCCGAGCACCGTGATTCGAGCAGGTGTTCTAAGTTAGTTCACACCGAACAACCTCAGAGCTTTGGCTTAGAAGTTGGAGACACGCGCTGCCCCGCCCGCCCGGGCTCGAGGCTGGGAGGATGGACAGCCATGCTGTTTGCGGCCACGGAGTGAGCCAGGTCACGTCAGCGAAGGTGAAGCTCAGAAGTGGGGCCTGAGGTGCGTCCCTGTAGGGGACCTTGCCGAGCGGTCATTCACCTCGGCCAGCCTCTCCAGGGGCTCAGGGACAGGGAGCTTGTTCCCTGCCGCGGCTCTGGGCTTGCTCTGAGACGGCGTGAGTATTCCTGGTACAGCTGGGGTTGGGTCGGGATGTGGAAGAGGCCTTCAGGCAGGGCCGCTCGGACCCAGGGCATGGAGGTGGGACAGGGCTGTGTGCCGAGGAGACTGAGTTTCCCTGGAGCAGAAGGGACAGCACAGTGTGGGGAGAGGCCTCACTGCCCCTTGGGGTCTGGCTCACACCCCCCAGACATCGAAGGCCCTGGAGACCCACGGATGGAAGTGGGCAGAGGCTCTCGGGGAGACACACCTGGGTCAGCAACTCATTACTCAGCGCTTGCAGAGAGGAAAAAACCAGAAACAACAACCAGAAAGTCCTCTCTTAAGCATTTTCACAGAGACCCGTATGGCAATAAATACAGCTTTGGATGGGTTTCGGGCTTGGATTTCAGTGCACCAGAAAAAATGCGCGAGCAAATCTGAGAAACTTGGCTGGATTTTCCTGGGCTGGTCGACTCGGCGGCAGACAGCTCTAGGTCACGCAGACGTCGGTTTCTTGTCTTTACTCTTTTCTTCCGTTTTTACCGGGCCACAAGCCTGACGGGGGACGAGCCGGTGAGAGAGGGGTCTGCACCGGACCCCGGCCCAGGCTGCTCCGGCTCCCCAGCACGCTGCCGTCCAGAAACTTCGGCTGGATGTCCTGAGAGGCGGCCAGGGCCTCGTGTGGGCGCCTGGGTGTCCTGGAGTCATTGCGTGGGAGGGTCTTTGTGGGTTGGCTCCCCCTGAAGCTACAGAAGTGAGGTGCCAGGGGGAACTGAACAAAGCGAAGCCAAGCCGCCGTGATTTAAGGAGGGTTGTTAGGCAGCCAAGTTCACGGCGGTCAGCTGAAGTCTGAGAAAAGTACACTCTGCACCTGTTTATCCCAAACCCCCCAGGAGGCCTCCTTTTCTGATTGGAAGTTGGCAAAGCAGGGCCCTCTACCCTGCTGTGGACCATGAAGCACCTCACCTCGGGCAAGGCAGCTGGCTTGAGGGGCTTTGGGGACCCACCTGCCAAAAGGTGACCCCAGCAGTCACCTTTTATTTCACCGATTCTCTCTGGGAGGATAGGTGTGAGCTTGAGCAAGAGCAGCCACCCAAACCCAGTGCCGACCCTTGGTGGTTTATCTGGGCAGCAGAGTGACTGTCCCCAAGAAGGTGTCAGGCAGTGGAGACTCACGTCGTCAGCCTGTCACTGACCTCGAGGTGTGTGCCAGGCCGTTCAGTTCATGAGTGTCAGCCACTTGCGGCCCCTGCAAGGAGTCTGGGGCACGTCCAAGGTCCACGGAACTGGGGGGAGCGGGGGCGGGGGACAGAGGCGCTGTCTGTCCATCTGAGTCTGGACCCCAACTATCCACCAGTTTGCTTTCCCAAAGCAATGCTCATCCCCAAGAATCCTCGACCCTCAAAAACCACGTCCCTGTGGGAATCAACGTGTTTTATCCGAGGACTGCACCGTGGAGCGTCTGAGCCCTCAAACACAAATTATAAGTGTGTCTCTGTGTGTGTGTGTGAAGCTCCTGGGATCTGTTTATGCCCTTTGCCTGGAGCTCTGGGTCCCTCTCTCTCTGCTCACGGCTGGCTTCATCAGCACCCCCACGTGCTATTCTTAGCCTGTGTGTTAATGCGCATTACTCATGGTTATTGAGTTGGATAACTGTGGTTGAGGGCCTTCTATTTTTACATTAATTAAAGGTTTTACGGTGAAATATGTTAGCTGCATGTACACCTTCAAGTAGCCTTGCAGGTTGTGGGCAAAATGCCAAGAGTTGGAATGGAGGCGGAGCCTCGGGCCCTGTCCATGGTGCTGAAAGACGCCGGGGAAGTTTTGAGGTCACAGGTTCTCACAGCCCGCGCAGCGCTGGGATAGGAAAGTCTGCACCCCCCCCAGCTCAGTCTGGCACTCAGATGCTTGCCAAGTCTCGCGGGCCAGTCACAGGACCCAGGCACGCGTCCAGGAGGGTGAGAGCATTTATGGGGAGGGCAGCTGGACCGCAGGACGGGGAGGGCTGGGGAGGCGGGGGGCTGTGCACTTCACAGTGTGGGAGGCTTCGCAGACGCTCCACCCAAAACCCCTGTTTTCCTCATCTACGAAGCCACCGCAGAAGGGTGCTACCAGGGTGAAACGAGCCAATGCAAACAAGTAAGCTGCCCTTGTAGAAAGTGCCCGTGAGCATTAAGTGTGGTGACTTACAGCAGCGCGGTGCTCCACTTTTTACACAACTGACGTCTTCTGTGTCCTCTGCATCTGTGAGGCCTTGTCCCCAGGGGCGGCCAACAGCTGGGAAGTGCCAGGGCTCCCTGTCCCCTGAGGAGGACGTTAGCTCCCAAAGCCTCAGGAAGCCGGGACGGGGGTGGGCTGACTTACAGGGGGAGGTGTCCGTTACCCTCCTCAGTTCATCCAGCGTAGTTCACAGAGCCCCTAAGAGTAATACCAGCACCTGGATTTATAAGTGCCATTGCACCTGCTCTCCAGTTTGGGGGTCAGTATTATTGACCTCACTTTGCAAGCTTATTCACCACGTGGCCAGGAGCAAGTGAGCCTGTCTCCGTGGCTGAGGCTGGAATTGGGCGCTGTTGTCCGACTCCGCAGCCTGAACTGATCAGCGCTGAGAAGTTCTCAGACTCGGGCCGAGTGTGGGAGTCGCCTGGGGCCCTCGTGAAAGCAGCTTTGCAGGGTCCACGGCCGGGGTGGGGCTGCCTGGGGCCGGGATCTGCCTTTCGGACAAGGCCCAGGGGTGCTGCTGGTGCCGGGGCCACACTGAGGACCTTCCCAGAGGCTTCGCAGACCCCACCAAATGGATGAAGAACAAACACTTAGAAAAAGGCCCTGGTAGTTAATGAACCAGGTCACAGGGGAGATGCCTTTCTCTCTTTTCTTTGAATTTCGCCCATTGAGGTAACCACACGATTCCTGGGGCTCTGGTTCTGACCAGTGGGCCCAGTGGGCCACTTCCTGCAGCTTCCCCCTGCCAAGGGCTCCCAGGGAGGCCCCGGAGGCGAGTGCGGGCGGCAGGGAGCTCCAGCCTTGGAATCGGGGCCTGGGCGGTGAGTCACAGCTGCCCGTGTGCATGGGGGGTGCCCGTCTCCCGGCCCTGGTCCCCTCCCATGAGGGCTCACACAGCGCTCCCATCCTCCTCCTCACCCGAGCGATCCCCCTCCCACAGGCGAAGGAGGAGGTTTGATCATTTACTGAGCGGTTCTCAACCTTCCCGATTCCGCGACCCTTTAACACAGCTCCTCATGTGGTGGTGACCCCCAACCATAACATTATTTTTTGTTGCTACTTCATAACTGTAATTTTGCTACAGTTATGTCTTACACGACCCCCGTGAAAGGGCCCTTTGGCCCCCAAAGGGGTGGTGACTCACAGGTTGGGAACGACTGATTCGCCCCGAATGCAGTACTTCCTGCTGGTGTCGTTTCCCTGTAGGCAGAGGAACTTCTGTCATTGTCTCGAGGCTTCCGACCCACCCCCTTGGGACAGAGCACTGCCCCCTGACCTCACCCTTTCCACAGGGGTGCGGCCGAGACCCAGCAGGGACGGCTGGTCTGCTCAGTGGCAGAGGCTGCACAGGTCCAGTCTGGTCCCCTGTCCCCTTCCTGCTCTTCTCTCTCCCTCCCTCCCTCCCTTCCTCCCTCTCTCCCTCCCTCCCTCCCTCCCTTTCTCTTTTCTGTACTTTATTGTGGATTCTTAGCTATTTTGTTTAAAGGCCCCCCTGCGCCTGACCTCCCCGGCTCCCAGGCAGCCCCCAGCCTCCTCCTGCCCCTTTCGCTGGCCCACCCCGTGGGCTGGAGGAAGTGTCCTCGGTCCCCAGCAGGACGCAGACAGCCGGAGTTTTGCTGCCGTGTAGCCTACAGTGTACGTGTAGGTTCCTTTTCTCGCCCGTGGTTACAACCCATGACGGCTCAGAGAGGCTGAGCCACCTTCGCACAGGGACAGGACGAGCAGCCGGGGGCTCTAACGTCCTCCCTCAGTCTTCGCAGGCAACCGAGGTCTCCGGAAGGTGTCGCTGGGTGGGGAGGTGACCCTAAAACAAGAAATCCCTGGGTTAGGTTAGCTTTTGCTTGGGGACAGGTTTCATAAGAGCGGAGACCCACCTGGTGGATGCTCAGGTCTCATGGAGATGGGAGGGGTCCTCAGAAGGGTCTGTTTGCCCTGCTGGCCTGTCCCAACCCTGTGACAGAAGCTTCAAAACGAGATGCCATCCTCTCAACCAAGGAAAAGATCCCCTTCTCCAGAGCCTCTGGCCAGTTTGCTGAAGCGCACGGGGGGGCCCCCCAAACCAGGGGAAGTGCAGTTCTGACACCAGCCACTCGGACCCGTCTGCCCCGCTGCCCACGTCCTTGGGGAGCACGGAGCCTGCAGCGGGTTCCTGAGCCCTGCTCACAGACGGACCGGCTCGGAGCATGTCCCGTCTCGGCCAAGGCCACGGGCGCTGAGCGGCGGCAGCAGGACGAGAAGCGGCAGCCTGTTGGCCTGGAGACCAGTGTGTTTCTCCAACACCCTGCTGTCCTCCTTGTCCTGGGGGTTTCAGACCCCACGGCTAGTTTTTAGTCGGATGGTGATGGCGGTTTGACCCCAGGACACACTCCACGGACTCCCGCTTGTCTGAAAGAAATATCCACCGTAGAAAACGTCCCCGGTGAAACACCCCCAAAGGGCTCACCTGCCCTTGTATGCCCGAGGACCTCTGAGAATGTCCCTCCGAACACCCCACCCGAGCACAGTGCTGGTCAGGCAGAGACGGTCGGCTTCCCTCTTGCTCTCAGGGAGGTTGACTGTCCTCTCTGGCTCCCCAGAACCCCCAGCCGGGCTCCCCAACACCAGAGAACCGACATGCTCTGTGTCACAGGCATAAAGACAGAAGCGGCAAGCTTGGCGGGGGTCTTGGCCGGACGCTTGATTTGGATCAGATGGTGTGGGACCTGGCGGGGAGCCTAAATCCTGTCTTGCAGTTCGCCCGGCCTGTCAGGGAACCGTGTGTGTGTGTGTGTGGGTGTGGGGGGGCAGCCTGCACACGTTTCCCTTTACCCCCACAGCCTCCCCGCGGGTGTGTCGGTCACCCCTTCTGCGTGGGACTCATTCCAATGGAGTTTGCCCAGTGCAAACAAAAGAAATCAAATACCTCGTTGAGCCCACTGAGTCTCAACCGTGGGCAGGCCGGCCTCCCAGGGGACATTTGGCAGCATCCGGAGACATTTTTGGTTGTCACAACCAGGGGTGCTGCTGGTCATCTCTCGGTGCCCAGGAAAGGCCCCGACAAAGACTCGTCCAGCCCAGGGTCCGTCGGGCCCAGGTGCTGCCTTCCACGTGTGGCCCTGAGCTGGGGCAAGGTGGTCCCGCGGGCACTCCGACAGGGACGTGGTGGGGCCACTCACGCACGCTGTCCTCGCACGTGGACCTCCAGGGCTGTTCTGAGAAGTGAGCTCCCACCCAGGAGGCCTCGCGGAGCCTGAGGGTCTGGGTTCCGTACCCCCCCCCCCCCGGTGTGCCAGGCTGCAGGCTGGTGGGCCACCCTCTGAGTAGCAGAACCTTGGCCCCTGCCTGGCCTGGCCCTGTGCCAGCGTGCAGGAGCCTGGCGTCGCCCTCACCCTGCAGTAACGCTGTTCTCTTTCCGTCCTCCTAGGGCTCCCTGGGCCTGCCCGGTCCCCCCGGGAGAGATGGCAGCAAAGGCGTGCGGGTACGTGTGCTCCTACCGCCCTTCCTGCACGGTAGCGCCCGGCGTGCACCCCGGTCAGAGCCCCTGCCCGTCGCTGAGGTGCCTGCGGCATGGCCAGGCCCCAGCCAGGCACCCCCTGCGTGTCCTGGAAGCTTTCTCAGCTAGTGGACCAGCAGTTCTGCACGGGAGGCCCTGTCCCCAGTGCTCGGACTTGGAACCAAGTCCAGGTCCACGGGGAGGGTTTCGCCCATGACCCCAGTTTTAACTGGAGAGTATGGGCGAAACCTGAGCAGCACCCCGTCCCCTGCGCGGCCAGCCTGCCTCCCTTTCATCGACACCCCACTACCCTGCATTGGAACGTGCTCCGGGGCCCCGACAAAAGTGAGCTCCACTCCAGGGGTCAGTCTGCTCTGGGAGAAAGGGGTGCTCTTCTCCATCAAGAGAGCAGCGGACATCGGTCTGGATGCCCCACTCTGCTCCCTTTACGTGTTCAGCCAAATGCGCTCAGGCCGCAGGGAGGGAGCCCCGACTCGTGGGCACCTCCTGAGCTCATGGCCGGTAGCACTCAGGACACGAGGTCTGGGCGGAGACGAGAGAAAGGGGAGTCCCACAGATGTCCACACACCCCCACTCCTCCTCCGTGAAGATGGCCCCCCTGTCGCCTCCCTGTGGCTGGTGGCTCCACTCCCTACTGTTCTGTGCACTTCGGTGCCCTCCAGCCGGGACAGTGGGCGAGATGGCCCCGCCCACCACGGTCCGCTGCTCTGCTATAGGAGGGGCTGCGAGGGGAGCCCTCTGGCCTCGGGTTCCACTGCTCGGGGGAGCCTTCTGAGTCCTGGGAGCGGGTGCCCCAGGCCCGTGTCATGACCATGTGCTGTTCTGTGTGCAGGGTGAGCCTGGCGAGCCGGGACTGCCTGGCGAGGTGGGCATGCACGTGAGTGTCGAGCCGTTTCCTGTTCCCGTGGGCAGATCTTGACGCAAAACCAGTTGCTCTAGGTGTAGGGAGACACCCAGATACCCCCACTTGACTCCCTCATCTCACCGCACGACGCCCGGGCGTGTGCTCCCGGTGCGATTTCCCCTGAATTCTTACAAAAGGAACCATCCCGTGTGCTGCCGCTCATCGCGTCCAGTGCTGTGCCGTGGCCTGGGGCCTCGTGCTCACATGACTTCCCCGTGTCTGGCCCTGAGCTTGCTTCTAGTTCCACGTTTTCTGCTGGAATCAGCGAAGCAGCGAGTGCGCGCGTGCATTTCGCCCCCAGCACTGCATTTCCGTTTCCGCAGGGGAGACCGCAAACACTTCCTCCCTCTGGCCGAGGAAATGCGCGTTTGCGTGCCCACAGCTCCGGTAGATAGCGCCAGGCTGCCTGCTTCAGAGCTGCAGCGGTCCCGGTGCGGGGGACACGGAGCCGGGGCCCTGCGGACACCTGCTGGGCTCCGTCTGGCCCGTCCAGGCTGCACGGCTCACAGCAGGGGGAGCTACAGGCATCCGTCCCATTGGCCAGGAGCTCTGTGCATGTCCCGGGCTGATCACAGGGCAAGGGCACCGGTCAGGGGGCAAGGGGCACAGGTCATGGGCAAGTACCAAAGGGAATTGTCCTCATCAGAGCTCAGACCCACTCTAGCTGGTCCTTAAAGCTTGAGATTGGGGTTCAAGTCCTGGGACCCAAACAGAGGAGGCAGTGGCAGTGGGGTCTCGATGCCTCCTCACGGAGCAGAGGATCTCCCCACACACTGTGGATGGGGTGTTTCCTCCACTCCTGCCCTTTCTTCTCATTCCCGACCCTGTGCGTGCTCCCTACAGGGGTTCCAAGGACCGCCTGGCCTGCCCGGACCTCCCGGCCACCTCGGGGCTCCTGTAAGTACTGGGCAGGCCTGCTCCCTCCCCAGGGCTGGGCCAGTCTCCTACCAGGTCCCCTCCCGTGTCTGCCCGCGTGCCGATGGCAGGGGTGGGGGTGGCAGAGTCGCAAGCTCTGGGCGGCCGTGGGGCTGATGCTGAAGCACATTCCTGCCCTGGGCCAGGTGCGCTCAGGGCCAGGTGCGTCCACTCTGGCCGGCAGCCCTGGTTCACTCAGGGGAACGGCCCAGGACCTCAACTCTTCTCTGGCAGGGCCAAGCTCGGCGGCCGGGCCCGGGGGGGGGCGGGGAGCAGCCCACTGTGCATAGTGAGGCTCCCTGGGGAGACTCCTGCCTCTGTCCCCGGCAGCCTGTGCGTGGCCCTCAGACAGGCCAGAGAAGCTGGACTCAGACGTTGTGACTAATGTTCCCCCTCCCCTTCTGCCTCCAGGGTCTTCAAGGAGAACGAGGGGAGAGGGGACCCCGAGGAGAAAAGGTATTTACAGTGGGCTTCAAACACTAACATGGCTTTCTGCAGAAAAGAGGGTGAGGGCACCTGGGCCCGCCAGCTCTGTGCTTGTTCTGTGTCTGTGCGTGTGCACATGCCTGTGTGTACAGGTGTATATGTGTGTATGTAGGCATGTGTGCACGTGCCTGTGTACAGGTGTATATGCGTGTATGTAGGCATGTGTGCACATGCCTGTGTGCACAGGTGTATGAGTGTGTAGGCATGTATACACATGCCTGTGGGTACAGGTGTACATGGGTGTGTGTGCGTGTACATGTATGAATGTACATGCACCTCCAGGTGAGGTTCAGAGAGCGTTCACCCGTGACCTGGGGGCCTCCGTCTCCAGGCTGCAGCCACGCATCACCCTGGTGGAGAGAGCCCTGTTCAGCGGCTCGGGCCCTCCTCCTGCGTCTGGATGCCGAGCTGGGCTCTGAGCAGTGTGGCCTCTGGGGAGTGTGTCCTGGGTGCTCAGAGGCATCTCTGTGACATGAGGCTGCTGTGAGTGGCAGATGAGTCCCTGCTGGTAGAGCCCGAGAGTGGCACTGGGCAGCGTGCACTGGGGAACCTCGGCCCTTGAACGTAGTGGGTTCCAGAGGCTGCTCTAGAACTGAAGCGGGTTTTCCCGTTAGAAATAGTGCAGGTTGGATCGATCCGTTCCAGACCGCCAGCTGCTTCCCCGTCTTAACCTCTCTTGTATACAACTCGTGCCCACTGTGCTGTTTAATCTACAAATGAGCACTTAGAAAACAAAAGGGGAATGAAACATACAGCAAAAAAATGAAAATTTAATAACAATAAGCAGCATCAAAAGCAAAAAAGCCACGAACGTGTTCACCGCGTGCTCTCCTGAGACGTTGGCGGTGAACGGACTCGTGTTCGCACCTTCTCCCCTTCGTGTGTCGTCTGAGAGGCGCGTGACCGATCGCACAGGGGTCAGCACGAAGGGTGGCTGGGTGGGGAAGAGAAACCGAGACAGGAGATGTGTGAGAACCGAGGTTTGACTGTACTTAGAAGGTGGGAAGACAGACGAGACAGGGAGAGAGGGAGAATCGTGGGCCCACCCTGCTGGCTCAGCCTCGGGCAGACGTCTGACCCTGGTGCTAAGTTTCCGGGTGACTGGTCCCTTCTCGGCCCCCCGTTTCCAATCTGTCAAAGTGAAGCCTGGACCATGTGACCCTCTAGGCGCCTTTCCAGTTCCTGTATCTGATGGGCACTTACAGCAGCCTGTTTTCTCACAAACCCAATTTCTTACATCAGCAAGAAGGAAGTTTCCATCGCCTCTTGAGACCGGCCCGTCCCACTGCCTGGCGCTGCCCAGCATGGAGCGGGGCCAGAGGGAGCCGCCACCATCCTCCGACGAGGCTCCTGCCGCCAGCCACACGGCCAGGCGTTCTCTGCAGGGTGGAGCAGCCCTGGCTCTAGGCGGTTTCCAGCAGGGACCCTGGCGGCCAGCTGAGATGTGCAGGCACCGGGACGTCCTGTGACTGAGGGGCAGCGAGCCCCGCGTGCGCTGGCAGGGGCTGCTGACCTGGGGACGGGTGGCCAGGGCTAAGGTGGAAAGAGAAGAGTCTCCTCATTAAGGGGCCAGAGTTGGAGGCAGAGGCCCCAGCTCCGTCTGCAGAGCCGTGCTCCCAGGACAATTCGAGTGGAGGTGACAGTCCAGCTCCTGCAGCCCGGGAGGGTCTTCCCCGGCCCTGCCCTGGCTGCCCTCACGAACCGGCAAGAGCGTCAGCCCTGCCCTGCCAGCTCGGGGCCTCGCACAAGCTTCCAGCCTCTCTGACATTTAGGGGTAACGCTGTCTGTCTCGGAGCAAGCGGCGTGGAAGAAACACACCCACGGCCTCCCACGCGAAATGTGCGCAGCAGCACCCCGAGTTCAGAATTGCCGAGACTTCTTCAGCCGGAACACCGGCGCCGCGTTCCGCTCTAAGTGGGGTGCGCGCGCCCTCTGCTGTCGGAGGCCCGGAGCCGCAGCCAGTGCGCCCAGCGCGGAGGGATTGAGACCTCAGACCAGACCTCCTGAGGATGAGGTGCCTGATCCCTGAAACTCTGCTTCCTTTACCAAAGCCCGCGCCACCTGCCGCAGGGTGGATGTGAATTTTAAAGGAGGTCTCGCCTACGTCCGCGTTTGGGATTGGAAGGTGCTCTGGACAAAGAGTCTCATCTAATTTGCACACACACTTCCCTAAGGGTGGAGGAAGGTGCAAATCCTTAGAGATCTCAGAGTTCTTGTAGTCCTACTGCCTTCTTTCCTTTCCTTGTTTGTCGTTGTTTTAACCCAACCAGGAAACGGGGTACCAGCCGGTGCAGACTGTCCCCAGGCAGCAGCGCGTTGGCTAGGTCAGGCTCAGGGCTCAGGTCTGCTGACTCTGGCGCGTGAGCTCCGCTCGCCCTGCCTCCCAGCTCACACCCCGCCTCCCCCAGGCAGTCTTCCCTCCCGGTCCTTCTCAACCGATTGATGTTTCTCCCCTTTCCCGCGTTCCATGTCCGCACTTGGCTTGGTGTAACCAGTTTTTGGAAATGTGCTGCCCACGCGTCAGGCGTTGTGTAAGCCTTTTGCATGTAGGAGCTCACTTCGTCCCCTCGGCAGCCTTGTGTTTGCAGATGGGAAACCAAGGCACAGAGAGGCTAAGTAATTGGCCCAAGGTCACGCAGCTTGAGGGGAGCCAGGCGTTGAGTCTGCGTTGTGAGGCTGACCACCGGTCCCTGCCCCCCCAGGAACCTGGCTGCCACTGGGTCTGTGGCAGGAACCAAGCTGGTGGCCAGCTGTCCACACCCTGTCCTCTGTTGGGCTTGTGTGGTCAGTGCAGTGGGAACAAAACCCAACGAAAACCAGCACCAGCAGAAGAAAACCAAGCGCCGAGCCTTCAGGAGGGACCTGCTGTCTGTAGTTTTCACCTCTGACCCAAATCTTCCCTATTGCTCCCCCCCCCCCATGTCCCAGCTGGGCTTCTGAAGGTAGTTCAGGGAGAGACCCTGCCTTATAGACTGCTGTCTCCTTCCCCTGTCCCTGTGTCCGTCTGTCTGTCTCTGCTCTCCCTCACCACCCTCTGCTGCCCATTCTCTTTCTCTCCTGCTGAACAGCCACATCGGTCAGCGCCCAGCTGTGTCCCGGCTCGCTGTGTGCTGCCAGCCAAGCAGATTGCTGAGTCCACGGCCAGCCGGGCCCCCGCGGTGTGGCCCAGCTGTGCTGAGTTGCAGGTGGAGGGATCTGGGCTCCGGGCTCCACGGGTCCTAAATGCAAGTGCAAGGATGTGAGACGGGGGCTTGGGCAGCAGGCAGGCCCCCTCCTCGGGGCGGAACATGGCCAGTCACAGGCTGAGAGCCCGCTGAGCTCGCCGTTGGCCGTGCCCGTTCCAGGGTGGCGTGGGTAGGCTGACTTTCCGAGGAGGAGAGCTCTGGCCTGGGAGTCGGAGGCCCTGACGTTAGTCCCGGCTCCATCACTGAGTGTCTGTGGGACCCGGACAAGACGCATTCCCCTGGGGCTGTCCGTTGTGAAGTGAGCCGGTTGGACTCCATGGGCTCGAAGCCGTCACCAGCTCTGGGGATCCGTGGGAGAGACACGTGTGCCCCTCCAGGGCCTCTGCGCAGACGCTGTGGGGGGGGGGGGGACCGGTCAAGGATTCCAGTGCAAGCACCTCACATCTGGGCCTCAGTTTCCTCATCTGTCATCGGCCTTCAAACCCGCCGACGTCATAGCATTGGGAGGGAAGGAAGGTTTGGTAACAGGTGTGGGAGCAGAGAGAGGAAACACAGGCAACTCCTGTTCACCCCCAAACTCACAGAATGAAGACTTTTAAATAACGGGTGATAGCGCCTGACAATAGAAATGGGTGCACCCTTACTCTAGGATTCTGAAATAATTTCCGAAGGACAGAAAATATGTGTGATTGAGTTTACGTAGATGGGGAGACACTACAAACCGAACTTCCGGACTGGGAGGGTCCGGGAACAGCCCGAGCTCAGTCAGTGGGCGAGGGCAGTGGGGTCCTGGGCAGGTCTCAGTGATTAATCTGGGCCATGCATTTGTAGCTGAGTTGGGGTTCTTTTTAATTTTTTTCTTTATTAATTTTTAGAGAGAGAGGAAGGGAGAGGGAGAGAGATAGAAATATTGATGAGAGAGAACATCGATTGGCCGCCTCCTGCACGCCCTCCACTGGGGATCGGGCCCACAACCTGGGCATGTGCCCTGACCGGGAATCGAACTGGTGACCTCTTGGTGCAGGGTCCACACTCAACCACTGAGCCACACCGGCCGGGCCAAGGTGGGCTTCTTACCACCTGTCCACTCCCCTCCGACTCCTGCTCGAGCTGGCCAGGGGAAGCATCACCTTTGTCCCCAGAGAGAGCAGCATTCCCCAGGCAGCCAGCAGCCCCAGGAGGCACGGGGCACCTCCGCCGCTGGTCACTCCCACCTGGAGGTGCCCCTGAGCCACAGTCGCAGAGGTGGGCTGCGGAAACCGAACTGACTCCCCAGGCAGGCAACCCGAGACTCACAGCCCAGTGGGCAGAAAACCAGGCCACCTCCATCATTCACAGAGAATCCACATCCCGGAAGAGACGCACCGACCTGAAGGAGCAACAAAGAAAGGAATAACTGAAGCAGTAAAGTCACAGAAAAACAAAAGGGGAGTTCCAAATACTTTCCATGGGCCGTCTCCCAGTTAGTCAATAAATGCCAACTCGGGGCACACGGTGTTTGTCTGGACCGGGCGCTGGGGGCACCTGAGGGGGGCGATGAGGCCAGGCTGGAGAAGCACAGGCTGGTGACCTGGATGGAAAGGGCAGAGGGGTGACATCGAAGGAGCCCTGACGGGCCCTGAGGAGCCAGCAGGGGAAGGTCAGCGCGTAGGGACGAGGAAGAAGCTGCTGGGTTTGGGGAGCTCAAGGAGGAGAGCCACGGCTGCTGACTCCGCCTCAGCACGAACCCACCTTTTCGAGTCACCTTCCCCCATCAACGGCTCCAGGGCCCCCCGGGGGAAGGACCCTGGCCGGGAACCTGGACACAGGCGGTAGCGGCGTGCGGCACACAGTGGCACCCCTGGCTTCGGCTCCAGGCGGCCCGTGGGGCTGAGAGGAGGGCTTTGCTCTCAGGTGCTCCGGCACATCCGTCCCTCCGTCAGTGCCTCCATCAGGGTCCGTCCCGGGGAACATCGCTGGCAGAAGCAGTCTCGGGCGAAGGGACTGGCCCAGGGTTGCACAGCTAGTGAGAGATCCCACCCAGCTCCGCCGGAGTGTACGCGGACGGGTGGGTGTCAGGTGGCTGTGTGGACGGTGGCCTCCCGCCCGCCAGCAGTGGACCTCGGTTACCCGAGCACTGGCAGTGTAGTGAATGGGCGGTGGACAAGTGCACCCACAGTTTGTGACCTGCGCCACGCACCCCGCACGCTCATTACTTAGTCGGACCCCGAGGAAGCCCCGTGAGGTGAGAAAACTGGTTCAGAGAGGCCCCCTGGCCGCCCTGGGTCGCAGATTTGGGGAATGAAATGCAGAGAGGACTCTGGTTTCCCCGACTTGGGCCTCACGCTCCCGGACCCCCATACGCTTAAACCCGAGGCTGGCTGAGTGTGCTGGCAGCCCCGCGTCTGAAGGGCCTGGGGAGACCGGAGCCGAGTCCATGGGAGCGGAGGGGTCTGCTCACCTTCCTTCCGTGGGGATGCTCACCTGCTCTTCGTCTCTCCGCTCTTCTTCCGCCAGGGGGAGCGAGGCCTGGACGGATTCCCTGGGAAGCCTGGGCAGCCGGGAGAGCAGGTCGGTGGGCACTGGCTGGCTGGGCCGCGCTTCGCCGGAGGACAGGGTTGGCTGGGGCCCCGGTCTCCGTCCTGCTCAGCTGGAGGCTGTTAGTGGGGGGTGCCGGGAGGGTGTGACTGCCTCCCAGACCCTCCTCCGGGCTGTGAGTGTAGGTGGCTCCCGGGCCCCTCCTCACTTCCACTGGGCTTTCCCCTGGCCGCTCCTGGGAGGCTCCCCGGGAACGTGGAGGTGGAGGAGGGCTGGTCTCAGCACTGGCCCTGCCCGCCCTCTGGGGCCCGGCTTTCCTGTCCTCAGCGAGTCCTGGTCTGGAGGCCAGGTCGCTGCCCCCGGGCCCTGGAGACCTCGCCAGCCCTCAGCACCCCCAGTTCCACACCGCTCCACCTCCCCTGGCCTCCCGGGTCCCTGTGCCCAAAGAGAGCTTGGTGCTTGCGTCCTGCCTTGGTCCAGGTTCTGTCCGACGTGTCCCTCGGGTCCCTCAGGAAGTCTGGTCTGAGAGGGCCCCGCCCTCTGGGGAAGGAGCACATTGCAGCTGCCCCCCTCAACCGCTCTCTGCTCCCCACGGCGCTGACAGCTCACCTCTCCTTCTTTCCTAGGGACGACCCGGCCCCCCCGGCACAGCCGGGCCCCAGGGACAGAAGGTAAGCCTGGCCCGGGGCTGGGGGGGCTCTGGGCCCTGGACAGACGCTGTGTGAGCTGCCCGCCTGCAGCAGCGGGGACCGGGGGTGGGGGGGAGCCCAGGCTGAGTTCTGGGAGCCTGGTGATTCGGGCACCAGGATCTTAGCTAACACGCCATTTCTGGTGACTGTTTAATCTTTTTCTACTTTTAGGGATAAAAGTTTTTTTAATAAACAAATTTCTATTCTATTATTCTATTCTATTCTATTCAGACCTAGTAAAATAGTATGCTACCTAAATTGCTCTTGGACAAAGGCAGGGTAGGAAGAAAGACCAAAAGACATCTTACCAACGCCTCTTCCAGTTCCTCTACCCTCTGCAACGTTTAAAGGGTTTTAACTTTTCTTTTCCGGGGACAACCCTTCTGAGAAGGCACTGGATCGTTCACAGAGAGTAGAAAGCGCCTCTTCCCTACCCATCATCTGTCAGAACATTTTCTCGACAAGGCTTCACGCAGCCCGTGTCCTGCTCGGACGTCCTGCAGCTCAGCGGAGCGAGCTACACGCAAGGGTTCTTTGTAGACCTCGAGGTGCCACAGAGACGCATGTGCCCGTGATGACCTTCCTGAGCGTGCGGGTGACGAGGGGTGCCACCAAGAAGGGGTGATGCGTTAGTAGGAGAGGTGACGAGGGACAGCCCTGACCCTGACTACCGGGCTCTTGGACCGGCCCTTGGGGAAGACAGAAGACAGTGGCTTGAGAACAGCTGAGGAGAGGGAAGGAGGAGCAGGGGGACCCCGAGGCGCCGCACATCTGCCCAGTGTCCCTGAGCTCAGGCGAAGGTCACTGGCCGAGCCAGGCGTGCTGCCTGGTGGCTCAGCAGGCCACGGGCTGCAGGGACCTCCGCGCAGGATGGAGCCAGGGGGTGGCTCGCGAGACGCCCGGCGCTCGGCTGCGGCTCGGGCCCAGTTAATTATTCCCTCTCCGTCTAGATATTTTTAGAGCTGAGGGTTACATTGTTATGTTATCCTGGTCTCAGGATTTTAGAATATTTCTGCAGTTCCTTGACAAGATGCTAAATCCTAAAATAAGTAAGTAGTTTATTTCAAGTCGCTCAGAAGGAAGGACCATTGAAGTTTGGTTCTGGTGATGACTCTTTCTTGCTTCAGAGAGAGCGAGAGAGGAATTGATGATCTACGTACAGGTTTTTTTAGCCCCTCCTGTTTGGGGAACAGCTGAGTCATTGTTGGTTATTGTGACGAACGCAGTGGAGGGGGGGGCACGAGGTCAGGGTCATGTATTCCGTGGGGCGTTTGCTCATTGAATAACCAGGAAACCAGCGATGCCCGGGGGCGGGGGTGCTCAGCTCCTTCTAAGAGGGCACCGTGGGGACAAGTCTTAGATGGTTTACAATTCGAGAAACAGAGCTGATCTCTGCAACTCTCCCCCACCCCAACTTTTAGAGATGAGGGAACAAAGGCCCAGAAAAGTAGGGTGTCTTATTCCAAGTCAAAGGCTATTAAAAACATGACCCATTGAGATTTTAGAAAAGCACCCGAGGCCGGGGGGAGCGAGGGGGCTTGTCCCAATCTCGGGCGACCGTGGGCACAGTGCAGTTGTGGGCGTCAGTTTCGGTGTCGGAGAAACGCGTTCTGTCCAGATAGTGGAGCCTCAGGCGCGGGGAGGCCGGCAGGTGTGCCTCCCGTCGCTCCCCTGCCCCGTGGCTGCAGGGTTTAACAGCTGCTTCCTTGTCTCTTCAGCAACTCCTCCCTTCCTTGCCCACTGAGTCAGCAGCAGTGTTTGCGCAATCCCCCCACTGCCTGTGAGAGCCTCCGGGGAGTGACAGGGTGGGTCCCCAAGCCACCCGTGGGCACAGGCACCCTTGTTTGAGCCGCAGGGACACAGAGCAGGGGCGGTGAGGACCTCCGGTCGCTGTAGTTGACAGTCGCCCCGCGTAGACTCCAGGTGTAGCCCCCCACCCAGGAAACGCTGCCAGTCACCGTGGCCAGTCACCGTGGCCAGTCACCATGGCCCGGGCTCCTGGAGCTACAGAGACCAAACCCGCCTTATCCATCACCTTGTCGACATGGACGGAGCCATCACAGCATTGGCACCAGTTATTTGTCTGGTCGCTCGCTCTGGGTGCTGACCAGCTGCTGCCCCAGGGACTTGGCAGAAGGGTTGCGCCGTGGGGACAGTCACCGCCGTTGTGTGTCTGACTCGGGGCCGGGTTCCCGCGGTGCTGCCCACGCAGTGCACTGGGTTGCTCTCGGCAGAAAGCGGTCGCCCAGCAAGCCCCAGGCGCCGGGCTGGATGTGACAAAGGGGAAACAGTCTCCTCCAACAGAACTGTGTGTCCCGGAGAGGAGTGGGTCTGGCGGGTGGCCCTGTGCGCGGCGCAGGGCAGAGACCGGCGAGGTCGGAGGACCTGCAGGAACACGCAGGGCCTCAGCGGGGGGCACCGGGGATGGTGGCAGTGCGTGCCACCGGTGACAGGTCATTAATTTCTCCACAGGGTGACGTGGGGCCCGCAGGACCCCCTGGTGTGCCGGGCTCTGTGGTAAGTGGGACCGGGCTTGGCGGCCGGAATCTCGGGCTCCTGGGCTGGTAGGACCGAGTCGCTGGAGGAGTCCCCGCCTCCGTGACCGCACCAGCGGACCGAAGGCTCTCAGCCCTCAGAGGGGTGAGCCCAGCCCGACAGGGCCCCGCTGCTCCCTCCGTGCAGCCCAGAGGGCTTGGCCTGGCCACGGACAACCGGCCGCCCCTCTGCTGACGCTGGTTTGTCCCCCAGGTGCAGCGAGAAGGCCTGAAGGGCGAGCAGGTAAGAGACGCGCCCTCCCGTCGGGGGTCAGGAGGGGCAGAAGCAGAAGGGCACGGCGGTGGGCTCGGGCCTGCTGTGCAGCCTGCGGAGGCGTGTCCATGGGCTTCCTGCCGGGAGTGCCGAGGCCGACGCGTAGCTCAGCCCTGCTGGGCACGTCGGAAGTGAAATCCGAGTCAGCAAGGGGCTGAGGAGGGTGGTGGCCCAGGCCTGGGGAAGGGGAGTCGTGGCTAATTCATGTTCGGCTTGTGTTACCAGGGACCTCCAGGACCCCGGGGTCACCAGGGCCCTCCTGGGCCCCCAGGAGCTCAGGTAAGTGACCCGTCCCGGCCCAGGGTGTGCGCTGAACGCCGGTGGGTCTGGGGAGCCGTCGTTCTCAGTTCCCATCACTGTTCTCCCCGGAGCTCAGGACCGCACCCTGGTCGGTGGTGGTGCCCCTTGCACAGGAGGCCACTGAGACTGGCCACCGGTGATTCAGTCCCAGGGGTTTGCAGCCTGGGCGGCCCACCTGCAGAGCCCAGGGTCCCAAACAGGCCACGTTCGGGCTTCTCCATTCACGCTGGTGGTTTAGTTTCCCCCCAGAGAAGAGGGAATAAGAACAGTGAACCCCACTGCCAACCGGATCTCTCCAGTGCACGTTGGCCCCCCCTGGTTTCCAACTGACACCGGCTCTGCCCGGCTCGGAACTCTCCGGCCCTTGGCTTCTCCCTCTATTAGGGATTTAATGATGCGTAAATAACCATTTGGGAAGAGGCTGTTTTCCGTGATCATTCTGTGCTGTGAGCCCAGGTACCCGGGGTGATTAGTAAGTACACGGTAATTCCGCGGGTCGGCGATCTCCCCGCCTCCTTGGGGAAGAGGGCTGCTGTCCCTGAGCTTGGGGTGCCTTCTGGCCAGAGCGGAGAATCCTCATTCTGAAGGGCCCGTGAACCACATTGACGCCACGCCATCAAGGCCTGGTCCTCACCGGGATCGATGTGTGTGGCTTTGCGGGGGGTAGAGCTAGAAGCAACTTAGCAGATGTTTAATTCCAGCGTCATCGTGACAATTTCATATCAAAGGACCCAGGTCAGAAAAGCTCCCTTCTGTGGCTATAACCTTCGACATCTTGCTGAAGCCCCGAAGGGTCAGTTTCCAGAGATCTCCAACGTCGCTATCACTACTGTGAGATTTAAAGTAGGTAATGTGCCCTGGCCGGTTTGGCTCAGTGGTTAGAGCGTTGGCCCACGGACCGGGGAATCACAGGTTCGATTCTCGCTAAGGGCACATACCTCAGTTGCAATTTGTCCCAGGCCCCAGATGGGGTCAGGTGGGTGGCGACTGGTTGATGTGCCTCTCACGTCGATGTGCCTCTCACATCAATGTTTCTCTCTCTCTCTCTCTCCCTCCCGCTCTGCTTGAAGATAAATGCCCTCCCGCTCTGCTTGAAGATAAAATATCCTCAGGTGAGGATAAAAAAATAAAAATAAAGTAGGTAATGCAGTACCTCTATATAAGCAGTTAGCGCTCTGTGCTTATATATTTCAGATCCATAATTGGCCAGCACTGACTGTCTATACAGTAGTGTGTGTATGTGTGTGTGTGTGTGCGCGCGCACATGTGCATATATTATCCTCACCTGAGGATATTTTTTTATTTATCTTCAGATAGAATGGGAGGGAGAGAGAGAGAGAAACATTGACATAAGAGGGACACATTGACTGGTTGCCTCTCGCACAACCCCAACCAGGGCCGGGGACAAACCACAACCGAGGTACTTGCCCTGGACCAGAATTGAACCCACGACTCATTGGTCCACAGGCCAAGGCTCTACCACTGAGCCAAACCAGCCAGGGCAACTGTAGCATATTTATTTATGTGCAAACATCTGCATATTAAGCCTGCGAGGGTGAAGGTGTTTTTCTTCTTTTACCAATGGAGACTTTGGCTGCACCGAGTCACATAGCTGTTAAGAAGCAGCCCTAAGCTTTTTTTTTTTTTTTATCCTCACCCGAGGATATTTTTCCATTTTTTGTACAGATAGAGTGGGAGGGAGAGAGAGAAACATCGACGTGAAGGGACACATCGAGTGGCTGCCACCCACATGACCAACCAGGGCCGGGGACAAACTGCAACCGAAGTACGTGCCCTTAGCGGGAACTGAACCCAGGTCTCTCTGGACCACAGGCCGACGCTCTAACCGCTGAGCCAAACCGGCCAGGGCAGAAGCAGCCCTAAGCTTTGAACCTGGGCTTGTCTTCCCTCCCCCTCTCTTTCCATCCCGAGTGAGCGGTGCACTGGTTCTTCCTCCGAGACGTGTGTAGGAGAATCATTTCCTTCCTGGCTCCTGCTACAGAACCGAACACCGCATAGCCCGGCTTCGTCCTCAGGCAGCCCTCCTGCCCGCTGTCTCGTGGCCTGGGGATAACAGTAGGTGGCCCCCCTCATGGGCAGATTTTGTCATGGTCAATGAGGGAGGGAGAAAAGGAAGACACTTCAAACATGTATGGCCCCCTACTTTATGTCAAGCAAAATATGAAGGCTGGTGACACAGGAATGAAAACACATGGCCCGATCTCATCCTTGAGCGAAGATGTGGAGATTCGTTGTGAGCACACCTGCAGTGTCTAGGAGACGGAGGACGGTTCTCTGCAGGTGTCATTGCTGCAGACCATCCTGTGGCCCGAGGAGAGTCTACACCCTCAGTGTATGCAACCTTGGGGCCGCGGAGCTGTCCAGGTGCTGAAGGGGTCCTATAGGCTAGATGCTGTCTGTCAATGCAATGGATTTAGTGGTACATGGTGTTGGTGATGAAATTCCCTTGGAAGGAGCTTTAAAAAAAGAGAAGAAACCCAAACCATTAGCCTACCCGAAGACCTGGTTAACAAGGGTGAACAGTAATGAGAGACTCAGACTCACAGTCTTGAAGCTAACATCTCTCCCGTCTGTAAATCCACGGCGTTTACCCTGTGGTGGGACTTACACGTGCTGTGGAGGAGAGGCCCACACAGTGCTCAAGAGGGGCATTAGGGCAGGGCCTACTGCAGGGTGATCTCGTAAGGACCAGTGCGGCCACGGAAGGCACTGGGAATTAGGAACCAGGACATCTGGGTCCATGTTGCGATTCTTCCACCACGTAGCTCTGAGTCTTTGATGGCATCACTTAACCTCTCCGGTCCCTCCTTGCTCCATTCCTTACTCGTACCCCATTGTCATCACCACCACCATGCTCTCCATCGGCGCGCCGAGGGCCCAGGGAGCTTGCGCACAAAGCAGTGCTCTGTGAGACCTGGTTGCCAGCCCAGCACCAGCAGCCACTGCCACTCTGTCCTTTGGGCTGCACCTAACTCAGGACCTTCTGCAGAACAGGGGCTCCCCAAACAGTGAAGGGAACTGAGAAGCTGGCTTCAGTGGCTTCTGCTGAGAATGGAAAATTTTGAGTGCGTGTTTAGCAATCCTGGTGAGAGGAAAACACCTCTCCTCCTCCACTGAAAACGGCATGCCTCCTTCTGCATCCTATGCTGGGGCTGAGGAGGTGCACCTCCCGAACCCCCGTCCCCCACGGGGAGGCGGCTCCGACCATTCCATCGGTGTCTGGGTGAGTCATAAAGGTGGGCCAGCGGGGCACGAGGTGATTCTTGATGCTTAAATAAAAGTCACTTCTGTGGAGTCTTGCTTCTCTGGGAGCTGAGCTCCACAGAATAGTCCTTGTGGAAGGGAGATGTCAGCCCTTAACCACTGCAGTCTGCTCATCTGTGTGCCCATCTCCGTGGTGTTATTAAGAGACCTGGGGCCCACACATGGTCACCTAACAGTTATGCAAAATTTGGCCATAGTAGCTATTTGTGTGGTGGTAATATTTATTGAAGATGAGGGAATTGGAAGGCAGAGAGGGAGTTTCGGGCCAGAATCCTCCCAGAATGTTGGTGACGGAGCCGCAGCTCACGCTGAGGGGTTCATTTGCCCACTCACACCCCATGCCTTCTTCTACGTGGCATCGCTTGGGTATAAACCGGGTGCTGTCAGGAGGTCTGGGTGCTGTGTCAGCCTTTTGTACCCGTTCTTCACGGGTCCTCACAGCCTCTCGGCAGGTGGGTATAATGTATCATCCTCACTTCAGAGATGAGCTCACTGAGGTTCAGGGATGCCATGGGAGCCGTCTGAGGTCATGGTGCTGATACACGGTGTGGGGACTGGGCACGCGGCTGGGGTCAGGCCAGTCTGACCGCTCCTGCACCCGTGTTCCCTGCTTACTTGAAACAACTCCCTGCGACAGTTTCATTTATTCATGCAGACTACCCTGTGTCGCCCGTCACTGTCGGCTGAGAGTCAGAGACCCCAGCCTGTAGCTGGGAGAGAGCAGAGGGCTCAGAGCTGAGACACGGTTTCTAGAGACTTCTCTCTTCGCACACTCCACGCACAACACTCACGCTCGGCATTTGGGTCTCACTACTCATCTTTAAAGTGTGAACAGTGTCGCCGCCATCTCGGTTGTTAAACATACTTGATTAGATCAGCCGGGTGCACAAGTTTTATGGATTCGAGGGAAGAGGGTGCTTTTCCCTCCTGGTCTTCCAGGTCCCCACGGGAACGGGACGGCGTTTTCCTACCCCACGAGGGCAAGGGCCGCGTGCAGCCTGGGGTGGAGGACCCTGTATTCACCACGGTCTCAATGTTCTCTCTCCCCCAAAGGGTCCCATGGGTCCGGAGGGCAAGGACGGACACCCTGGTCTGCAAGGCCTTCGAGTAAGTACACAGCCCTTCCTTTCGGAGTCCCCAGCTCACCGCCTGGCCTCATTCACAGCTCGAGCAGAGGAGATGTCGCCAGCTCCTGGGCTGGAAATGAAAAGGTTGAAGGGTAGACCGAGCTCCTCCGATGTGGCTTAGGATCTCCTAGGTGCTCAGTCTTCCGCTGGGGCCTGGGGAGACGGGAGTGAGTTTGTGGTCTGTCCCGCGTCCTGTACATAGACACTCACACCTGTGTGCGGCCAGAGCCCTGGCAGAAGGCAACCGGGTGCTGAGGGAACACAGACCCACCTGGGAGCAACCAGGGCTTCTTGGAGGAGGTGACGTTCAAGCTACGTGTTGGGGAAGGACTAGGAAAATGCGTAGTGCAAGACCAGAGAACCGCCCCAGTCCGTTGACATCCACGTGATGACCGAGCACCACTGCGTCCCCCCGAGAGGCCACTTACTTTGATTTAACGAGCCCCTGTCTCCTCCTGCAGGTGTGCACCCCCGAGTGTCCTCGTGGTGCGCACAGCTCCTGTGTCGCACGGGCTTTGCCGTTTAAGGCCACGGGTTTCAACGGTCACGGGACGAGGGGTCAGGCTCACCGGGGTTAGGTGCCCTCCTTGGTGTCTCGGCAGCAGACAGGGACTGACCCCTGACTCGATGTCCCCAGGTGTCAGCAGGGTGCCTGACACAGGGCAGGGACTCAGGTTCACATCTGCTGACCTCTAGTACGTGACCCTAGCACCTTACTGTGCACGTGGAGAGCTGGCTGGGGCACAGCCGTGCGGGGGTGAGCTCACTGCCCCTGCAGGGTTGGGCTCAGAGGCCAGGGGACCACGGACAGATGGGCGGATGGGGCACCCTGGGATCCGACAGAGGCTGCCCAGTCCCATGTATGGCCTGTCTTAGCCGGGAGAGTCTGTAGCTCAGTGACATGGATAGAGTCATGGACTTGCTGTGGATTTGTTCTTTCCACGGTGGTTGACCCACCCTCTGATCACATTTTATATCCTCGGTTCTGAAGCTGATGACCTGCTTTTATGACTCAGCATAGACTCCACCCTGTCCTAACCTCCAGTGAACTTTCTCTGGTTCCCAAACACCCCTGCGTCCACTGACCATCTGGAACCCTCAGGTCTGCAAGGCGCTGGGCGGCTGGCAGAGGAGGGCTGGGTGGGGGAGCCGAAGTCGCTCACCCCGCTGGGAGAGCTTGAATATGCTACCTCCCGCTCACATCACCAGCCCTGGCCTCAGTTTCCCTGTCAGCCGGCGGGCCTCTGCTCTGCGTAGAGCAGGGATGTGGGACTTGGTGGCGAGGGCACCTGTCTGCTTCCCAGCAGCTGTGTGACCCTCGTGCCGCCGGGTCTCTCTGAGCCTGTGGCCTTGTCCCTGGGGGAGGCTTCCCCACCCGCTGAGCTGGGAGAAAGGGCCCCGGGCGGCCCGAGGGGCAGCGGGACGTGGCCGGGCTCCCGCCCTCCCCGTGCGCAGTCTGGAGGGAGCAGCACCCCTGTGCCGGGTACTGTCAGGCCGGCGAGCAGTTCATGCGTGGACCTGCCGCGGGCGTTACCCTCTCGAACGGGCATCGGGGGGCAAGTGGCGTGGATGTGAGCCCCTGTGAGAAGTCCCCACGTCGTCACCTGACGGGTCTCATCAGGAGGGGAGGGGCCCATCTTGCTTGGAGCTTGCTTGTTGAGGCCCCCACCTCCTTGCCCATGACTTCTTGGCTCCCCCCAAAGTGTTCATGTATTCCCCAGGGATGGCTGTTGTCATCCTCCCCAAACCCTTTATTCCTAAGAGTAATACCAGCCACTGTGCAGTGCGGCCTGGCCGGGTCCCACTTGACACTGGCCCGGGGCCCTGGAGAAGTGCACCAAGACTGGCGATTCGGGGAATAAAACCCAGAGCAGCCACCAGGTGGAGGGGTGGGGAGGGCGGGACGGGGTGGTGTTTGCTGGGGGCACAGCCACCGGTGGTGGCCGCTGGGGATGAAAGTCTCTAAAGCCTGGCTCCGTTTTCTCGCCTTCTCTCCTTCCACGTGGCACGTGTCCACAGGGGGCAGCTGTGCCCACGCGCACAGGCCTGTGGCTCACGCTGCAGGAGCTGCAGAGAGCCAGGTCTCAGTCTGCAGGAGCTCACGCCGGGGAGCTCACAGCCGAGGCATAGGAACAGGTGACCCAGACGCCACAGTGGGGGCTGATAAGGACTGAGGGTGCTCAGAGGGGCAGGGTCTTGGCTTGAGCAGATGCCAGGGCGAGTGGGGGCTGGGAACAGGTGGCATCTGAGGTGGCCTTTCAGGAGGGAGCAGAAGGCAGCAGGGTTGACAGGGCCCTGCTGAGCGATTCCGACACAGGTCTTGTCGTGGACAGACTGCTGTGTCCGGCCGTCAGCTCCTCTCTGGACCCCTGTTCTCCAGGGCAGAGGGTGTGGGCACAGCTTCGGTTCAGGCTCTGCCCGCATCACAGTGGGGCCGGACACTCCCTCTTCCTTCCCTCTCTTTCTCTTTCTTTCCTTGTCTTTGCTATTTTTTTTCTCCCAGACCTTCTCCCTCCCCTGCCCCTCCCTGCTCCCCTTCCTTGCCTTCTCCAAGTTCAACAGGCATTTCTCCAGCGTCTACCCGGTTCTGGCAGGGTCCGAGGCCGGTGGGATCCCTGCCTCAGGATGCTTAGCCAGCAGGCGAGGGGGAAACACATAATAATCAGCACTTAAATAGACCAGGCGGGAGGAGACGCCGAGCAGGGTCTCTGGAGGGAGGGGGCTGGACAAGCTGAGCTGGGGGAGAGCACAGCAGGCAGAGGAACAGCTCCGGCCCAGGTCCTGCGCATGCCTGGTGTGTTTGAGCACAGAGACCTCGGGCTGTGGCGAGCGAGGGGCCAACAGGAGGAGACAGGGACAGAGCCATGAGGAGACAGCCCATGTCGGGCCTTGTGGGCCATGGTGAGGACCGTGGCTTGTACGGTGCGTGAAATGTGGGGCCGGTGAACGTTTAAAAAACGTTTTATTGTGAAAAAATTAAAAGTAGAGGGAATGGTGACATGAACCCCCATTGACCCCAAACCGGTTTCGACACTGATCAAGTCGATGGCCACTTTGTTTAATTTAGACCAGTGCCCACGCCCCCCACGGGGCTGTGTGAACCGGACCCGAACACCTCGCCCTCGTCTCGTGTTCTCAGCTCGCGTGTCTGAGAGAAAAGGGAACGTAAATGAGACAGAACCACAGCGCCGCCATCCCGCCTGAATCCGTGGAAACGGTCCGCTGCGTGTCCAGCTTCCCCTGGCGGTGTCATGCATTTCTGGGTACACTTTGGCTGCTGCAGGGTTTGGGGGATAGAAGTGGCCTGGCTTCCACTCGAAATGTGGCCACTGTGTGGAGAGTAGACTGCAGGGGAAGGCGGCTCCTTAGGAGATGACCACAGTGACCGAAAGAGAAAGGGTGGGGACCCCGAGCAGGGCAGAGCCTGGGGGAGCACCCCCCCGGGCCAGGCAGTGGGGACACCAAGGCAGAGACAGAGCTCCTGCCATGGGGGACCCGGTGTCTGCAGGGGAGTGAGAGGTCACCAGGCAGGGTGATGAGAGGGGCGCACAGGAGGCCCTCTCTTGTCCTGCTTCCCCGGTGAATGCAGGATGACGAGCAGGTGTGTCTGGGACCCCGGCCCTCCAGGTGTCATCGATGATCCCTGACTCGGGCTTTGTGTCCTTCCATGGGTTTCGCTAGTTCAGCAGCTGCGGCTATGGAAAACGACCGAGACAGACCTGCCGATAGTGGGGGCTGAAGCTGCTCCCCATTCAGCGAGCCTCTGGCTGAGTCAGGAAAACCGAGACGGGAGGACTTCTTCAAAAAGTCCTCTCTCTCCTCCCCTCTCGGTGGCCTGTCATTCCCTGCTCATCAGTTCCCATTGAGACATCACTGCGCGGGACTCGACGTCACCGCACACACTCCGGCTGCAACAAGGGAAGACGCGGGAGAATGACAGGCCACGGGACCTGGGGACGGAGAACTGAGGCTACAGCGCTGGGTGGGGAGAGGAATGTGAGCCTCCATTTGAGATTAGCCAAGGCAGACAGCGTAATCCGGGGCAAGGGAATGCGTTCGTCTGGACAAAGCCGGTAATTTTCCACAATGACACAGGGAGAGGGGAGGGTCAGAGGCCCTGCACCCTGGGCCTCCCCTGTGGAGCCGAGGGAGATGCACGCCGCCCCCTGCTGGATGACGGGGGAGGTGCTGCCTCTCCGTGGGAGGTTCTTCCTGCTGCTCTGAGCAGGGCGCTGGGCGCAGGGGGACCGGGCACTGTCTCTCAGCTGGAGCGGGAGCTGCTGCAGGTGCGTACGAACTCGGAAAGTTCCAGAGCAGAACCAGCCTGGCTCGAGGCCACCCAGGCGCTTGAACACGCGAGAGCCTCCAGGAGGTTGATCCTCCCCCAAAGCCGGTCATGCCCTAGTCATCCAGCCTGTCGCAGATGTGCGTCACTGTCACCGGCCCGGTTTCATTTTCTGGGGAGGACTCGCCCGACAGACTTCTCGTCCGTGAATACGTTCATTTTTGTTTTCTCCACCGGGATGCAAGTCTGTGAGAACGAACATCCATTGTTTTTGTATCCACGGCCCGCAGAAGAGGGCCTCACACTTACCAAACACCTCTCTTTCACGCACATGAAGTGTACAAGCATGACATATAAATAGGTGTAAATAATAAATATGCAGTGCGTGAACGGGCCTGTGACACAATCAGTGTGTAAGAGGAGTGTGTGCCCAGGACCGGGCATCTGGTCACCCGGGCCCTGGCCTCCAGCACGGAATGTCCAGTTTTAAAGAAGAGGACTTTGTCCCTTCTGTCCCTTTGCTTTGACTTTGCCTTGACCTTGCTCATGGTGCCGGGTCCCACCTAGTCAGCCTGGATCACCTCTTTCCTCTTCTTGGGACAAAAAGGAGAGAAAAAACCCCTCACAGTTTTGTGTAAGAGAATTCTGTGTTGCCAGGCATTAACTTAGTGTAAACTTTGGACTGTTTAAGCTCTAGGACCGTCATCACGGAAGGGGTTCCTGAGACGACCACGAGATGTTTCCTGTCCTGGGAGATTAAACGTCCCACCTGCTCGGTGTCACTCAGGCCCTTGTCACTGCAGTCTCTGCCAGCCAGTGACAATCTCTGTGGTTCCCTCGGTCACTTTCTCCTTATCTTCTGGCTTTTCTTCTCCCTCTTCAATAGGTGAGAACTGTTCCTGTCCCTATCAAATAGGATGCGCTCCTTCCTAAACATCCAGTGACCCCCAAATGTTTCCTGCCCGGCTGTCAGCTGCCGTCAGAACAGATTCCTAAAAGCAGAGTCTCTCCCCACAGGTGCAGAAGTAATCCAGGTAGGAAGGAAATAAGGCCAGGCACTCGGCAGGCTCTCAGCTCGGAAGTGGTCTGCGTTGGGTCCCTCAGTTCTTACAAGGATCTTATGAGGGATGGCAGTTTTAATGAGAAAACCAAGATGCAGCGGCACAAATCCAATTACCCTTGTCACATGGTTATGAACGGTGGGGCAAGGATGAACCCTCGGGTCCTCCTGGCTCCAACTCTTCACTGTTTCTGCTTTAGGATGGAGTGTGTGTGTGTGTGTGTGTGTGTGTGTGTGTTCACGTAACGCCAGAATTCTGAACTGGACATTAGCCGTCCTTGCCATGGGTGCCTTGGACAGATTGATCGAGGTCCCCCTGATAGTGACAGGGCCTGTTCTTTAGGACGGATTGAACGCCCACGACATTCATCTCGGGCTGCTGCCCTTGGAGCTGAGGGTCTCATGTTGCTGGAAGCGTCCAGGCCCACCAGCTCTGCCTTCTGTTTGATTCAAGGAGGGACACACGAGTGGTCCTTGGTCAGTGGCTGCCTGGGTTGCATTTGTTTTACCTGACAATTCCTAAAGCCTTTTCCTGTGCGTTTCCTTGCGCTGCCAGATGGTAACGCGTCATTCGGATCACAGGCTACTGTTTGATTCATTTCGTGGCACAGGGCCAGGGTTTATGTGAGGACAGCACCTGGGTTCGGCTCTAACCAGTAGAAAATAATCAGGTTTGACATTTGGAGGCATGGAGAACAGGAACTGAGCAAAAGACCATACGGCACGTATTAGAACCGCTTGCACAAGCAATCCTGTCTGCTGATGGCCCTCAGACGGCTCTGCTCCTCATCCCGGCCGGGAGGACTCGCTGTTCCGAATTTATGGGCTCCCCTCTCCTGCTCGGGCAGACAGGCAGTGTGGGAAGCATCGGTTCCACTCAGCATCTTGGCATTTGGAATGGCTCGAATTGTCTGTGCTCATGATAAATTCCTAACACTTACCGAGATTTTGTGTTGAGTAGCAATTTAAAAGAGAAGAAAAGAAAAATGACAATAAACAGGCTTATTGTTAGGAAAATAGTTCTTTATAGCTGCAAAACTTGCCCTGACCAGCACTTCTCAAATGCCCACAGCCAATTTATGTGCAAAATGCAGCAGTTACATAACTACTGACACATCTACTACTAGAGCTACCTTCTTCACCACCACATCACCACCACCACCATTATCACCACCATCACCACCATCACCACCACCACCACCACCACCATCACCATCGCCACCATCACCACCATCGCTACCACCACCACCATCGCTACCACCACCACCACCACCACCACCACCACCACCACTACCACCACCACCGCCATTACCACCACATCACCACCACCGCCACCACCACCACCACCATCGCCACCATCACCACCATCGCCACCATCACCACCACCACCACCATTACCACATCACCACCACCATCGCCACCATCACCACCATCGCTACCACCACCACCACCATCACCACCATCACCATCGCCACCACCACCACCTCCATCGCTACCACCTCCATCGCTACCACCACCACCACCATCGCTACCACCACCACCATCGCTACCACCACCACCATTGCTACCACCACCACCACCATTACTACTACCACCACCACCACTATCACCACCATCACCACCACCATCATCACCATCACCCCCACCCCTACCACCATCACCATCACTACCACCACCACCACCACCACCACCATTGTCACCATTACTAACATCACCACCATCTCTGTCACCATGGTTATCATCACCCCCATCACTATTACCACCAGCAGCAGTACCACCACCACCACCATCATTACTACCACACCATACTGCTAAGCATTTCCGAATGTCTAATCCTGTGCTAAGCACTTTGGAAGCACTATCTCATTTAACCTTCACAGCATTGCTAGGAGGTAGCCGTTGTGACACCAGATCTGTGTGACACATGGTCTCGCCCACTAGGGGGACTCCAGGGAGCTGGAATCCTGCTGTTTCATTTTCTCTGTATTACTGTCACCACCACCTTCCTCCTTATTCTCATAATTATCTGTTACGTTTGCATGATGCTTCAGTATGCTTTATACATCACATATTCAAATATTGAATAATTTCTTCCACTGCTGTCCTTTCTGATCATTGCAATGGTTATATAACTTCCCACATGAGAAGCTCAGACTCAGCAAGTTGTGTGCTCGCCCTTCCTACCTACCTTGGACTCAGGACTCCCTTTTCTCCAGCACTGCAGGGGAAGCGCACGTGGTGAACTGGGCTGACAGCTGCTGACCCAGGGCCTCCACACCCTCCCTGGCGGGTGTAACTCATTAGCTCTTGGGGCGCGCTGGGAAATGTACCCCTCTGGTGTGTCTCTGTCGTATCTTGCCATTTTCCCCCCGGGTGCTGGGGCTTCCTGGAAGGGGTGGTACTGGGCTGGGAAATGGCTTTGACAAGGTGAGGTGGAGGGAAGGTCACAGGCCGAGGCGGCAGTGTGGGCAGCGTCAGAGGCCAGGAGTCCTGGGCATCTTTGGGGCCAGTCTCGGCAGCCTGCTGGAGCGGATGCTTCAGGGACCAGGGCATGGGCTGTGGGCTCTGAAGGCCAGAGGCACAGCGTCCGGCACGTTCCAATCAGGGACTTTGGGGAAAATAACCTTCCAGCACAGGTGGGCCCGGAGAACTCCGGCGGGAAAGGCCTGGGCGTGTGAGCAGGCCACGCCCCTCTGGTCACGGCTGCAGGCTGGCCGTCACTGGGCATGCCACAGACGCTGGGGCTGGCCAGAGGTGCTGCCCTCGTGTCGCTCAGGGGGTGCCCCTTCCCGGGTGAGCCAGGAAAGACTGTGCCTTTCTTGGGGGACAGTACGATCATAAATTTCCTGATAGTTTTCTTTGCCTTCTCGTCACCTTTTTGCTGCAAACCTGGCACTTGGGATGTCTCCTCTCCAGATGTCCTTCCTGGCATTCCCGTCGCCCGGCCCGCTCTCCTGCCTCCTGCCTCCCCATGTTTCTCCTCTCCCGGGGCATGTTTTGACCTCCTGGCATGGGTACCGCTCCGCTTCATGCCTTCCACAGCCACCACCGCGCTCACGGACCGCTGGCCGTGTCCTGCCGCAGACCCTCCAGCCAGGACGCAGGGCTGAGGCTCCTACGGCCCTTGGGAGGGAACTGAGTCACCTGAGAGAGGAAACCCACCGTCCCCATCCAGTGGCGTTTAATGAGGGGTTCTGCTCTGTTACAGGCCTGACCTTGTCACCCTTCCTCTTCCCTCTGGTCCTTTCCTGCATCCTGTAACTGTCCCAGCCCCCCCGCACCCCCAGCCCTCAGCCTCTCCTCCAGACGGTCACCTTGCTGGCCTGAATTTTATCGAGATTCGTAGTCTGTCCCACTGAACTTGAGGGAAAATGGTTTCGTCATTGTGTCAATAATTGGCGACTTTTACGGGACACCCCGGAAGGCCGTGGAGGGGAAGTCTGCGTGGATGAAACGCTGGCATGTCCGGCTTCCACTCTGAGGAAGGGGGGCTGGGAGCCCCCAGCCTCCGCGGTCAGCTCCCTGATGTGGGGGCGACGGATCCCTCCAGGGCTGGGCTCACACCGCAGCCGTCTGTGACCGCCACTGAATTGTACCTGACGACTCGGGAAGCTCCTCCTGGCCTCGACCTTGCTGCCCCGTCCAGGCCGTGTGACCGACGCCGGCCGGAACAGAGCTGGACCCACAGCCGACCTCCCCGGCCGCAGCTGGGCCTTCCCGGCCCGCGTGCTTCTCTGTGCGGCCTCCGGGGCAGCCTGGCCACGGAGCCTGGGGAGCAGCCCGGACTGTCCGCGGAGCAGCCGTGGGCGCCGCCTCCTGCTGACTGTCTTCTGTTCCGTCCTCAGGGGAAGAAAGGAGAAGCCGGCGCACCTGGACTCGCTGGATCGCTGGGGCCGCAGGTAAGCGCTCCTCCCCGTCCTGTCGGTAGGGGCACCCTCCGTCCATTCAGTGAGGGGCAGGGCAGCGCTCGGGGGTAACCAGAGCTGGCGGGGCCCCTCCTCGGAGCATGGAGAAGAACACTCCGTAGGCATTGCCCCTCGCGCCTCCTGTCCTCCCTCTCGGGGGGATGCCCCGTTCGCTGTCCTGGAGGAGTTTAGGTCAGAGGAGGGGGAGCAGTGGTGGCCAGTGTTACGCGAAGGGGGTGGGGGCGCGGGAGGGGCTCCAGGAGCAGGGGCCACGACGCACAGGTGCTGCTGCTGGGCAGCTGTGCGCAGGCATGGACAGGCCGCGGCGGGGCGGAGATGACAGCCCCAGCTGGGGGGCGGCTGGATACGACTCGGAACTGGAAGGGGTTTGGCCACAGGGTTGGAACACTCAACAGGGGGGTCACGACTGTAGGGCCAAGGACTTGTGTTCCGGTGTCAGTCTGATTCCAGCACTGAGGGGCACTGGCCCCTCCCCATCCGGCCTCAGCTTCCCATCAGTCACAGGATGGGCGGGCCCGTCACAAAGGCCTCTGTTCCCAGCACTGCCTCGCTCCCTGGACGCCCACCCTCCTCCTCCCCCGACTCCCCTCCCTGGACGCCCACCCTCCTCCTCCCCCGACTCCCCTCCCTGGACGCCCACCCTCCTCCTCCCCCGACTCCCCTCCCTGGACGCCCACCCTCCTCCTCCCCCGACTCCCCTCCCTGGACGCCCACCCTCCTCCTCCCCCGACTCCCCTCCCTGGACGCCCACCCTCCTCCTCCCCCGACTCCCCTCCCTGGACGCCCACCCTCCTCCTCCCCCGACTCCCCTCCCTGGACGCCCACCCTCCTCCTCCCCCGACTCCCCTCCCTGGACGCCCACCCTCCTCCTCCCCCGACTCCCCTCCCTGGATGTCCACCCTCCTCCTTCCCCCGACTTTCCCGTCTATCAGGCTCAGCTCTGGGTAACGTCCTCCCGGCCCCTGCTTTGCCCAGCTCCTGGCCCCCACACTCTCCCATAGGGGCCTTCTCTGGTGGTCCCGGGGACCCCCTGCCACCCTGCCAGGTGGGCAGGCCCAGGGTCATCACCCTCATTCCACAGATGAAAGGCGAGACCCCCAGATACAGAGGCTGGCTCGGGGCCACCAGCTGCTGAGCAGGTGCTGCCGTCCCCCCGGGCGACCTTGCCCTGAACCCTGCCAGCCCCTGGGCACTCCTGGGCGCCTCCCGCAGTGTGGGCGACACCGGCGCTCAGGTTCCCTGCACTCTGCCCACCCGAGCCCACCCGCCCCTCACCCCACTCCACGTGGGTCAGTGCCTTCCCAGAGAGGCCACACTGGGGGGGACGGCGCCCCTCAGAGTCAGTGCGACCTGGGTTCACACCCCAGCACCCCCATTTCCGCCTGGGCATCTTGGACAAGTCACTTAACCTCCTGAACTTCAGTCTCATCATTCGTTAAAAATAATATTAATTGAGAAGGAGGTCAAAGCAAGAGCAGGGTGAGACCCAGGGCCCGAGGCCTGGTGGGCAGGAGGCAGGGAGGCCGCCTGTTCTCCTGGAGCCAGCCAGCCGGTGGGCTCGGTCAGCGGGGCCTTCCCCCAGCCCCACCCCGAGCCAGGGGCTTTAGCACCCGCCTGTCCTCAGACACCTCTGTGGTGGCGGCCACCATCTGCTGGGCACTGGTTGGCAGGGCCTGGCCCACCCAGATCTGCCAGCTGAACTTCGGAAACAGCTTCTGCGGCTGCTGACCCAGGTGTGAGTGGCAGACCCCGGCGCGCAGTCCAGCGGCATCGGGCACGAGCATGTGGAGCGGAGGGAGTGGGAAAGGGGCAGAAACTCAGTTGCCATTCCCGGTGCTCAGAGGCTCTGCATCCGCAGTACACTGGGGGGCCCGCAGGGCAACCGAGCGAGAGCTGTCTGTGTCTGCACCCCCCCCTCCGACACTGGGGTGCCCGCAGGGCAACCGAGCGCTGTCTGTGTCTGTGCCCCCTCCCTCCGACACTGGGGGGCCCGCAGGGCAACTGAGCGCTGTCTGCCTCTGTGCCCCCTCCCTCCGACACTGGGGTGCCCGCAGGGCAACCGAGCACTGTCTGCCTCTGCGCCCCCCCCTCCGACACTGGGGTGCCCGCAGGGCAACTGAGCGCTGTCTGCCTCTGCGCCCCCTCCTCCGACACTGGGGGGCCCGCAGGGCAACTGAGCGCTGTCTGCCTCTGCGCCCCCCCCTCCGACACTGGGGGACCCGCAGGGCAACTGAGCGCTGCGTCTGCGCCCCCTCCTCCGACACTGGGGGGCCCGCAGGGCAACTGAGCGCTGTCTGCCTCTATGCCCCCCCCTCCGACACTGGGGGGCCCGCAGGGCAACTGAGCGAGCGCTGTCTGCCTCTGTGACCCCCCTCCGACACTGGGGGGCCCGCAGGGCAACTGAGCGCTGTCTGTGTCTGTGCCCCCCCTCCGACACTGGGGTGCCCGCAGGGCAACTGAGCGCTGTCTGCGTCTGCGCCCCCCCCTCTGACACTGGGGTGCCCAGAGGGCAACCGAGCGTTGTCTGCGTCTGTGCCCCTCCCTCCGACACTGGGGTGCCCACAGGGCAACGGAGCGCTGTCTGCGTCTGTGCCCCCCCCTCCGACACTGGGGTGCCCACAGGGCAACGGAGCGCTGTCTGCGTCTGTGCCCCTCCCTCCGACACTGGGGTGCCCACAGGGCAACGGAGCGCTGTCTGCGTCTGTGCCCCTCCCTCCGACACTGGGGTGCCCACAGGGCAACTGAGCGCTGTCTGCGTCTGCGCCCCGCCCTCCGGCAGCCAGGCCTGTGCCTCTCAGAGGCTCACCCTGCAGGAAGCTCCATCGATTTCTTCAGGCTGCAGTTTTCTGATCTTTGTTTGCTACCATGGGAAATACTTTTGCATTTTACACTTTGAGGTCCCCTCCATTCAGCGAGTCTTTCTCAACGCGGTGCCCCGAGCGGGATGCTGCAGACATGCACAGGATCCGACGCGCGACGGCAGGGGCTTTGCCAGAAATAGGCCCCAGCTCTACTGGGGGATGTCGCTGGGTCCGAACCAGGCGGCGTACAGCTTGTAGGGTGTCCTCCCTGGCACCGTGGCTGAGCCCCGCCCCCGGGCTCGGAGGTGTCGGATGCAGATGTTAGCATGGTGGGCACCATCCATTTTCTCTTCCTGCCGTATCTGCGTTCCCACCTGGGCCTGGCCAAGGTCTCCTCCTGCCTGCCATCCGCCTGCTTGTTCATTGATTTCACAAGTGTTTAGCAAGTACCCACCGGCCCTGGGAGGAAGCCTGGAAGGCCCTCAGCCCTGCCCGAGGAGCCGTAGGTGCTGGTGCAGGCGGACTTACAGGTGGAGCCCGGCGATCTGATGAGCGGAGACCAGGGAGGGGGTGGTCGGTCCGCTCTGGGGCCCAGAGGAGGGTCCCTGTGCTGATCGATGTGGATTCTTTGCAGAGGGATCTAAGTGACACATGCTGGGACGAGCAGAGGGAGGGGGATACGTATCTTTAGTCTCTGCTTTCATCAGTCACTTTCTTTACTGTTCATATAGAATCCTGTCTGTTCTTCATAACCGCCCGTGAGGAAATAATGCAGGTCCCGCTCAAAATCGAAGGAAGCCGAGCTCAGGGCCCCGTCAGCTGTCCGTGCAGCGGGCACCACAGCCTCGTGCGCAGAAAGCCCTGGGCGGTTGGCATCTGATGAGAGGGTTTCGGTGCCTCCTTTTGAAGATGAGAAATTTCACCTGCCAGAATGTTTCAGGATGTTCGTGCACATTCAGATGGCTTCTGTGTCCTGGCAGCCGTGCAGGGGAGTGGACATCTGTGGCTCGTCTGGTCCAGTGTTCGCAAAGACGACACCGGATTCAGCTGCCAGGGAACACAGCCAAGCCAGGAGCTGCAGGGGCGCGGGGTGGGCTTACAGGCCTGCCACTCGTAGAGACCCCACCGTCATTGGGGTGGTGCCCGGCAAACCACAGTGTGAGGGGAGGGCTCCCACATTATGAACAGCCCCCCACTAAGGCAAAGCTTTGCAAGCCGGAAAGGGAATGTGGTCACCGTGCAAGTTGTCTTCGGATTGTACCCGGCTTCATAAACCAACTCCAGTCAGAACCAGGTGTCTGTCAGAAATATCTACGTGCCATTCATTTATCGATGATAATTAGGTTAATTGCTCATTTATGCATCATCATCATCATGACTAATCACATTACATAGCTGTTAGGTCACTGCTGCATTAGGAAGGTCAAATATCGTTCCATTGGTCGTTAGAATGATTGGTTAATTAATAGGGAGAGTCATTACTTAGCTGTTTTCATTAGTAATAATTAAAACCGTCATTATTTTGCTGTTAACATTTAGATCTTTGGGCTAATTTGTCACTCTCATTAATAATTAGATTAATTGGTTATTTAAATATGTTGAGCAGTATGAGAAGGCAGTGAAGTCACATCTGTGGAAGCCTCCCAGGTGCGGGGCTGGTTCTCACCCCTTTGTTAATCAACTACAGTGATGAGGGAGGGGCCTCCAGTCCTGTCATCCTTGGGGAGACAGAGGTGCCAGGAGGGACTGTCCTTGCCCAAGTCCATTCAGGCGGCAGGCTGGCTGATTGCTGTTTCCTCCCCGTCAAGCTGGCGAGAAGCCCCCAGTCAACTGCAAAGGCCTCTGCAGACAGCTCGGCCCTGAACCCCCACTGTGCCCCTGTGGGAAGCAGTTTCCACCCTGACAGCCCTTCGTACCCGCTTCCAGCGTGTCTTCTCCATTTCTGAATGGCTTTGCGCTTGTTAGGTTAATCACTCTGTAGGGTTTTGCTCTGGTTCCTGAGCACAGCAGTTATCCATCCCCTACTGTGTGCTTAGCAATCAACCCCCTACTGTGTGCATAACAATAAACCCTACTGTGTGCTTAGCAATCAACACCCTACTGTGTGCAAAGCAATCAACCCCCTACTATGTGCATAGCAATCAACACCCTACTGTGTGCTTAGCAATCAACCCCCTACTGTGTGCATGGCAATCAACCCCCTACTGTGTGCATAGCAATCAACACCCTACTGTGTGCAAAGCAATCAACCCCCTACTGTGTGTATAACAATCGACCCCTACTGTGTGCATGGCAGTCAACCCCTACTATGTGCTTAGCAATCAACCCCCTACTATGTGCATAACAATCAACCCCTACTGTGTGCATAACAATCAACCCCTACTGTGTGCTTAGCAATCAACCCCCTACTGTGTGCATAACAATCAACCCCTACTGTGTGCATGGCAATCAACCCCTACTGTGTGCATAACAACCCCTACTGTGTGCATAACAATCAACCCCTACTGTGTGCATGGCAAGGGGCCAGTGCTGTGGGCCCTTCAGCTGTATTAACCCAGTGCTTGTTCTGCTTCACACACAGTCTTTCAGGAGAGCAAAGTGTTCTAGGGTGGAATAGACTGTGACAAGAAGGGGTGAGACCCAGGTCCCCATGTGCAAGGGTGGTGTGGGGAGGGAAGGGAGAAGGGGTCAGGATCTTTGTGTCTGAAGGGCAGCTTTGTCCAATCTCCGTTCGCTTGCCTCCAAGTCCCAGCTCTTCAGTGAGGACGGACCTGAGCGGAAGGGTGGGGCAGACACCCAATGGAGGGGAGGGCTGGGATTCGGCTCCTTCGTGTGCCCTGGCTGGTAGCATCAGCAGCAGTCAGGGTGGGACGTAGCGCCCTTGCGGCCCTCCACTTACCCGGGGGTGTTTCCAAAGTCAGTGACTCGGGACGTGTCCCTGTGTCTCAGAGACCAAACAAGGACCCGTGCACCCATATTTACCACCAGCTCCCCAGGTGGCTCTTCAGGACCGTTCAGGACCCCTGGAGAAGACGGCTCTGTGACCTCAGCTGGCCCTTCCCCTCTCTGGGCCCCGGTTTTCATCACTGCCAGAGGGAGGTTCGCCCCCCGGTAGGAGATGACTCAGACCCGTGCTCTAACCTGCGGTGAGCTCTGGAACAAGCAGGTGGTGACGTGCAGGAGATGAAGGAGGAGGGGGGGGAGCAGGTCAGAGTAGTGAGCTGGCCGGGAGGCTGGCTTCCAGAACAATCCTGCGCAAAGCACAGAGCATCTCAGGGGCCGTCCGCGTCCCTGGCAATGTGAGGAGGGAAGAAAAGTAACGGCCCAAATCGCCAGCGAAGGGAGGTGATGCGGGGTGACAAGGGACCTCCGATAGACTCCGCGGGGTCGCGGGGGCGGGAGAACCTCAGAGGTGGAAGAAACGGAAACATCGCCTGGAACTGACCTGTGGAGGGGGGTCCTGTGTCACCTGCCGGGCTGAGCTGGAGCAGCCTGCGGGGTGCCTACAGCTGGTGACAATACGGGCGAGACCAGGAGCCTTCTCTGGTTCCCTCAGCCCCCGTCATGCATTCAAGGGGACCCTGCCTTGGTTCCTGCCCAGGCCACCCACTGTCCAGCTCTGTCTGGCACCTCAGTTGCTCTAGCTCAGAGCAAATGTCTTTGGACAAAAGCAGGCTCTGCTTCCAGGGACTCCAGGACTGAGCGAGCCGCAGAGGAAACAGAGGCCTCCCCAAAGTCCTGGTCCCTGTCTGGGCCTCTTGTTGACTCACGTGCGCGCCCAGAGGGAGAGAAGGGAACTGTCCACGGAAGCAGCCGCCTTTGCCATTTCTAAGTATGTATCGCCCTCTAGTGGCGACGCGGCATTGTTCTCTCCCAACGCGGGTCCCCGTAGCTCTCTGCTGCGTCCCGCTCGCTCCCTTGTTCAAAGGCGGACGGAGCGCCTGCTCTGTGCCAAGCCCTGGGTTGTCACTGTGTGACGCGAGATGCGGAGGGCACAAGCGGCCCCTGTGCCTCCGTGGGCCCGTCAGTCAGATCAACACGGTTTCGCTGCCCTTGAGCGAGCAGGAGGGCGTGGTTCATTCCGCCTGGGGACCTGGAGACAAGGTCAGAGGTGGAGACGGCGGGGGAGGGAGGTGAGGCAGGAGGGCGTCTCTGGAGGGAATGCCCAGCAACCTCAGGCCAGAGGTGCGTCCTAGAACTTGGGTGGGGCCTGCGGTCGCCCTGGTGGACAGCGGGGTGCTGCGATGCTGCTCGTGTTGGGAACCGCTGTTTTAGAAGATCTCTGCTGGTACGTGGCGGGGGGGGGGGGGGGGTGCACACGTGTATTTATCGTAAATGCTCAAGTAGTTAAAACAGAGCAGAATCCATCATGTAACAGGCAGAGTCCCATTGCCCCGACATGACACGCTAACATTTTGTAAATTTTACTTTAGATTCTTTCTTTCTGCTATTTCTTTTTTGCTTAGAGGAAATAAGACATTGCAAAGGAAGCTGAGGCCCTCCCCCGTCTCTGTCCCATCCCCTCCTCCCTTCTCAACGGACAGCACCCCCGGAGGCGGCTGCACCCCTGCCCTGACCAGCTTTCTGCTCTTCTTTACAGGGTCCCCCAGGACCCCCTGGTGTCCCTGGCGCCCCTGGGCCTGGAGGCCCCCCGGTAAGGCCGGCTTTGACTTTCTTTCATGGGTACTTAGATGGTGGTGTCGTGGCCCATGGGAGCCGGGACATTGCCACGGACAGTCACACGCACGGGGACCCCGCCCACAGCCCCCCGAGCCCCTCGCCCTCTGGCCCCGGGGCCTCTGGTCGGCTGCTCCTGAGACGGGCCGTGTTAGGGACGATAGGCTGGGGTGGTCCACCGGGGAGTCGGCTAGTAATGTGTGGTCCGGCTCCGAGGCACAGGGGGTCAGGGTAGATATTTGTCACCGTGTCCCCTCCCCCACTTCAGATACAGCTGGGAAGGTTCTGCTGTGGGGAGGAGAGGGGAGACCCCTGGGTGGGGTGGCCCAGCAGTCACTGTGCAGAGGGAGGTGGTCCCCACCAGGTGGTCCCACCAGGTCGGAGTGCATGGGAGGGTGGGGGCCCCTGTGCAGACCAGACAACCCCAGCCCTCCACCTTCAGAGGTGTGACGACTGTGCCTTTCACCAGCCAGGCGCCCCAGGGTACAGCCCCCACTGGGCGTCCTCATCACAGCCAGAGGCCTGGGCCTGGGCAGGAGAAGTGGTCGGAGAAAGATCTTTGAAGAGGTCGGACTGACCGTCTCATGTGGTTTCTTCTCCAGGGTTTACCTGGAGAGATCGGCTTCCCCGGAAAACCTGGGCACCCCGGGCAGGCGGTGAGCACCCCCCACCAGGTGTCCCACTGCTTTGTACCGGGAACCCCTGCCCTTCCAGCTACGGCGACTTCTGGAGCTGGGGACTCCCCCGCAGCGGGGAGCCTGGTGCTCAGCCCGACTCCCATCCCTGGTGCCTTCCCTGCTCTGTCTTCTGGAGCTGCCCCCACTGGCCCCCGCAGAGAGTGTGGGGCACCCCCTCCCCAGGCCCCACCTGCCTTCGCTCTCCTTTCCTGAAGGCAAATTTCCAAGCCCTTTGCTGTGTAAAGTGTGACTTCTTGTCCCTAAGGGGCCTGCAGAGGGTACCCGTGGTAATGGGCGGAGGGACATGAGAAACGGTCCGTCCAGGACGTGGCAAAGCCCTTCCTGTCGTTCTGATGTCTCCTTGTTCCCGAGCTGTGGGTCTGGGGAATCTGGGCCTTTTCATTTATGTCGAGCCCAGAGGATGGGCATCAGCCAGGGTTCCTTTGCACGTCTTCGGTGCAGGAGCAGAGGGAGTGTCTCCTGCCCTTGTGGCCTGGAGCCCCAGGGCAGGACGGTGGGTGTGGCCCGTGGCCTGACCCCTGTGGCCATGGTGTGGCCCATCACAGACTGGGCGGCAGCCCCCAGGAAGGCCTGGCTCCACGTGGAGCTTCCCTGAAAACTGGCCCTCCCTGCGGGGCCAGCGGTGGAGACCGGCTGGGGCAGCCTGCGGGACCCAGGCCCTGGAGGGGCCAGCCCGGGGGAAGGGGTGACGGAGGTAAGCCAGACTGTATACATGGCAGCTGCCCCCGGACAATGCACCACAGGTCCTGGTGGCGGTAGACCGAGACACCCAGGGCACAGGGCTGTGAAGCCAAACGCCAGCATCCCGAGCTCTGCTGAATACTGAAGGGTCGGACATCAGTTCAGGGTTGCGGGGGCCGCTCTCAGGGGACCGACCCCAACCTGGAGCCCTGGCGGTGCCACACACAGCAACTTGCACGGCGACCGTGCCCTGCAAAAGCCTGAGCACAGGCCAGTTCCGTCGGGTCTAGTGGGCTCGTCAGAAGAGGGTCCGTCAGGGTGGACATGCAGGAGAGGCGACTGGGGGAAGAGAGTCTGAGCCTGGTCTGAGGAGGCCATGGCCTGACCGTGGGACCCCAGAGCGAGTTGCGTGGCCTTTGGGAGCCGGTCCCTGCTCGGGCGAAGCAGCTGTGGTGACACCTGTCCTTGCCACATCCTGAGGGTGACACCTGTCCTTGCCACGTCCTGAGGGCGGGTGGGGGGCACCTGGCAGGGACGAGGAGACGCGTGCTCTGTAGTGTCCTGAGAAGTGTCGCTCGATGCCAAACCAGTAGGGCGACTTCTGCATTTTGAATGGCGGTGCGGAGGGACAGCCGGGGGGGTGAGTGGTGGACACTGGAGGGAGGAACGGGCCCCCCGGAGCCAGGGTCAGCCGGCCTCCCGCCAGCCCGCCAGCCCGCCAGCCCGCATGCCCAGAGGCTGAGCTCCTCCCCGTCGAAGCCGATGTGCAAGGACCTGGGCCCCAGGGAACAGGCTTCGGCTAAGGGGGGCCTGCCAGCGGCACCCTCAGTTCCCGGCCGCTGGCCACCGGGCACAGTGCTGCCCGGAACGTCTCTCACGCCTGTTGTTCCTCTGGCTCAGGGGCCACCAGGAAAGGACGGGCTGAATGGACCCCCAGGCCTGCCGGGACCCAAGGTAGGTGTTCTCGGGGGGCAGCATGAGCTTGGGAACCCAAAACACAGGAGGAAAGACGTTTGATCGCCGAGGAGTTCTGACACGGCCGATTGCCGCGCCCTGGGTCGCTCTCCACGGTGCTGGCCTCCCAAGGCCAGGTGTGGGCCAGTACCGGGGAGGCTGGGAGCCACGGGCTGGGAAACGGATCTGTTAGAAATACGTGTTTATTTTATTGGCAAGGAGGGGACGCTTTCAGAGACTCTCACCAACATAACGAGACTCCCGTTTAAAACATTCCGCTGAGTCGCAATGGTGTGAACACAAAGGAAAGGCTCCGAGGCTGGAAACATCACAAACCCGGGAAGCGCGTCCCTGGGCTGCAAACCGCGAATGAAACGCACGGAAATCACGCAGCATTTTGCAGAAATGACCCTTATTCTTCCAGTAGCAAACATGAGCCCAACCACACAGGCCGACAGCCCTGAACAGGCAGCCTGCGCATGTTATGGGGGATTCCCCGTCCCTTTCGATAGGCAGACTTAGACGCTCACTTTTCTATTTTTATTTTCATTTTTTTCTATGTTGATTTTAGAAAGAGAGGAAGGGAGAGGGAGAGAGAGACAGAAACATTGATGAGTAAGAACATCCATTGGCCGCCTCCTGCAGGCCCCCCACTGGGGATCGGGCCCCCAACCTGAGCATGTGCCCTGACCGGGAATCGAACCAGTGACCTCTTGGTACATGGGTTGACGCTCAACCACTGAGCCACACCAGCTGGGCCATAGAAGCTGTTTTTAATGACAAAAGAAGTATGGATTTAACTTAATTGTACAGGCATTGAATGTAAACATTCTCCATCCGTGTTGCTTATATTTTAAGACAAAAGAGGAGGCGAACTCGGTACTTTGTATTCTAAAACACTTGGGGTAACATCTCCCTTGACCAGACCTCTGATAAGAGAAAGCACATTTCGGTTCCGTTGTTTTCGTAGAATACACAAAGTGCAGAGGCGTGGAATGTGGAGGCAGGAGGTGGCGCAAGCTGCTGATGCTGGTCCCCTGGTCACGCAGAGCGACGGGGACAGCCCCTGAGCACAGGGCCCCCCTACAGCCGGAGACTCGGCCCAGCCCCGGAAGCTGACTTTGCTTTCCTTGCAGGGCCAGCCCGGAGACAGAGGGGAGGACGGACTCCCCGGGAAGCCCGGCCTGCGGGTATGGACTCGGCCCCTCCCTCCCCTTCGTTCCTCCCGGTGTATGTGGGGCGTGCGTCACCCCACTGACGGGGCAGAGTCAGGGTCAGCTGCGGTCGGCGGGAAACAGCTGGGATCCCTGAAAAGCGGCGGCAGCCGGGGTGGAGACACCCGGTGGGAACCGGGACAACGGAGGCTCACAGCACCTGCAGGGCCCAGGAGCAAGGGGACCCCTGCAGCTGGAGGGGAGCCCCTCCCTCCCCCTGGATCCCTGCTGCCCTTGACCTTTCCTGTCCTTCCACTGCTCCCCAAGTCTGGCTGAGCCCTGCACTGAGCCTGAAGGCAGGGAAGTCCACCCCGGGCTTCCAGGGGTGGACTGTGTGGCAGTGTCCTGTCGGGAGGCAGAGCCACAGAATGTGCCCTTTGGAGAGGGTTCCTGCTACGGTGGGAGGACCCCGAGTGCTGGGTGTGGATGGCTGTGCCCCGTGCCCCGGCTCCTGCAGGAGCCTCTGCTTCACCTCGGCTTTCCTGGTGGGCCGCAGGGTCCCTCGGTCTTGAGGCTCTCGGCTCAAAGTCGCAGGTTTGGCCTGGGCTCAGAGCGCAGTGAGAGAGGGCCAGACCTGTGTGTGTGTGTGTGTGTGTGTGTGTGTGCACGTGTGTGGGGTGTGTGTGTGCATATGTGTGCATGTGCGGGTGTGTGTGTGTGTGTGTGTATGTGAGGTGTGTGTGCATGTGCGTGCATGTGCATGTGTGTGGGATATGTGGTGTGTGTGTGCACGTGTGTGGGGTGTGTGTGCGTGTGTGCATATGTGTGCGTGTGCGGGTGTGTGTGGGTGTGTGTGCGCGTGTATGTGGGGTGTGTGCATGTGCGTGCATGTGCGTGTGTGGGGGATATGTGGGGTGTGTGTGTGGGGGTGTATGTGCACGCGCGTGTGTGGGGTATGTGCGTGTGTGTGGGTGTGTCCTTGTGTGTGCAAGTGTGTGTGGGAGTGTGTGTGCGTGTGTGCGTGCTTGTGTGTGGGATGTGCATAGGGTGTGGTGCATGCACACACCTGTTTCTTTAGAGGAGACTGTGCCAGACAGGAGATTGTATGGGATGCATGTCCCCCCATGCTCCCAGGACACCCCGTTTCCTGATTCGGATTCTAAGAGCACACCTCGGGCTCCCGTTGGTGCGTGGCATCCTCCAAACACCACTTCCAAGCTCAACTCAGTGGTCCTTCATGTTTTAAAAATCAACACCCATGTTTTTAAAAAAATATTTATTAGAATCCTCCCCAAATCATCGAAATGTAACAATGGTCATTTCCTGCTCTGTCCTCGGGAACCCGGCGGTGCTGGTGTGGGGCTGACGATCTCGGAAGCACCAGGCCACCCCCGGTACTTAGTGACCGATGCACGTACGGCCCTTTCCGGGAGGACGGAGCCCTGGCACAGGTTTGCTGTGCCTTTTCCGTCTTGACCACGTTGGTGGTCTGGGGTCGGCCACACCTTGCGGTTGCGTCTGCTCGGTGATGTGAACTGGGAAATCCTCTGGGCTGTCCCCGCAGGCACGTGGCCGTTCCAGTCAGCGGTCTTCAGCCGCAGCTGTTCGTCGCATTCCCCGCGTGGTCTGCGGACAGAGGCCGCTGACTGTGAGCCACCCCGGAGGAAACCGGACGTGCCCGGGGACTTCTCCCGTCTCCCAGTGGACATGCCTTTTGATTTCTGACCCACGCTAGTGGCTGACATTCAAACAGAGAAGTCGATCCCTGCTGCCACTCACGTGTCATGTCGTGTGGTCGCTAGGGCTATTCGTTTAAAACATTTCCGTAGAAAATCCAAAACTGAATTCCTGCAGGGCCAATGCTCTGGCAACATATTCCGGCCTCCTAGGAGACCTGGCCTGGAGTCTTATTACTTTGTTTTGACAAAATGCCAACTGAAGATACAAAGCTCCCCAGGAGATGACAGCTCCGCCGTGGATGGCGGGTTTCTGAGTCCACGCGGGCGGATGGTTGTATGAGCCACGCGCCGGCCTGTTCAGCTCAGGTGGAGAATCCCAGTGCCACTCGGGGCTGCGGCCACCGTGCCCCCAGCTTGGGGTTCTCAGATTCGGGAGACGCCTCGGGTGTCCCCGGAAATGCTTTCTAACCGAATTCAGCCCCTCTCACGTTCTCAGCACGTGGGAGGCGATTTCCACTGTGAAGGTGTCACGGTCCTAGCGGATTTAAAGTGGCAGTTTGAGTGGCAAGTATTTATGCAGTTCCTGTTAGAGCAGTTCCTGCTAATTGTGCTTGTAAACACGGGGTTGACGGGGAACCGGGGTGCGTCTAGAATGTCCACGTCGCGCTGCAGAGATGCAGGAGGACCACACGGGGGCGTGCTCCGGGCAGCCTCTTGCCCTTCCCTTCCTCCCTGGTGCGTGGCGGTGGCGGGGCCCTCACTACCGCCTGGTCCGGTGTGGCTGCAGGGAAATCCTTGTGAGCAGCCCCCCCCCCCCCCCTTTAAGCATGCATTCACTCTTAGTATGATGGCTGTCAGGCAGAAATTGTCATTCCAGAGGTTAGTGATTTTCATGACATATGGTCGGTTAGAAACAATAGCCCCTCCCCCACACATACGTCTTTGCAACTGCGATTTTTAGGGACCTGGGAATTCTAGCCGCCTGATACCCTGGGACCAGGCGACAAGTCCCTCTGGTCTGGTGGCCCCACTTCAACCTGACCGCAGCCTACCTCGTCCAGCCTGCTCCAACCATTGCAGACTGGCTGGGGATCCGCTCACAACATCGTTGGATGTCTGGCAGGACATCACCCAAGACTGGCCTTCGCTGTAACACACCGTGGGGGAGGGGGCATGAGGCCCTTACCTGCCCACACCTGGGCCGCCGCGTTTACAGAGGCCCACACCCGCCAGGGACCGGGCTCAGCTTGGACACGTCCACCGGCAGCTTCTCCATCACCGGACCCGGCGTGGGACCTGGGTTTCTCTGAGGCGCCCTAAGGCTCAGAGCTGGGGAGTAGGTCACCGATGGTGGCCCCGCAGTGCCTTGAATTGCTACTGTGGAGGCTCAGAACAAAGGGGTTCAGCCTATTCAGACTCCGGGGAGGATTTCCAGACACCGTGTTCTTCGGGGGAAGCAAAATCCAGCACGAGGGAACGTGGAACCCCCTCTCCAGAAAGGCGAAACGCTTCGGTTTCCACGGCCTGTGACTCGGGCTGTAACTGACGTGTCGGAGAAGAGAGGGTCATGGCTGGAGGAGTGGGGTGTGGGCCATCGGGGGGCCACAGTCGTCTCCGTAAATGTCAATGGGAATTGATGGGTGTCTGTTCTCTCTCCAGGGTGACGTTGGGGAGCGAGGCCTGGCGGGCCGCCCTGGAGAGAAGGTCTGTCCGCTCACACCTTTGCCTGCTCACCTTTCCCTTCCCCCACTCAGGGCCTTCGTCCGCCAGCATGCACGGGGCCTGCCGTTCAGTGTCCCGGGGGTCACTGCGTCCCTTTCACACACATGTGCGCTGTGCCCTGTCCCTGTGGGCCCTGGGTCACACCCGTGAACCCGGAGCAGCTGGACAGGTGTAGTGATGGTGACATCGAGAGAGGCCCCTCGCTGAGACTCGGGGATGTCGGGACAGGTGGCAAGGAGGTGACCTGTTGTCTGAGGGGTTAGACACAGGGTTTCCGGGAGAGCTTGGGCCGCCAAGGAGCACGTTCTCTGGAATCCCCCTTTCTCTACACATTTCCCACCACGCCCGAGGTCTGTGGGGGCAGGCGGAGGCCCCGCCCAGTCTGAGGGCAGGACCTTGTCTCCACAGGGACAGGCCGGCCTCCCGGGGGCTCCAGGGTTCCCGAGCCTGAGGGGAGACAGAGGACCGCAGGTAGGTGTTGGCAGCTCCTCCCGAGCCCCTCCTGTGCCCAGTGCCCGTGGAAAGCAGCCCCGTTTGGGTCTGAGTCCACTGGGGGAGGGGTGGTGGTTTGCGCTGGGGTCGGGTTCCCCGGTGTTCACGGGAAAGGAAGGGGTCAGGCCTCTCTGCTCCCTGAGCCGGGACTGAAGCCTGGGGCAGGGAGATCTCTCTGGAAAGGGTAGTGTCTTCAGAGGGGACGGGGTCGTTGCCTGTCAGGTGCCAGCTGGGGGTGAGGTGCTCCCACCCCTGGGTGGCTCACCTGTGGCTTCCCCGAGAGGACACGGGCATGGGAGAGGAGGAAGCGTCCGGCTGAGGTGCTCTGGTCTCCCCTGGAGCAGGCAGTGAGTTCTCCTGTGTCCTTTGTCCTTGCTGCAGGGAGAGAAAGGTGACCTGGGCCTCCCGGGGCAGAAAGGTGACCGAGGTGAAAAGGTAGGAGCTGCCGCCACCCTGCTCTCTGTGGCGTTAGTTTCAAACCCTCCCTCCTGGGTCGGTGGGAGTGGAGAGAGCCCCATTCCCGGGGTCAAGTGGGGACGGGGTTACGATCCTGGCCCTCCCCACCCTGGGTCTTCTCTGACCTCCTGGGCCCTGACCTGCTGGCCTGGTGGGGGGGGGGGAGGACCCCCAGAGGGGCCTTGCACTCGCTCCTCCCACCCAGAGCTCCTAAAGGTCCCCTCTGCCTCCCAAGGGGGCACCCTCTTCCCCTCCAGCACCCCACTCTCCCACCCAGCGCCCCCATAGGTCCCCTCTGTCTCCCAAGGGGACACCCTCTCCCCCTCCAGCACCCCACTCTCCCACCCAGCGCCCCCATAGGTCCCCTCTGCCTCCCAAGGGGGCACCCTCTTCCCCTCCAGCACCCCACTCTCCCACCCAGCGCCCCCATAGGTCCCCTCTGCCTCCCAAGGGGGCACCCTCCTCCCCTCCAGCACCCCACTCTCTCACCCAGCGCCCCCATAGGTCCCTCTGTCTCCCGAGGGGGCACCCTCCTCCCCTCCAGCACCCCACTCTCCCACCCAGCGCCCCCATAGTTCCCCTCTGCCTCCCAAGGCGGCACCCTCTTCCCCTCCAGCACCCCACTGTCCCACCCAGCACCCCCATAGGTCCCCTCTGCCTCCCAAGGGGGCACCCTCTTCCCCTCCAGCACCCCACTGTCCCACCCAGCACCCCCATAGGTCCCCTCTGTCTCCCGAGGGGGCACCCTCTCCCCTCCAGCACCCTGCTCTCCTTTTCCCTCCTCTGTGTCTGTCTGGGCTCCAGGCGCCCCCCCCCCCCACTTGCTTCAGGCCGGGACCTTCGATCTACAAACAGAGCCGGGAATGGGAAGGGATTTGCAAGAAGCCACCAGGCCTGCCGCTCTCAGGGAGTTCTCAAAATTGCAGTTTTTATTTGAGACACTCATTTCCCGAATGCAGAGGGTTCAGGGAGACCATAAAACCCCCTTTATTGCTTCGGCAGAACTGCCCGGGTCACAGCAAATCGCATTCGGGTTCCAGAGAAGCTGCCCTGCTTTTCCGTGTCCCCAGAGAAACGTGTCCTCACAGACCGTTCTGGTTAAAACAGCCCAAATAAGACACGAAAGCAACTCCGCGCCTTGTGACTGCGCGGTGCCCAGGCCTGACTCCCATCCCGTCTCCCCGCCCACCCTGAGCGGGCAGCCCCAGGCACCCTGGGAAGCAGGTCCGATCCTGCTCCCTGAACCGGCTCCGGGTGGAGCTGGGACTGGATCCCAGGAGCTCCAGAGCACACAGACCCTTCCCCAGCCAAGCCCTCCAAGTCGGAGAGCTGCAGACGGCCTCCCGCCCGCCCAGGGCCTCCCCTTGCCCACGCTCGGAGGAGATCTGCCCTGCAGGCCGTCCCAGGGCCCTGCACGGAGGCCTCTCCTCCAGCCTCCTCTTGCTTCTGGCCCTTCCCGCCTTTGACCGGAAAACACAAGGCAGGGCTTTGCCCTTTGCAATGGAGGTGGGGTGGCCTGGAGGAGGCTGGTTCTGCAGCAGGTCGGCGGATGCGGAAGGGAGCTGGGCCACCCCGATCGGGCCGGTGGCGCCTGGGTGCTTTTCTTCCCACAGCTAGCGAGGCTCACACAGGACCACGTCTGTCCCAGGGCGGTTAAGGGACGAGACCAGGCTCCGCCGTGTGCCGGGCAGGTGGACGGGTGTCACTGCTCCCGTCCTCACCTGTGACGTGGATACAAAGTATCTATGTTACGAGCATCTCCATAGAGCAGGTGGGTTAGCAGTGGAATGTAAGCCAGGGCGGGGAAGTGAATACTACGTGGCAGTAGGACTCATGACAGAAAATGACACAGTGGCGACTTTTTCTTGCAGTTTAATCGTCTTCTAAGGGTGGCCTATCTCTCCCCAAGCCCCTCTTCATGTGTCCTTTATTAGCATGTGCAAGGGGCTGGGATAGACCTAGACCTGAGCGGAGACCCTGTGTCTGACCCCCGGTGGCCGGGGCAAAGGGGAGGTTTGGGGACCGTGCTTATGCACTGTGGTTCCTCCCCGGGGTGGTAGCCCAGGGGTCTCCTTTTCTCGGGGCCCTGCGGATGGTGACCTACGTCCCAGCTGGTGCTGTGAGCCATGGGTCCTGTTATCACTACTTTACAATGAGGACAAGAAGCCCTGAGAGGTCAAATCACGTATACATGGTGGAATTAGGGTTCAGGTCCAGGAGGTTCAAGCCCGTATTGTTTACAGGAGTGTCGTGTGGTCCCCTCAGGCCCCTAAGAACAGCCGGACCCCTTCGAGGGGGTGGGGCAGGGCCCAGTGGGGTCTCTCAGGGAGCTGGAGGCCTGTTGCTGCGGGGCAGGGGCCAGGGTGTGGCTGCAGCTGGTGTGGGTGGTCAATAGGTGATCGGATCAGCATGGATACTCCTCAGAGTGTAAGGCTTTATGTGTCTGGGTACTTTATAATTGGGGATCTGTCTCTATCTGTCTGTCTGTCTGTCTATCTATCTGTCTGTCTGTCTATCTGTCTATTTGTCTGTCGGTCTGTTCGTCCATCCATCCATCCATCCATCCATCCATCCATCCATCCATCCATCCATCCAGGTACGCGTGGTGGTGCTTCTGCTGTCCAGGGACAGGTGCCCCAGGATGGGCAGAGTCCGCAGGATTGCTGGTCACGTGTTTTCTGTTTCTTCGTCCAGGGTGAAGCTGGTCCAGCCGGCCCCCCGGGATTACCTGGAACTGTAAGTCCCTCTGCTTCGAACCCTCTCTCCTTTCAATCCCCAAGGCCTCAGGATGCCCCCTTGCCCCGCACACACCACTTCGCTACCAACATCTTTTTAATGGAGCTGGCCAACAGCCAGACCCACCCCCAGGTTTTATAATCCCAGACCACTGTCTGGAAGCTTCTCCAAGAACCGCCCGTGCTTGTCCATTCATCGTCCCCAGCAAGCATGGTGCTGTGTCAGGACACTGGCCCGTCCCTGAGACTACACGCCCACCCGTCACACTGGGGAACTGAGGTCCAGGGACAGAAGCAATTGGCAGTTGGTCCCGGGAAGACTGCAGTGTGGACACAACCACGAGCCTGGATTCCGACCCCTGCGCCCCTCTGCGGGTCCGAGGCCAGGCGTGTGCGTTGAGTCCTGAGTTGGAACATGGGCTTCAGAGTCAGGAAGGACGTGGGTTTGAGTCGAAGCTGTCCCGCGCTCCAGCACTGTGGTCTCAGACAGAGTCCTTCATTTCAAAAGCGCTGTTTTCTCGCCTGTCCAAAATATATCTGTTGTGCCGGCTGTCTTGTCCGTTTGTGGTGGAAATGAACTGAGTCACGCCAGGGGGCAGCGCCATCTGCGGGTCACTAACAAACACCCGACAGAAACTGCTGCGTGCGCAGGGGGCTAGCTCGGGGTTTTCCTTCTTTTTCACCTTAACCTTTCCGCACGACCTTGATGTTTGGTTTCGGGGACACTGGGTGTGGCTTTCGGTCCAGTCCTGACCGAGGCACAGACACTAGTCAACTGCCTGCCAGAAGGGAGCTGTCTCAGCGTGGAGGCCGGGAGATGAGGGGCCTGGACGCAGAGGGACAAAGAGCCCACTGGGTGGTTTTGTGGGCATTCAGTCTCTTCCGCAGCTCAGTCACCTCCACCCACACGCCCATCCGAACGTGACTCGGGCATCCCACAGGGAGTCAGGAGGACCTCAGAAGCAGAGTTAGAGTCAGAGTGGCCCATACATTTGTGTGAGACGAATAACGTCAATGCTGCCAGGCATGCAGGGAAGGAGCACCAGGGCGAGCTGGGCACGCCTGTTTGAGAAGTTACAATGTATCAGCGTATTCAAAAGTGTCCACCTGTTCCTTAGAGGTTCCATTTCTGGCATCTGCCGTGGAGTCGTATTTCCATGTGTGCATTTAAAAGGCGTGAACGAGGACGTACCTGCAGTGTTGCTTGTAATGAAACATCACAGCCAGCCCACCTGGCCATAGCTTAGAATTAGGTAAACCACAGCCCTGGCCGGTTTGACAGACACAGTGACAGGGGTCCGGGTCCCAGGCACTCATTGCATGGATTCGGGCTCCCCCCACCCCGAGTGGAGACTGTCTCCTTCCCATTTTATCGACGAAGACATGGAAGCTGACAGATGTCCGAGATCACATGGTTTCAGGTGGGGTGACAGGGCTGGAGCTCAGGCCGTGACTCCAGGGTTCCCAGAGCTGACCACTGCGCCTCCTGTCTTACCGTCCAGGGGCTTTAAGACAGCGGTGCTCGTGGTCAGAACTACTCATCGGGGGGCAATGCTGGGCTGCACTTGCTGGCTGGCGCTCGGGCAGGTGTTTAAAACCCTGACGTCATTGTCCTTTCTGTGGTTTTCTTTCAGACGTTCCCCTTCACCCCGCACCCAAGAGTGCCAGTAAGTAGAGCGGTCCCCTCGGGGCCGCCCAGTGCCCCTGGCTCGTGACCCCCTGCCCCGGGGGGCCCTGGGGGCTGGGGCTCGGCGGGGTCCTGACTCTTCCCACCGTGCAAGTCACCGCCAGGCTTGGCCTGGCAGCTGGGGGGGAACCGGCCTTGCAAGGGGCAGGCTCCAAGTGAGGCAGGTGCCTGGGGGTCCCCTCCGCACCGCCAGTGCAGACCCTCCTGGGTGGCGGGGACTCTGCCTTCGACTCCCTGGTTTGGAGGGAACAGAACTGTGAGACGTGGGACACGCGTGAGCAGTGCAGCCCTGGCCGTGGGTGAGGGCAGTGACCCGGGAGTCGGTGCCGTGAGGGGACGGGCCTGAGAGCCGTTCAGAGCAGGGCTGAGGGCGTGGGCCCTGGCTCCCCGTGAAGAGGGGGCGGGCGGGAGGAAGGGCCTCCGGAACCCCCTCCTCTTCCCGTGAAGAGCCTCCTGAAAAGAAGCGTCTGCAGGGTCCCCCCAAGCTCCTGGCGACCGTGAGGCCGGAAAGCGCGCCCTCGGGTGTGGCCTCCACCTCATGAGTGGCCGTGGGCCTGTGTCCGGGGCTCGGCCGGCTGCCCCAGGAGGTGCCCGGGAGAGCCCTGCAGAACCACGTCGCGGCAGGAGGGGTGCAGCTGGAAGAGCTGGAACACCCCGGGTGCGCGGAGAGCGGGCTGCAGGCAGCCGAGCCCTGGAATCTCTGCCGAGGGACATGCGGGTGTTGAGCCCCCTCCGTGGTGACATGGTGGGAGCGAGGGGGCGGGACCGTCACTGGACAGGATGGACCTAGGAGGAGGTGCCTGCGGGGAAGACCAGCTCTGGGGGCTCTGGCTATGCCCCAGCCTCTCTGAGGACTCAGAGGGACACAGCGTGGGAGTCTCACACGACAGGTGCAGGCACAGTGCGGGTGTCACTCAGACCCCCCTGGGGGGTGCCCCCTTCAAGGATGGTGAGCCCGTGGCTCAGAGAAGCTGAGTATCCTGCCTCAGACGTGGAAACTGAGGCGGAGTTGTCAGCCAAAGGCCCTTCTGTCCCACCTGCTGCTGAGGTTCAAGGCTCAGCCCCTCCATCGGCCCCTCTTCCAGGACCACCTGCACCCACACAGCGCCTCCCACCCCTTCGTGCTCTGGGTCTCCCTCCCTCTGGCCCCTGTGAGCCCCTCACGCCGGATACAAGCTGGCAGGTGCTGCCTCTCCCTGAAGGAATGGCTCCATGAAAGTGTCCAACGCGGTCCGGGTTCCGTGGGACCTGCCTGGGCTCCCCTTTGAATCGCAGTGGTGACACCTTGTGGTAGGACCTGAGCTTTGCAGGAACGGGAAGCCACTCAGATGCGAAGCAAGGAAGTTGAGTCTCTGGGGGGAAAAGATTCGCTGTGGACTGTTGCCTCCATCTCCCTGGGCCCAGCCTTGTCACCATGGTAACGGTGCTTGTGCGGATGGTTTTGAAAAGTGTTGTCTCTCTGCTGCCCTCAGGTGTGCGCCTTGGGACTGGAAAGAGGGAGCATGGCTGGGAGGACTGCCTGACTATGGGGGTGAGGGGTCCTGGGGGCGCCCAGGCAGCCTGGTGATGGCGGTTTGTGGAGAGCACACGGAGGTGCTAGATGGTGTGCAGGTCTGAGATCTCAGGTAGACGAAGGAACCCATCCCTTAGCTGGAGAAGGGGGGGCAGACGGCCTTGGACTTGGAGAAATGACAGTCGAGGACTCCGGAGGGCCTTCGTGACTGCAGACCAGCGGGTGGTTCAGAAGCAGCCACCTCGGGAGACTCCAGGCAGCCCGACCCCACCCCCCGCCAGAGGCAGCTGCCAGGCCTCCAGGCCAAGGCTGAGGTTGCAGGGACGATACTGAGCCCCCGAGAGGAGCGAGACTTGGCTGACATCCCCATGGGGCAAGGGGAGGCGAGAGGAGCCGGGCATGCTCATGCACTCAGCCACCCTCGAGGAGCACCCACCCTCGAGGAGCACCCACCCTCGAGGAGCACCCACCGTGGCCCTGGCACCGAAGACCCTGCCTCCCGACTCCAGGCCCAGGACGGGCTGGTTGAGCGTCTGGCCTGCCCACTCGTGGGTGCTGAGTCCGTCTTCCTGCCACCGACAGAGCCTTGCAGGCGTGTCTCGGTCCCACCTGAAATGACCCTGTGAGCACCACCTTTGTGGATGTAACTGGAGACTCGAGAACCAAAGGGTTTCACAAGTCCCCACCGGGGGACATTTGCAAGGAGGAAACTATGCTAGAAACGCGGTGTTGTCCCTGATGAATGGGGCCAGAGTGCGTTTTCCTGAGCTGGTAGGAGCGGCGCTTCCAGAGGGAGGAATGGCGTCGGACCCGCGGAACACCTCCTGTGCCTGCACCTCGGAGCAGGGAGGAGAAACCCCACGTAACGGGTCGCAGTCTGCACAGTCGGCCTGGGCGGAGTCCCCTCCACAGAAGCTGCAGAGAGGGGGAAGCGGCCCGGGCCCCACAGGCGCGCACTGGGAGCGGCGAGGGCCTGGGGGAGGCTGGCAGCATGGCTGGGCCGTCCCCAGATCGGCCGGTGGGGGTCAGAGGGAGCAGGGGAGACCACAGGGCCGTGTCTGTCTGTGCCGCCTTCTCCACGGACTGACGGTTGGCCAGACGCCCAGGCTCCCTCACTCAGATGCTAGACCCTGCTTGGGGTCCCCTCTGTGCCATTTCTCAGTGACGGTCTGCTTGCCGGGCTCTGGGCTGGAGGGGACAGGACGAACCGCACAAATAAGTGGAAGTGTGCTGCCGTGGCCGGCTCCGGGGGGCTCCGAGAACTGCGTGCGTGTCCTGGCAGGAGGGCGGGGCCCGGCTTGGGGGTCAGTCACCCCGCAAGCCTTAGGTCTGCAGGACGAGTGAGAATGGACCGGAGTCTGGGGGGGGGGTGTCCTTGGTGGGACGGGGGGAGGTGCAGGGCCCTGTGGCCGGGTCTGTGGGTGGGCAGCGCCCATCTGCTCTGCCGGGTGCTTTTCTACCAACAGGGAGAACGAGGACCAAAAGGAGAGAAGGGCGACCAGGGAGAACCTGGGGAGCCGGTGAGTGCCCTGTGCCCTGCACCCCACACCCCCCAACCTGACACAGGAGCCCAGCTGAACCGAATGTGGTCCTCTCCTCCTCTGTCGGGGCCAAGGATGTGCCCTATCTGTGAACCTCAGCCGATACCCACTGCCCATGCCATGCGCCGCCCCATCTGCACAGAACAAGGGTGAGGACCTGGTTCATGGACGGCTTGTTTCATTGCAGGGGTCACAGGGCCGTCCTGGGGAACTGGGGCCTCCGGGACCCCCTGGGCTGCCGGTAAGAAAGCCCTCGCCCCACCTTGTCCTTCCTTCCCTCTGTCCCTCCCTGGCCCCGCTGGCCCCGCTGGCCTGCCATTTCAGGAGCACCCACCAGAGGGCGCTGGCACAAGTGCTACGGGGCCCTTGAGCCTGCGCCCAGGGGAGGAGAGGCCCAGGCAGCACCCCGACACAGCTCCCCCAGGGCGGGGCCTGCCTCTGGACCCCTGGGTGTCCCTGCTCTGTCACGAATGTGTGGGTTTGAGTGAGAATGCCCGGGGCCCACGGCCTCCTTCCCTGACTGCACCCTCGGGGCAGCGTGCTCAGGGCTGCAGTGTTTCCTGGCTCCTCAGGGCGTCTCAGGTGCAGGCACCCCTCCCCATCCCAGCCCTGACGGTCGAAAGGACACTCCATATATATTGGCATTTGTATGTTGTTATTTTCCTTGGCTTTGGCTTAGCTGGGCTCAGGGCAGGGGCTCAGGTCTCTGGAGAGGTGCAGTGGGCGTGACCTGCCTGGGCCATCTGTCCCCCAGCCCCCTCTACGGAAGACAGTGTCACACTGTGCTGTGCGCTGGGGTGGCGAGGACGGACTGCAGTGCCAGGTGCCCGCGGCCCCTGCGCACCCCTCCCCGTGTTTCCAGTTTGGATCACCTGACTCTGAGGGGCAGGGTGTCCCCGAGAGTCCCTGCATGGGGACAAAGACAGTGTTGCCGCTGATGTCGTACCTCTCCCCTTAATTTCCCGTGCAGGGTGCCAAGGGACAAGAAGGCGCATACGGGGTGCCTGGGGCAGCTGGAAACCCGGTGAGTCCTACCCTGCCTGCCTCCTCGGGGTGGGCTGGGGGTCACAGAGTGGGGACCCTGGCTCATGGCCCTGGGTGACTGGGGCAGCACCAGATACAGTGCAGTCTGCACGGGAGGGGCTGGCCAGGCCGGGGGCCTCTGGAGCAGCAAGACCCAGAGAGCCGCGCTGGCCTCCACCACAGCCCCAGCGTTTCGGGGTGTTGTCCGCACTCCCCCCCTCCTTCCACGCACTCGGTGATGCACACACACAGATGCCCGCTTACAGACGGCACGACTCTGAGGAGCAAGTTCACATGCACACCACACACGCACATGCTAAAGTCCAGGCGCACCTGCCATGATGCACACACGCATGTGGATGCCAGACGCAGCCATGAGCACACATATGTGACTCACACATGTGCTAAAGTCCAGACGCACCTGCCATGGTGCACACACGCATGTGGACGCCAGACGCAGCCATGAGCACACATATGTGACTCACACATGTGCTAAAGTCCAGACGCACCTGCTATGGTGCACACACGCATGTGGACGCTAGGTGCAGCCATGAGCACACAGACGTGCCTCACGCAAGTGCTTCTGATGCTCCTATGGCTGCTGCTGCCCGGCCTCTGGGGCCAGAGTCTCAGTGGGGTTGGTGCTTGACCCCGGGGCGACTAGAGGTCCATCTCAGGGTGCCGAGCTCAGGCGTCCCCGTGGGGCAGGATGAGGTCACCTCCCGCCAGCTCCCAGGCGCAGTGGTGGTCAGAGCAGCGTCCCCTCTGCCAGGCCCACAGGCCCGCTGTTGCACGGGGAAGTGCTGCTGGACCAGGCTATGCATGTGGCCGAGTGGGGCAGGGTCAGCTAAGGGCAGTGACACTGGACGGCACAGAGGGCAGGTGGCGGGCTCCTCCCTGGTGGTAGAGACAGTCCTGGACCAGCCTCGGCCCGGGGGAGATGGAAGCCGGGTGTCGGCAGGAGGCCGAGAAGTCGCCCCAGCAGCCTCCAGAGCGGCGGGCGCTCTCCACCTTCCACCCCACGGAGCCCCACCTGGGACGCCTCCCCTCCCCCCTGCACCTGCCCAGGCCCCCATGTCATGTTCCAGTCCACTTCCTTCAGGACGCATCACCTGACATGCCAGTCTGAGCGCAGGGAACCTCCCAGAGTTCTGCCCTCCTGTCTCCCACTCTGCCCAGTGAGGGGGCTGGCAGGAGGTGTTTCATCTCACCCAGAGGGCGATCTCGGGCAGATGGAGCCCGCAATGAGGGCCTGGGTACGAGGCAGGTGTGGAGGGAGGTGGGGAACCATATAGTCAGTACCCCGGGCCTGTCTAAACTTCTGCCTCCAAACAGGGCACTCCTGGTCCCGTCGGCTCCCCCGGCCCCAGCGGCCCCCCAGGAAGTGTGGTGAGTCATTGTGGGGGGCTGGTTTGCCTCCCCAGCCCAGACGCTGCCTCTCCCCCATGAGGCGACTGCTGGGCCGGCTCACGCTCCGCCGCAGACACCCACGTCGACTTTCATGCGATGCACCCCAGTGGCTCCCAGTCCCGGGCCACAGAGAACTACCCTCCTAACACAGACTGAGGCGGCCCGCTCGGCATCAGCCTTGGACGACAACAGTCAGAGCTGTTTAGAGGACGAACACGGGGCATTTGTGGGTGCCAGGCTCTGTTCCCACTCTAACACGCGCTGACTCGTTAACCCGCGCCACCCCGGATGGATGTGATCATCCCCCGTTTGCCCCGGAGGCTGGGTCAGGTCCTCAGTGGTTGCTGTGGATGCTGCCGGGACATTGCCTGGGTCACGTCACCCCCACCCCACACCGTGTGCGCCACCGGCTTCCAGGAGCCAGCACCCCTTTGCCTGAGCGTTTGCTCTGGCTTTTAGAGACCACGTGTCCAGCCACGTGGCACGAGGCCTCCAGCTCCGTGGGAGCAGCCCCGCCCAGGGCTCATAAATGCCCACGCTGGCTCCCAGAGCCCCAGCAGCAGGGAGTCCGCCCCGCCCCCCTCGCCCTACTTGCCTGTGGTGATCCCTGGAACACTTGCCCTTGAGCCTTGTCTCAAGGTCAACCTCTGGCGGCTCCATTCACACAGCCGGGGAGGACCCCCTGCAGAGCCTGTGGGCTCAGGTCACCCTCAGCCTCGCTGGTGTCCCCCAGCCCGGCCCTGCCTTCCCCCCAGAGCGCAGCCAGGCCAGAGCGTCAGGCTGTCCTAGCCCAGGAGAACGCTGCCGGCATGGGTGTGCAAACAGCCCGACGGGCAGCTGCGGTGGGCGGGGGGGCACAGCTCCAGGCCTCCGGGCAGTTAAGTCAGGGATGGGGTGAGTGGGCACGAGCTACAGTCACTGAGTAGAAAGGGACCTGGTCACCCTCCTCTGGCGGCCACCGTGACAATAACTTTTCTTTCTCAGGGCCCCCCTGGGATCAGAGGCCCCCCTGGGAAAGATGGGGAGCGTGGCGAGAAGGTGAGACAGAGTGATCTCTGAGCATGCAGCCCTGGGACCCATCCCAGGCCCGGACGGAGGGGCCACCCTGCTCAGGCCTGGTTAGGACCAGGCTCCGAGGGACGGTCTGAGGGGAGGGGTGGGGGGGCCTGACCCCTCCCACGTCACTCTCGCAGCCGAGCGCGGATCCCACACGCCCCCCTTTGGCAGATGTGGAGACCGAGGCTCCTTGATGAGCCGATTGGCCCCCCCGATGCACAGCTGGTCAGCGGTCTGTCTGACTCGAAATCCCGCGTTCTTTCAGCTCAGCGCAGATGTCAGCACTGCCCTAGACCTCCCCAAGCCTCGGGAAAGGAAGGAGAGAGACCCAGTGTCCCCCAAAACACCAACACCCCAGAGGCAGAGGGGCAGGATCCACAACTTTCTGAAATCCCAGCTCCCTTTCTCTAACCTCTGCTGGTCAGGGACCGCAGCTGGGCTGGGACAGAGCAGGGGTTCTGCTGAAAACCTCACCTGGAGGGGACAGTGCCCCCCAGGCTACCCTGAATGCCCACAGTGCCAACGCCGGGGACCTTGATCGCAGACACCCTCTGTGTGCTTGATGTTCTCATCTGTGGAACGGGGACACAGATGTGAAGATTAACTAAGGAACTGACATGGCATGGGCTCCGCACAGAGCAGGTGCGGCGGGGGATGGAGGTGCGCTGTCCCCGTCTCCCCCGGGGAGCAGGGTTCACATCTACAGACAGGTGTCCCAGCTGCCCCCCCACTTCTGACGGATCATCTGCAGAGGGCCCCTCCCAGCACCCAGGAGTCTGAACTCCTTCATGCAAATCCCTTCGGGTCCACTTCTCCTGGGACCTCTTAAAGGAGTGATCGTTTAATCTTTTCTGTTTTGATAACATTTAATAAGAGATAATAACGCTCGCATTCCGGTGAGAAGTCCGTTGTAAAATATCTCAGAGCCGATGTTAGTTATGGAGGAGAGTGATCGGCGCACCCATGGAAACGTCTTGGGGCTTCCGAGTGTTAGTTGATCATAAGCTCAGTCATAACCCTTAAGTGATGCGGGTGCTTATTTATTATTAGTATTTTCTGACAAGAAGAGAATACCATCTTTGACTGCAATAATGAGAACCCAGGGTCAGTGAGGGGGAAAACGCTGACCATCGACTCCGCCTTGATTCTGCCGCCTAGGTCTGAGGACTGAGCTCCATCCAGGACTTATGATAAGTAGGGCAGCCCGAAGGGGCGACCAGAACGTCAGAGGTTTGCAGAGGCCTCGTTAGTGGAGAGAAAATCAATGTGCAGGTAGACATTGCCCTCTAGAGGGAGCCAAACACCTGCGGTTGGCTGAGCACAAGTCCAGGGGGCAGGCCAAGGCCAGGCTGCCCAGTGGTACAACCCGGCCGCCAGGGCAGGCTCTAACGCGTGTCCAGTGGCTGGAGAGAGTCCGCCCCATCGCTTGCTTGGCCCATCCTTGCTACATCTCATGCCGGAAGGAAGCCTTGCCTGGGAAAAGCAGTCCCTGCGGCTCATGGGGTCCCACCCAGTGTCCTGCAGCCAGAGCCGCCCCACGGGGCTCGTGGCTTTGTGGTCAGAAACTGTGAGCCTTTGCCTGGAGCAAACCGAAAGCCCAGCTCCCTCACTGAAACTTGAACAGCCTGGGGAGGTGGTGAGCTCTCTGCTCTCGAGGGAGTCCAAGCGGAAGTGGAGGGCAGCCCGTAAGAGACACACTGCGGGCATCCTGCCCTGGGAGGGAGGTTGGACTCGAAAGCCACAGATGTCCTTTTCATTCCCGCGCCCCGTGCGTCATTAGTTTTCTAAGGCAGCCCTAAGAGGATCGCAGCCCGGGTGCCTTAAACCATCCTCACCGTGTCTGGATACCCCAAGTCCAGGTGTCAGCACAGGTGGTCCCGGGGGCAGTGACGGAGGGTCTCCCAGCCTCTCCCCTTGGCTAACTGTTGCTGTCTTCTCCTGTGTCTTCGCTTTGGCTTCGCTCTGTGCATGTCTGGGTCCGAAAGCCCCCCTCTTCTGAGGACTCCGTTCATGTTGGATTAGGGGCTACTCTACTCCAGCATGACCTCAACCTGACAGCTAATGAACAGACCCAATTTCTAAATGGAGGTATTGGGGGTTAGGACTTCAGTGTATGAATTTGGGGGCATACAGTACTTCTATTACCTACCTTCAGGAAGCTTATCGACCCCCTTTGAACTTTCTCACCATTGAAAAGCCGGCCCCCTGCATGTCGGTGATCCTGACAACTGTCCACTTTTCTTTTCAGGGAGCAGCTGGGGAAGAAGGGAGCCCAGGGCCAGCAGGCCCTCGGGGGAATCCCGGTGCTCCCGGGCTCCCTGGGCCTCCCGGATCAGGGAAAGATGGAGAGCCGGTAAGTCAGGTGCAGGAGCGTCTGTGCCCAGGACAGCCAGGCTAGATGTAGAGGAGGAAATGGAAAAGAAGATGCACTGGCCAAACCTTGCAGAAAGTCTGTGATGTTGGCTGGTGGGGAGAAGGGGCCGAGGGGATAGGGACACAGCGGTCTCTGACCAGGGTCTGTGACGCTGAGATGCACCTGAGATCGTCCAGCCAGCATACCCATCGCTTTGGCCAGTCAAGGTTGTGCACAGAGAATGGGCTGCTCCGGCCAAGAGTGAAGTAGCATTTGTAAAACCCGTCAGCCTGAAATTGATGCCTTTTCCCACGGGCTCCCCAGGTCTTGACAGCACAGTAAAGTAGGAAGAGGCCGGGCTTTGGGAGCAGGTGAGCCCTGCTTTCTTTTTTTTTTTTACCCTCACCCGAGGACATTTTTCCATTTTTTGTTCAGATAGAGTGGGAGGGAGACAGAGGAACAGAGAGAGAGAGAGAGAGAAACATTGATGTGAAAGGGACACATCGAGTGGCTGCCACCCTCACGACCCAACCAGGGCCGGGGACAAACTGCAACCGAGGTACACGCCCTTAGCGGGAACCGAACCCGGGTCTCTCAGGACCGCAGGTGGACGTTCTAACCGCTGAGCCAAATCGGCCAGGGCTCTGCTTTCAAACCTGGCTTCGCCCTTACTGTGGGAGCCTACGAAATAAGGGTCTTGAGTGAGAAACAGAGTCAGAGAGACCACAGGGTCTGCTCATGGTCACGAAGCTGTAGGCGACGGGATAAGGATTCTCACCCAAGAGCCTTGTGGCTCAAAAACAGGTTGTTTCCTCTATGTAGCGAGGTCATGGGAGACTCTCATATGTCTGTCCCCATCCCCCGTGGCATAGGGTGCACACGGCTGGCACATGGTGGGTGGGGAGGTACACCCTCACGGTTCCATAATCATCCATCTATCCTTCATTTCCCCAGGGGCTTCGTGGACCACCTGGGTTGCCTGGACCTCTTGGACTCAAGGTATGTGTTTATCCGAGCAGACCATGGGTTGTGCTTAGAAGGAGACCTTGTAAAATTTCACTGTAAGCATCTCTGGTCACCTCAACCCACCTCCATGTTCCTTAGTTCATCACATCCCTCCCGATGGAAGGCCCCGTGGCTGTGAACTGGGGTATTGCAGTAGTTCCCCCGCAGGGGGAGTTTTGTAAATATTTGATGACTGGATGAAGTTGCAACAGCTTTCAAACATTGATCTTGGAGCCACAGATCTAAGCGGTCTTGTACGATCAGTCGAATTGTGGTGAAAGGTGATGCCCAGGTTTCAGATGCTGAACACAGTCAGTAGGTGGAGGCAGCAGTGAAGAGTAGAGAGGTAGCCCTGAAGTGAGGCCCACAGAGAGCCTGACCGGGGGCCCGGCTGACCAGCTGGCTCATCTCCAGGGGACCGACGGCAAGTCCTACTGTGTCTTCAGCCGGGTGGTCCTTCCCATTTAAAATGTGAGACCTGTGAACACGGGACCATTCATGCAGCTTGGAAATAAAGCTTTCCATAGCCAGTTGGCATCCGGAAGGGAAGCTGGAATTCGGAGAGGTCTTTAGTTGGAGAATGGGGAGGTCTAGGGAGGCAGGAGGAGACAAAGGGGGGGGGGGAGGTGGAGAGAGACCAGAGACAACGCCCGCTGCTGTCCGTGGTGCTGACAGGAAGAGCCTGTGGGAGTTAAGGAAGACTCTATAGAGACGTTTTCAGCTTGTCCTAATTGCTTACGACTGTGGGAAGACTAACAGATGCCTGCCTTCTCTTGTGGCATTAGTTTCTAGCAAAAGGAATAGGCTTTGTCGTCAGACAGAACCGAGTTAGGATCCCGGCTCAGCTGCCTACAAGACAGATGACTTACAGGCTTATTCTTTCGGAGACTCTTCCTTTTCTGGGCACAGGAGTAACCCCCCAGAGGGCCGCTGTAGGGGAGACTCTTAGGGCACAGAGCTGTTGCTCAGTAAATACTGCCGTCCTCTGCGACCCCACCCTTCTGCCACGCAGACTGGCCCAGCCCGTCTGCAGTCCAAACAAACAGAAGCCAACGTCAGAATTACCGACTCTGGGTCCTGCGTCCCCTTGTTTCTTAATCATGAGCCTTTTTGCCTCTGATGACAGAGCATTAAGGTCTTTTGCTCTTTTCTTGGGGCCACGTTCTGACCATTTCAGTTTATTAAGCTGTGAAGGGTAGTGGCTCGGGGAAAACGAGAACCTCACAACACCATACGCATATAGATGGGCCAGGCCTCCCGGTGGACGAGACCTACCAGTCAGGAACTTGGATTTCAGGCTGGGCTGGGAGACACCTTCCTATCACACTTCCTCTGGAAGAAGGTGAATTTGGTCACAGGCAGAATTCAGTGCTCGGCAAGAGGTGCGTGAGGGCAGAGTCATCCATTCTGGAATCCGGGAAATTGCTTTTCAAAGCTGCCCCTGTGCCAGGCCCCACACTGGGCCTGTGCACACAGAAGTGTGTCGCTTGTGTACCCAGCACAGCGCCTGCTTCATTTTGGGTACTTGGCAGAAGTCTGGTGACTTCGTGGGTAAATGAAGGGATGGATGGTTCTAGTTTTCACTGAAGTCAGAGGGTCAGGCAGACTCAGCAAGAGGGCATGTGTAAAGGTTAATGAGGAGCCGGACAACTGTTAGCAAGAGGTACAGAGAGGAGGGCAGGCAGACGCAGTGGCGATAGGGACATTCGGCCAGGCCTTTGCGGACGGGCAGGTGTTTGGAAGCTCAGAGCATGGGTGGCAGGGCCTTCTCCCAGGGGGAGCAGCATGTGTGAGAAGCAGTGGAAACACATAGCTTGGAGGGAGACAGATGCTTCTGTTGGTGTGATCAGCTTGCGGTAAGTCGTGAGGTTTTGCTAACGTGCAGCCTTGGGAGGAGGAGCGGAGATGAGCCGGAACGTAAAATCACAACCAGAAATCTACGTTCAATCTTTTCAAGAGGAACAGAGCCGCAAAGGGATTTCTCTGACAGTTATGCGTGTTTAGTTTATTTCCCATCCCTTAATTCTGTTGATGAAGTGGTAATAATACACCTGTCAGGCCCAACGTTGGATAGTCGCTTATTCTTTAAATGAGTCTGTACGAGATACATGGGAATTAGGGGGAATGTTCTATTTTTTCCTAGTTGAGGAGGGCCCTCAGGCACAGGGAGGTCACGGGACTTACCCAAGGTCACAGGACCAGCTCAATATTATCCGGAGAGTCAGCTGGCTGCCAACCTGAGCGGGTCCTCCCTGGTCTTGTCACAGTGCCATGTGCTGGAGACAGGCACCGTGCCCATCATGTTCTCTCAGGTTATTACACTTCTCTCCGTATTTGCCTTATTTCTTAACGTCCCCGTGCATACAAATTAGATTTCCTAGCAGTCCCAGGCATCTTGTACTTCCCAGAATCAGTCAGACCTTATTATTCTAAAGAAACAACATGTACCATCTGGGATTTTGAAGAGAATTCAAGATGGGGCCTGGCAGAGGCGCGGGGGTGGGGGAGGGCTGAGGGATGCAGTCGCTCTCGAAAGCACGGCCACCGTGGGCTTGGAGGGTACACTGATTATTAATGAGATTTTTTTAATGTTTGAAAACATAAAGCCTAGTGAAGCAACGTGTTGCCTAGCTATGCCAGGGTCTTCCCGAAATCACTTTGCTGCCGTTATCTCGCGGGCTCTCGTAACCACCTCCCGAGGGTCTTTTCATCGCGTGTGAGTTAACACGTCCCGGAGACAGGACCAGGCTTGAACAGGTCACCTGCCGTTTCGGCAGCTGGCGCGGCTGCAGGTCCGCTGACTGAGTACAGGTACCAGTCTCTCACACAGAACTGTGGGGGCCAGGTGTGTTTTGGATTCAGTTTCTTTTGGAATCGGAAAAGGTAGCCATGTGCAACTCTGTGTGTGTGACACACTGTGGTGTGTGAGGCAGCACGCCTGGTCGAACGTGAGCCGATGCACCAGCAATGGGTCTCTGTCCATGCAAACGGGCAGCAAGGACTGTCCCTGGCCTGTGTCAGAACAGCCCGGCCTCCCCGTCAGCTGAGTGAGGATAAGCGCTCGTGTTCAGAGGTTGGGGCTTCTGAAACCGTGGAGAAGGCATGGCTGTCCGGGTCCTGCTCCAGGGACTGGCAGACACAACTTCCTCCCGCTTTCTCTCTCCTTCCCCCGACTCCTCTTCCCATCAGAGTCCGGAATGACGGGTCCGCGTGCACAGCAGTGTCCACAGCCGTTAGATTGGGCGGAGGGTGTGTGCTGGCCTGGGCACCGTGCCAGGCACGGCGTCGCGGATCTCGTTCGATGAGCAGGACGTCTGTGTGCGTGGCAGCTCCTGTCCTCACCCCCCCCACCCCCCGCCCCCCGCCCCGGCACAGACAGAGACGAAAGCTCACAGGACTGGTCGTGTTCCTAAGCCGACAGTGAGTCAGTGTTGAAGCCAGAACTGAAACCCACACTCCATCCACCACTGAGCCTGAAGGCAGAGGTGATAGCCGGTCATCCTCGCCCCTCCCAGCCCCTGGATAAGGGGCCCACACAGAGGTTCTTGGCTAGTTGTTGGTGAACTGACAAAGTAATTGAGTGGCGATACAGGAACTGAGTTGAAAGGTGGGTGCAGGGTGAGAGCTGGGGTGTGGTCAGGATGAGACGTGATGAGGCCTGGAGGGAGCACAATAAACCTGGAACTGTGGTCACATGGAGGGGCCACCGTGTTGCAATGGCATCTGGAGCCATGGCGAGGTTGGGCGTGGGCAGCCTCGGACGTGCGTGGTGACAGCCAGCGGCTGCTCAGGAACCGGAGGGCACGCCCAGTCCGGGCAGGGAGAGGCCTGCTGGGGGCGCAGCTGGACAGCCAGAGGAGCAGCATTCCTTCGAGCCCTGGCCCTCTCTCTCCTTCCCGGAACTGACCCCTTGATCTTGTGTTTCTCTTTCTAGGGGGACCGAGGCGCACCTGGGATCCCTGGCTCTCCTGGCCACCGTGGCGACCCGGGCATCGGTGTTGCTGGCCCTCCTGTGAGTCCTCATTCCCCCAGCGCTTCCTTGCTCTGACCGCCCAGCCCGAACCTGCTTGGCCCGCCTGCCTGGCCCTTGGCCTCTGGAGCTGTCCCCCTTTCTTCAGTGCTCAGCTTATTCTGTCCCCTGGGCTGTTCTGGGGTGGATGTCACGGGCAGGCCTTAGGGACCTGGTTCGTCGCGCTGCCAGAGACCTGTGCATTGCGTGAAGCCCTCTCTCCTTCTTGGAGAGATCGGGGAGGTCTCGTGGGCTCAGGTCTAGGGAGACGCTGACCAGAGCAGGAGGTGGGAGGAGCCTGCCTGGGTGGCTCCCGCGGCGTGGGCAGGTGCCTTGACTCCTCTGGGCCTTGGTTTGATCCCCATGGAAAGGAGGGTGATCACAGATGATGGAGTGCCATTAGCTGTCTGCTGTGTTCTGGCCACGCGTGGGCCCCGTGCTGGGAGGAGGGGAGACTGCTGAGCGAGCAGCTCAGTGCCCGCCCCTGTGTGGCACACAGTCCATTCAGCAGAGAGGACAGACGGCAGGGCAGCAGTGGTGCACTAGGATGTACCGCCTGGATGGGGTGCACCACGAGAATGGGGACCACCTCCAACAGCCATCCTGGGACGAGCCGGGAAGGCTCTCCATGAGGGGCGTCATCTCCACTGAGAACCGAAGTGTGACCGAGGGTGTCCAGGGCGGAAGGCAAGGCAGTGTCTTCCATGCAGAAGGCCGGCAGAGCCCCGGCCCAGGGCCGAGGGAACATGCTACTGCCTGCAGGACCTGACCCTGCACGACGCCTCCACCTGTGGGCATGACCTGTGCAGCCCTACGCCAGATGCTAGGCCGGACATGCTGTAGGAATGCAGGCCCACGCGTGTGCGTGTGTGCGTGAATGTGTGTGCAGGTGTGTGCATGAATGTGTGCAGGTGTGTGCCCCATAGTAAGGGGGCGGGGCATCACTGCAGCCTCGGCCCAGCAGGCCACCCTGGGGCGTTGCCCTGTGTGTCCCCCGGCCTTACCCCAGCAGGAAGGGGGTGCAGCGCTAGGGTGCTGGGTGCTGGTTCCCACCCACACCAGCGCTACAAGCTAGGCTGGGCTCAGGTGTCAGGAGCGAGGTGGGTGCCGGCAGGTGGAGGAGAAGGTCCCGGGGGTTCCATGTGTAGTGTTGCCGGGGGCGTGCGAGGGGTGACAGTCTGGCCGCTCCTCCAGGACAGCTGACGACCGGGCTGAGACGTGAGCGCCCCCACGCTGACATGGGCGTCCCCTTCCGGCTCTGCTCACTGTTGTTGTTTGTTTCTTAGGGCCCTTCTGGACCGCCAGGAGACAAAGGACCCCCGGTACAGTAGTTCTTTTCAATACGGGGCTGGGTTTCGATGGGAACATTCTGCTGTCATCACAGTGATTTTAGGTGGGAGGGGCCGGGGCCTGAAGTAAACTCCCTGCCATTGACGAGTGCAGGCTCCCCAGCATGTGAGCCTTGACCTGCGGACAAGCAGGGTCATCTGTCCGCGCGCCCACGCTGGGGTTGGCACACTGAGTCGGCTGGGTTCTGTGGCATCGCTGCATCACAGGATGGCCGTGGGTTAGCGGACTCGTCACATTGCCGGAAGTACTCATTATAAACCTGGCTTCATCAGCCCCAACCACGTGGCCACATGCAAATGAGGGATCTCTCTGACTCCGTGGAGCCCACTGTGGCGATGCAATGGACTGCACCCACGGACGCTGCAGGCGGGCTCCCGGCAAATGTTCGTTCCCGGGACGAGCAGCCACGGAGGACATGCTCGCGGTTGCCGGGAACATGAGCGTCTCTGTGCAGTCTCCCCGGTGCAGGGGCCCTGCCTGGGAGCAGCTAGGATGACGCTGTCCCTCCCAGCCTGCTACCTTTGCTGTGTCCCGCTCACTCGGGACTTCTGAGCTAAAGAAGAGAGGGGTTTGCTGCCCTCTTCTCTAGATGAGAAGACCGAGGCTCAGACAGTTCACGGGTCGGCATGAGATGGCAGAGGTTAGGGCAGAGGTAAGGCAGACAGGACGCCCTGTGGAGAGTCGTGGGCCCTGGAGGGCACTCGGCCGGGCAAACACACACCTCTGAGTAAGGACGACTCCTCCAGGGAGAGGCAGGTGTCTGTGCCCATTCCTGAGACTGTCCGGCAATCTCTGTGACCAGATGGGAGTGGTGGTCTCACCAAAATACCGTCGTCTGAGTGCTAAGCTCTGGGCTGCGCCTCCCACTGTCCACAGGACGGCGGCAGGGAGCTCGGGCCTGCACTGATCCCCCTGTCGCTGTCCCTGCCATGTAGGGCGGGGCCTGTGGATGGGGCCGGGCGGGAAGGCTCCCGCTGAAGGTCTTCCGGCGCGTTCTCTGAGCGTATTTCCACGTCCACCCCACAAGCGTAGGGCGCCCAGCAAGCTCTGAGCAGGGTGCTGCACGGCAAAGGGGTATCAGTTTCCTCGAGCAGCGACTGCCAAAGCAGGGGCCTTACTCAGCTTCAGCTCGTGGGGTGTCTTCTCTTCTGTCTCCTCAGGGATCTCGAGGCTCACCGGGATTCCCCGGCCCCCAGGGACCCGCTGGCCAGAACGTAAGTAGAGAGAGCTGTTCTGGGCTCAGCCCAGGTGATCATGGGCCCACCCCCACCAGAAGCCCACCCCCACCGCCTCACTGACCCCTGCCACTGCGCCAGGGACGTTCGGACAGCGGTGACCTTCTGGTGACCGTGGCCGACAATTTTGTGGGGTCCGGTTGTATTTCTTTGGCTTTAGTGTTCGCTTTCGGAAGCTTGTAAGGCCCTGGGCATCCCATACCACGCATCCCGCTTTTGGCCAATCCCCGTCACGTCTCGGCGGTCTGTGCTGCTCAGATCAGGTCCAGCTTCTCTGCGGACTGACCCTCCCTGCAGAGACTTTCTCCCGTCACGGGGACGCCCCAGATTGGTCTGGGCTCCAAGGCAGTAGGCACCCCGGGCCTGATGCACCTGCAGGGCCTGGCAGCAGGCCAGGTACACAGACATTACCCGGTTCTTGCTCGTCGACAAAGGGACACCCGAGGACGATGAGGTCTCATGGGACAAAGCTGTCCAGCACCGTGGTGGTCGTATGGATTGGTTTAGTTCACTACATGCAGGAGCATGAAAGCCCCTTCCCTTCCTGTGCTCGGGTTCCATTCCAGAGAAGAAACCCGCCTTCTAATTCCCGCCTCACACATTCAAACGGACCTAGCCCGCCCTCAACCCGATGTTCTCACCGCCAGCCCAGTAGCGCCCCCCTCCTGCGGAGCTGGCTCCCACCTGTGTCTGGGACAGGGGCCGGGCTCGGGATGGGCGTGTGTGTGCACGCCCACGGGTGTGGGCGCCTCTGGGCGTGGGCTGTTTCCGGTCTGTGTCTCGGACAGGAGTTAGCGGGGCGGTCACTTTCTGTCCTACGGGCTTCCCACACTTGAACCTTTCCTGGGAGTCTTCTGTGCCCGGCGGAGACCAGAAACCACGAACGTTAGCTGGTGCCAGTCTTCACGGTGGGGTGGTTTCTTTCCCCCACCGAGTGACACGGGGCAGACGGACGTTGGGGAGGGTGGGCCGAGCGGAGGCGGTTATGTGCTCAGTTAACGTTTTCTTCCCTCTGCTCGTAGGGTGTGCCAGGAAGCCCAGGAGAGAGGGGGCCCCCTGGCAAACCGGTAGGTCACCCCACTGTTCTGGATGAGCTCTGAGGACTGGTCAGGGCTCCAGCGAGAACAGATGCAGCTCGGATGGTCTGGGAGACCTTTGAGCAGGGACTCTTTCTAAAGTGGGGGCTGAGGGACTAATGTGAGCTGCTGTGACGGCCGGAGGTGAACCACAGTGGGGTCTGAGAGCTCACGCCAGTCATGCCAAGGCTCAGAGGACAGCGTGACGGTGCGCCCAGGAAGGCAGGGCCCCCCGCACGCTCATGTCCCAGCACAGACATGTGTACCCTGTACCACTGTTAACCTCCGAGGGCAAACAGGGCTTCACCATGAAGCCTCCGCCCCTTATATTTTTATAAAAAATTTTTTTCTTTATTGATTTTAGAGAGAGAGGAAGGGAGAGGGAGAGAGATAGAAACATGGATGAGAGAGCACATGCACTGGTCGCCTCCTGCATGCTCCCCACTGGGGATCGGGCCCACAACCTGGGCATGTGCCCTGACCTTGGAATGGAACCGGCGACCTCCTGGTGCAGGGTCGACGCTCAACCACTGAGCCACACGGGCCGGGCCCGCCCCCTTTTAAGTGCAGGTTGTAGGAGGTCAGAATGCAGAGGCTGCAGACAGCCTGGGACGGTCTCGGCTTTGTCTCGAGCCCGGCTGGTTCCTTCCTCAGCATCTCCAGCCCGAGTCAGTCCAGCCCGTCTCCCTTGAGTCCTCCCATTGCCGTGGCCCAGAGGGTTGACCCGGCCACTGCCACGGTTATGCCCCCCTGTGCCGACGTATACGATGCCACCGTCCATGCCTCTGTCAGCCACCGATGTGTCAGAAACCCCGAGGGGTCAGGACAAGAGCAGTAGCCAGGAAAAGCGTCTTGGTGTCAGCCTCTCCGAGATAGTCGACTGGATTTGTCACCACAAACCCCAAGTCCAGTGTGAGGGGAAGAAGGCAGCCACACACGTTCAGCTGTGGTCACAGGGTCCCACAGTTAGGCGCTGCACCCCTCCCTCTGCAGAGCAGGTGCGCCGAGCCCCCTGGTCCCTGAGCTAGAGGTTGGCCAAGTAGATGCCGACCGATCGATCCCCACTTCTCACCTGGATCCCCTCCCCCCCAGGTGCCTCTGTACTCCGTTTCCTCCCCAGCCTGTGTCCCCGCCCCCTCGTGCGAACCCAGCCCCCACCCATCTTGGGCTGTGGCCGGGCACACCCCACCCCAGCACACAGAGGGTTTGCAGGTGGATCAGCGGCCTGCCCACCCCTCTGTGCCTTCAGACGCTTTGTCATCTCCCCTGGCTTCTGAACTCCCCTCCTGCACTTGGAGACTCAGCCTCCGCTGACAGGTGGGGGTTGCAGGGCTGCTTCCCCTGGGAGAGCTGAAGAAACACCTACACTCACACCAGGTGGTGAATGGCTGATGCGCAGCTGCTCCTCACCTGGGGAGCGGTGGCCCACCCCTTCGCCTCCCTCAGCGCCCATGTTAATGAAGCGGGGAGGGGGGGACGGGGCCAGAGAGCACGAGGCCAGTGAGACAGGGCGAGGACGGGCCACCTGCGCAGTCCCTGCCCCAGGACAGCCCTCTGCATGTGGCTCCAGGTGTGGGGCAGCCTGGGCGGTGCGTGTCCCGTGCACGGCGGAGGTGTGATTGGAGGTGTGATCTGAAGGCCCTTCGCTGGCGGAGATCCATGGGCTGTTGTGTCTGGGGCATGTCTGTCTGTCTGTCTTAGTCACTTACTTTTACTTCGGCAGGGGCCCTCCTCACCACTGTCTCCGGAGGACATACGTCTCTTGGTGAAGGTAAAAGCATCAGATCACGGGCGTGCGTTTGGACGTGGTGAGGGGGCTGGGGCTCTGGAGTGTGACCATGTGGGTTTTTTGGTCTGAACAACAGTATTATCTCATCAACGACAGCAACATGTGGGGAGCGCTCCCCGTGCCCGGTGACGTGCTGGACCCCCTGGCCGGTACGGCAGCCACTGGCCACGTGTGCCCGTCCACATGTGGACGAATTGGAATGAAATGGAAGGTCAGGTCCTGAGTCACACGAGCCACATTCCAAGGGCATAATCGCCACGTGCGGCTGCGGGCGCTCCTACCGGACGCTGCGGGCAGGGCGCTCTGGCGGCCACGTTCTCGTGGGCAGTGGACACGCCTGCCGCGCCCCTGCCTGGAGTTTCTCTGTGAGCTGGGTGCAACTCCTGGGCGTGTTCAGGACCTGAGACACCGTGAGGGTCAGGGCCTCCCTGGGAGTCAAATCCACCCCTCAGGGACCCCGGAGGCTGACTTTTAACCCCACCGGGACTGCCTCCTCCTGATCTGGAAAGAGTCAGACAGGTTGGGCGTGGGCCCCGCGGGTGCGAAGGCCGCAGCACAGTGGGGGGAGGTGCAGCACCTGCGGGGGCCCCGAGCCAGGATGAGTGCAGGTCGGCGTGCAGACCACAGCCGTGCGCACGTCTTTGTGAGTGGAAGACCCTGCGGAGTTCAGGGCAGCTCTGCGGATGCAGGGTGACACGCGGGGCGCCCCGGGGTCCGGCCACCAACCTCGGGGCTCAGGTGGAGGCTGGGAAAGGCTGCGAGCAAGATCGAGATGGCCAAGAGTCCCCCGTCTCCGAAAGAACATTCTCGCTGCCGTGGGTGTGGGGGACCCTCTCCGGCCTCCACTGGAAGACTGAGTCTCACCTGGGCTGAGGCCGGGCCCTGGATCCTGGGTGAGCAGCCCTTCCTCACTTCCTGCGTTCAGTCGACACTCGGGTGATGTCCGAAAACACCCGGCTCACGCACGAGGTCAAGGGAGGGAAACGAGAGAACACCCCAGAGGCCGGCGACTGCTCCCTACACGTGGAGACGCCTCGATGGGAAGTCACATATTTTATTAGAAACACAGGTAGCAGTAAGCATAGTCTCTCCTGATTTTATTGATGAGAGAGTTTTTCCCACAGTCAAGGACGTGACAAGAAATCATTTCTATCGATTCGAGCCCTTGTTACAGGCTTTCACGAGCCGGGGTCACTTTTCATAATCCCATCTCTCTGAAAGAAGCTGGGCTGCGTCAGCCTGGATTCCACCCCAAGACCCCCCTTCTTTATGCCAATTGTTAAGGAGCGGAGCTTGGAGGCGGACCCACCAGGCTTCATGGCCACGCCCAGCCGGCTCCTCTGGCGGAAAAAAGCCAGCCTTCCGCTTACCTCATTCCCCACCCCCCACCCCCAACTCCAACCAGCTTCTCCAACCATCTCCAAAGGCAGGTGGCGCTGCACAGCACAAGGTCAGCTGGTGGGTCCCCTGGTGGACTGGTTGGCTAGTTGGTCAGCTGGTTCCCTCATTTACTGAACTGATGCTCCGTGGAAGGCGCTTGCTGGGCATTGGACACACTAAGATAAAGCAACTCTACCCGTCTTCACACAGCCCCAACTTTCCTTCTGCTTGGTGTTGGGGGGATGGACAGAGTGAAGCAATCTGGAAGGCTTCTTGGAGGAGGAGATCTCTAAAGAATCTTCACAGACTGAGAGTGAAGCAGATAAGGGAGGGAAGCATTCGGAATGGGTTTGTGACGGCACAGCCCTTCCATTCGGAGTGGGAGACCCACGTCAGCGCCCAGTCCTGGAACATCCCCTCCCTGAGCGTGGCCAGATGCAGCTCCACCCACCTCGGACCGGGACGGCCGTGGTCACTGCGCATGTTCGTGTCGGCCGACACTGTTGAACCACCAGCTCCCCAGACTCATACTCATCAAAGCGGAGGGCACCAAGCCTCGCGTGGGCGCTTTGCAAGTGGCGTTGAGGGTGTTGCCGAGGAAACGCCAGAGTTAGTGATCACAGCTGCCTGGACAGAGTCACAAACACCCCTCTAAGTGTCTGCACCGTGTGCTCCCACAGAACCCTTGCCGGAGGAGGCAGGAGCGGGGGAGAGGGCAAGTTGGAGAGAGGGCACGGAAGCAGCCCTCCGCCGCGCTGGGTGAGCCGCAGGCTGCAGCGTGGTCGAGCCAGCGAGGGGTGTTGGCGCATGCTGTGCTCCTCACTGAGCATGCTCGAATGCGCTGCGAGACACTGGCGTTCACTCCAGGGGCGGCACCCCCTGCCCCCGAGGGCCGAGCACGGCTCCGTCCTGGGGCACATTTACCAAGGGCCCATATCCGACAGGGGATACTGCTGGCGTGGTCAGGTTGGGCAGTGGCCACAGCAAGAAAGTCCTGAGAGTGTGGCCTCCTTCTTCTGCCTGGTTGGGAACCACTCCACAGACCCCGGACACAGGCAGGGCTTCTAGGCTGTTCTGGGCCCAGCCTCGGGGCGGGGCTGCGACTCCTGATTCTAGGTCTCCTGTGAGCATTTTAGGTGCCCACAGGCATCTCTCTGTGCACGTTGGACATCCGTGTCCTGGGCTATCCCCCAGCAGTCTGGCTGGCCAGAAGTGGGGAGAAACAAGGGGATAATTCAGATCAGTGCTTAAATCTAATTAACTAGAACAGAGAAAAATGCAACGTTTGATGCAAAATAGGGGTGTGGTGACGCCTCAGTCCCCGTCTGCCTGTCCATCTTTGTGTGCGCGTCCTCCGTCTGACCGGCGGGGCCGTGGCCTCCTGTGGCCTCACCAGTGACTGTGTCATTTGCTTCCTCTCAGGACGTGTGCAAGGACTGCCCTCCGGGCCCCCCGGGCCTCCCTGGTCTGCCAGGTTTCAAAGGGGACAAAGGTCTCCCGGGGAAGTCAGGGAGAGACGGCACGGATGGGAAAAAGGTAGGAGAACAGGGAGACAGTGTTTTCATTGTGATGTGGCGATCACGTTTGAGATGCCAACTCTGCCTCCCGGGCACCAATGGGGCGTGTGAGTTCAGGAGGCAGGGTCGATGGGGCCATCTGAGTGACTGGCTACCACACAAGTGACCCCGAGAGTGTGGGTTACACCTGTGAGTGCATCACCAGCACCCCTGCTCAGACCCACTGGGGTGGGGGTAGGGGTGGGGACAGGAAACCCCAGTGGAGTCTGCGGATAGGTGTGTCAGGTGGTGGCCTGCTCGTGGCTCTGAGCGTGGGCTCGACTCTCATTCTGTTCTTTCCTTTTTCCTGCCACAGGGGGATGCTGGGCCCAGAGGCCCCCCGGGGCCCCCAGGAGTGGCTGGTGCGCAGGTCAGTGACCCCTCGTGAGCGTCCTGCATCCTTTCTGCTCACCTCTCTGGGTAATCTGAGCGTGAGGAAGAGGGACGTCCGGCGTGAAGGCATAATTTACAGTCAGAAACCCCACCTTCCAGTTCTATCCACGGCCCGGACTCTCCCGCTGACCTTGGGCAGCAGGGTCAAGTCCCTTGTCGAGTCTCAGGTTGTTTGTTTGCAAACCCCGCGTGGCTGAGGGTGCGTGATGACCTCCAGGACAGGGAGGTGTAGTGCTTCCTGGTTAGGACACGCGCCTTCTGTGCTGTGTAACTTTAGGCCGAATCCTTGACCTCTCTGGGCTTCAACTTCACCCCTCACGAATGATAAACACAACTTCCGAGACACGTCGGAGGTGAACGGAGCAATGCCGAGAGCGAACGTGGCTGGGCCGTGCCTCGCGAGTGCAAGTGGCCTCAAGGCGTGGGAGTGGCCGGGCACCCCCTAAACCAGGCGGGATGCTCGCGGTTTCACCAGGCCGGTGGGGGAAGCTCCGGCCGCCAGAATGAGTGTGTGGGCCGCGGCTGCGGTGCTCCTGCTGGGACAGTACTTAGCTCTAAGAAGGGACCCGTGGGTGCTGGCACCGGGCAGAAAGAAATAGGGCTGGCCTCCCACCTCGCTCCCCTCTCCCAACACTGGTGCCCCCGGCTCTCCCTGGTCCCCCTGTGGCCTCTGTCACCCACCCCAGCGGGAGAAAAGTGCCATTGTGGCTCTTCCTGTGGCCCGTCTGGGACACAGTGTGGCTCGTCTGATGGGAGAGCCCACATAAAGTTGTCAGTAGGCTCAGGGGCTCAGGTCAGACCTTCGGGGCTGGAATCCCATCTCTGACCTGGGACAGGATTCACCTTTCTGCCCTTCCGTGTCCTCGAGGAAAACCAGGGAGTGTAAGAGCAGCACCCTCATGGGCTGATGGCCACGACCACCGCTCCTGAGAGGCCCCTCCAGCCCGGGGACGCTGCAAGCCCTCCGGCAGCCTCTGCTCTGTGGCTCTTTCAGTCCTGGGGTCACAGCCAGTGAGGGGCTGGGGTCGGGGCAAGGACCTGGGCAGGAATGGAAGGGAAACCTGACACCTCAGATAAATAAGGCTGGAGTGCAATATTTAAAAAAAAACTTTAATGTGGTACAAAAGATGAAAATTTGAAATGAAGGTGGGACCCAACCTTACACTCGAATGTTTCACCTCTGGCCTCCCCTAATCCCAGCCCTGTGAGAGCCCTTGATTTACATTTTGATGTTTTGATCACCTTGCATTCTTTTGCATTAGTTCCACCATTTCAAACGACTCTATGTTGGGTTCTGAGTTTCCGGTGCCCCTTACGTTGCACACTCTGGAGGCTGGGCTGGGCTATTATTTTTACTATGAAAAGGAAAGCAAGCAAGCAAACAAAACTACGGGAGCTGTGGGTCTCCCCGTTCCTGGCCAGCAGGTGAAGGCACCTGGAGTCTGTTTTCCATGGGCCTGGGGAAGCCTGACAGGGTCTCCACATACCCAGGGCTCCTGCTGCAGGGACGGGAGATGCTGGGTCCCAGTGGAGATGGAGCCAGAGGTTTGGCCTGGGCAGTGTTAAGCTGAGAGACACCAGCAAGGGGAGCATCATCCTCCCTCTTCCTGTGTCTGTCCCTCTCTTTCTGGAATTGTCACGAGGGGCGAAGCTTCTTGCCTGGAGAGTCTGCACCCAGTAATTCCAGCTGGCCCCTATGTGACCTTCGCTGTCAGTTTGCTGCCTGCTGGGTTTAACCTCTGCTGAGGGATGGCCTCTATTTGGAGAAATGAACGCCGATCAGTTAAACAGCTAAGGAGCCCCTCGCTAGGCAGGGGTTGTTTTCTCACCAGCCCGACCTTGCCTGAAGTGCTGGTGTCTGGGGAAACTGGCTTTGCCTTTGTTCTTGCCGAATGTGCTTCAAGAGAGGGTTAGTTCCTTCGCCTATGCAGAGAAAGCCAAAGAAAGCTTCCATCCAGGAAAAGAACAGAAATTAGTGCTGCGTCTGAAAGACAGAGCTGTCACTTCTCCACTGGAGAGTTCGCGGTGACCTTGAGATGTTCTCAGGGCTTCGGGCCCACCCTCCGCCATGAGCCCCAGACAGTTACAGACAAGGGCCAGGTTACATGTGTCATCTTATCGTCGCCTGCAGTGTTCAGCATCGTCCGAGGAGGTAGAGATATGGTTCCACTGTCCAAGAGGAAACTAAGGCTTATCAAGATTAAAATGCCAGTATTACAAAACTGGGAGGGGGTCTAGCCAGTTGAATCCCTTCGGGTCCAACCCACACTGATTAGTAGCCTGTTACCCTAGTCGCCAGCACCGACATCAGCACCAGGGACAGCTCCCAGCAGGGCTCCAAGCTACACTGCCTCTGGGGCGTCCAGGAATCTCCTCTTACTCCCTGTTGGGAAAACGAGTCACAGAGAAGTTACAAGTCCCATCCAGGACCCACGGGCCTGCTTGCTTCTCGACTTCACACCCAAGCCAGTCTCTACCCCCTTCGTTCATCCCACTCCACTCTCCAGGAAACACAGGGGGGGAGGGGGGGCGGGGATGGTTTCGTTCCCCCTGTGCTGAACTTCAGGTATCAAACCAGATTTCCGCTAGACCCGAGGACGTACAGAAGAATCTGTAAACTAAAAACGCTGCCGGTGGTGAAGCGTGCGTGATCCTTGTTTGTGCTCTCAGCCGGAGGCCCTGGGTGTGTGCGGGTCACGGGCAACGCCAGGAGGGTTGAGTCCGCTTGTTTCCTTGCTGCTGGGATGCGGCACCTGGCACGTCGGCTGCCCAAGGTCTGCCCTGCAGATTTGCAGAGCCGTTCTCTCTGGAGGCTGGGCCCCGAGAGGTTAGGGCCACGGTCAGCTAAAGCTTTCAAGCTCCCTAACGCACCGACTTCACGGGATGAGGTCTGGAGATGGTGGCTGCTGTTACAGTTACGATTCACAGAGAGGAGGAAGAAGGAGCAAGATGGCCATCAGAGCGGTGACCCGGGGAACATGTATCTCCACAGGGCCAGACTTCAAACCCTCTCCCGGGTGGCGCTGGTTATTATATCCTCCAATGAGAACATTTGGTTTCCTTCCCATCCACGTGTCCACCACCCAGGGGCTCAGAGCTATCGGGACTGGAGGCACTATGTGGGCCAAAGTCCTCCCTCCTGTGGATGCTCAGGACGATCCTGGGAGGCAGATAGCCCAGCCTCTGCCGCTAGAGGAAGTGCCAGGAGAGGCCCTGGAACCCTTCATGCCCAGAAGGTGACCCGTGGGATGCATGCTCTCTCCATGAGCAGAAGTCTCTTTCCACCCATCGCTCTCTCAATCCGGAAAGATTCTCACCAAGCGGACCCTTCACCAGGTCCCTTCCAAGTCAGGACATGTGGAGATGGGTCATCTATGGTCCATGACTTCCAGGCCCGATGCTGTGTCGGACAAGAAAGATCTATGAGCTGGTGACTCATAGAAAAGCCAGGCTGGGGCTGGAGGCCACCGAGAACGGTGGGCATAGCCTGGGCTCTGGAGGTCAGCTGGTCCCTCGACCTGGCTCTGCCTTCTATGAGCTGAGTGAAATTTCTTACTAGTTATGAGGTTTGGGCAGTTTATCTGAGTTCTCTGAACCTCAGGCTCCTCATCTGGCCTGTCTCACAAAGAGGCTTGGACAGGAGGCATCGACAGAGCACCAGGAATGCGTTGAATACGTGGGACTCTGAGTGGTCCCCATGACTGTTGCTGTTTGAGTCAATAGCAACTTTAACAAGTGGTTTCTGAGTTCTTACCTGTACACAGGGGTAATCACGCTACCTCATGGAGTGGTCTCACTGGCTAGATTAGATAGCACAGACACATGAAATACTTTTTTTTTTTTTTTGCATTAGCTCAGCTCAGGATATTAAAGAAGTACAAGAAATGGTATCTGATTTGGAGAGCCCCGGCAGAGTGCCCGGCAGAGTCGGGGGGTCTGTGAATGCCAGCCCTCCCCTCTGGAAGGAAGTGAGTCAGGCTTGGGGGTGGCTGTGTTGGCTTCGAGCCCCACCTGCCGTGGAGAAGGAGACAATGATGACCACGGAGGTCCTGGAGCGGCTGACATTGTCATTGTTCGATGAGGATTGAATCCCCTCCAAGCCCAGACTGAGGGCTGGAATTTGGAGGGAACCACTCCCTTCAGGCAGCTGTTTTCCGTGTCAGAGAGCAGGGTGCTGGTCAACACCACTTCTTTTTGGAGATGATCATGCAGACCATGTGCGGGCTCCGGAGATTTCAAAGAAGTAGACGTATCTGCATGCGGAAATGTCGAACACATGCTCCTCTGCACCTATTTTTTCTGCTCTGCACAATGGCACTTGGCACTTTGCAGGAGTTAGCTCCCCTGAGTCTCCCAACATCCCCAGGAGGCAGCAGCCAGGTCACCAGGGTGCTGTGGGCGTGGTGCAGCCTTCGGGCTGGAAGAGGGCGGGGCGTGATGCTTCAAGGAGAGGATCGTGGGGTTCTGGACCTCTGGACCGGGAAGGAGCCTCCTACATTGACCTCCCCCATCCCCCACTTCCTGGAGGAACAGACAGATTGCCCAGAGGAGCCATGATCTGCTCAAGAAGGCAGAGATGAGAGACGACAGGCTGGAACCGGAGCCAAGGTTGACTCTGCCAGAGGCCTGATTCGCTGCATAATGTGTTCTCCACGAGCAGCCGAACTGTTTCTGTTGAATCACTTCCTACTGAAACACATTTGTCAACGCAGCAGCTGCGGAGCCCACGCGGGTGACGGTTCCGAGAGATGGGGACCTCTGAGGGCCACTTTCGGGGCGGGTCTGTGAAACCTGCTTTTGGTAGGTTGCCGGTGACGAGTGTTTTCGTAACTGCAGTGATGACGGTGATGATGGCGGTGAGAAGGGCAGAAGCTGATGTGTACTGAGAGCTAACAACGAACTCGCCGCTGGCCCACGCTCACTGCTTGAGGACAAAGATATCATGACCCTCATTTTAGGAGCAAGGGAACAGAGTGGAAGGACCTTGCCCAGAGACACATAATCAGTAAATGACAGAGGCATGATGTAAAATGATGTAAAATCATAATTATAACCAATGTGTATTGAGCTTGGATAGCATCCTGAGCTCAGTGCTGTGTTTTCTATGTCGTGTCTGGTTTTATTTTCCTAACAAATCATTTTCCTAATGATTTCATAGGCCATCATTCTTTTCTCCATTCTGTAGGTAAAAATGACAACGTAGAGTTTCAATGACGAGCTCGAGGTCCCGCGGGTGGTCCGGGAGGGAGCCAGGAGCAGTGGATAGAGACGTCTTCCCCCCAGGACCCTGCCCAGAGCTGCCCCATCCTCCACGTCTCAGCACCTCACTCCTCCCCCCGCGCCCCTCGGCAGAGCCCACAGGCACTGTGCTGCCTGCTCCTTCCTGACATCTCACTTGCCTCTTGCCTGCCCCTTCGCTCTTCATCCTGCCCCCTGCAGCCCACGCGACACTGCAGCCAGAGGGGCCCCCGATAGGCAGGGCGGCCGTACCTCCTCCGGATGGTTCCCAGAGCCTACGCCTCAATCCACATCCAAGGGTTACCCACAAGGCTCTCAATGGAGGGGTCTCTGCCTGTCTCCCAGCCCCATGTCCACGGCCCCCACCAGCCCCCCACAGCCCAGGGAAACCCGTTCATCAGCTGCTGCTCAACCAGACCTCAGTTCTGCCTGCTGACGCCGCACCGGGTCTACAGCCCGCCCCTGATGAGCGGCTGGTGAAGGAGGGAGGGAGGGAATGAGCGAAGGAATCGGTGATTGCAAACTTGTTTCTTTTGCAGTGTAGCTCTGGCAACATTTCCACCCACTTGCTTTCTTTGTTCCCCCAAGGGAAGTAAAGGAGCCCCGGGAGCGGACGGCGAGGTCGGGCAGAAAGGCGACCAGGTAAACGCTCGAGCGTGGACCAGCCCCTGAACACGCATTGCTGTTTCTCTAGACACACTTCTACCCTTTCTTTTCTTTGGTTAATCCTCACCCGAGGCTATTTTTCCACTGGTTTGTAGAGAGGGAGGGAGAGCGAGAGAGAAACATCAATGTGAGAGAGACACATCGATTGGCTGCCTCCCTCATGGCCCAGACCGGGGCTGGGATTGAACCTGCAACCCAGGACGTGCCCTTGACTGGAATAAACTCGTGACCCTAAGCCCGAGAGCAGACGCTCTGAGCGCTGAGCCACACCGCCAGGGCTCTGCCGTCTCTGACATCACTCCTCGTCTCGTGTGGGCCGCAGGCTTTTCCTGGTCCCTTCCGGATGCCTCTGGCTCGTCATCGCCTTTCCCCACATATCCGAGGAGCCTGCTTTTGTCTTCCTTTGGACTCTTGCCTTTAGTGCTCCCTGCTCACTGAAACGGTGGTCACTGGTTACAAAGTGCCCCTTTCTTCCCTCGACCCTCCGTCGTGTGTCCAGTGCCCACTGTGTGGCCATGGTGCTGGCTGACATGCCTCACGGACCCCCTCCGTGCTCTGTGTGTCGGCCAACTGCTTCTCCACGGGCACCGCGAGGGGCGCCGTGAGGACATACTGCTCTGTCTGTGGATCTGAACACCGCGTCCCCATCCCTCCCATCCAGAGCCACCAGCTGATTCTGCCGTCCCAGCCCCTCAGCCTCTCCCAGCCTCGCTGCCCTTCAAACCACTGCCGTGTCCTGCTAGCTGCTGACCCCTTCCCGATGTTTCCTTCCTCTGCACCCGCCCTCCTTCGCTTCTCACTGGTCTGTGCATCTGTCAGTCATGCCCCTGGGAACCAGCCTGTGCCAGGCATTGCCCCGGCTCAGAGATACAGGATGAGTGATGGGCAGGCCCCTGTCCCCCAGGATGGTCAGTTCCCAGAGGGACCGAGGCATAGGGACCAGAGGCTGAGAGACAGGGTGTGTGCAAGGTCTGAATGGGGGCTCGGCCCAGAGCCCCGCGTGCTCGGAACCAGCTCGTGATTGGGTGACTCCTGCGAGGGGGAGCTGTCAAAGGCGAAGAATCCGCGTGAACATCCCAGCTTGTGTTCCCAGCGGCAGGAGACGGAGGTGGGAGGCGGGGAAGTCATTTACTTCATGGTGGTTTGATTTTATGACACGGCTGTATGGAATTCAATGTTACTTCAATGCGCTTTATGCTATAGCTCGTTTAGCTTTTTCTGTAATACACATGGACTCCTCTCTCCATGGAGACATCTCTTCCTTAGCATGACCGTATTCTTGTCACCGCGTGGAAACCGTGATTCAGCCAACCTAGCAGGTTCCATCCCAGGCTCATGTGCGTCTGTGCGCATTTACTTGTCTTCAAGCTTTTGTTATGGGACGCCCCATCCGTCCATAAGATAAGAGCATGTGATGATTCAGGACACCTTGTCCAGTCACCCGGCCACCCTCACTCGCTTGCCCACGTGTCCTTCTCGTCTGGTGGCTGTGCCGCTGTCAGGGTGGGTCCGCTCCACCTCCTGGGGCCCCTGAGGCACATCACACAAATGGCTCTTGGTCCCCCGTGTCTTCGTCCACAGCCGTGATGGGGTGAGCAGGTGGTCACCGCACCAAGTGAAAGCGTCTTAGGAGTCGTTTTAAAGACTTGCCTGTCTGTTGTCCTAGGGTCATCCCGGAGTTCCCGGTTTCATGGGGCCTGCAGGGAACCCTGGACCACCAGTAAGTAGCGATCTCCAGTCCCCCCGTCTACTGACCTTGTCGTTTGAACACACTCTGGCTCTCGCTAGAGCTGTGATCACACCGACAGGCCTCTTACTGTGAGGAGTGGCTGGCATGTCAAGGGGCCCGGGGGTGACCGGAAGAGCCGGTCCCGGGGTGGCCTGCGGGGGAGTGCAGAGGGACCTGGGCGGCCCTGACGGCCCGTGCCTCGGGAATGCTGGTGGCATGGAGGGACGGCTTGGTTTACTTATTTATTCGTATCCAGCCTGGGAAGTGGGGAGCCTGGGACAGTTGCAGGGTTAGCATCGTGAGGGGACGCCGAAGCCGCCGGCTGGCTTCCTTAGGAACCTCTCCCACGGTGAGCGGCTCCGGGAACCACAGTGCCGGCTTCCCTGGGTTTCTAGCATCAATAACCACAATTAGACTGCAAGTTGTTGCCGTGCACCATTACTCTTCTCATCTGTCATGATTATGCCAAGGCGGGTGTTGTCATGATCACAGTAACAACTACCATTCACGCCGTCCCGTGTGCCCCGCTGGGCTCCCCACGTTCTCGGCAGCTGCGGCTCTGCACTTGGCTGGGCCCTTCTTGGCAAGGCTGGCTCCCTCGGGCCCGGGCTGCCCCTGCGTTACTCTCATCGCTCCTCTGCTCAAAGTCCGCCATGTTTGTTATGGACCGTAGCCATGGTAACAGGCGGGGGGATTTGTATCCTCACCAAGCCCAGGACCAGCCCCATGGGGTTCCCCGTGCGTTCTCCAGGAGCCTGGTCTCCCGGACCGTCCAGAAAGAGGGCCACGAAGGGACCCACTTCGAATAGGGACCATCCTGTCCTAATCCATCATGAGAAAGGGGCTCAGTCAGGATTATGAAGTTACCACGTGTGAAATGAACACATCTTGTTCTCAGCAACTTCTAATCGACCTTACTTCTTTTTTTTTTTTTATCCTCACCCGAGGATATTTTTCCATTTTTTGTACAGATAGAGTGGGAGGGAGAGAGAGGAAGGGAGAGAGAGAGAGAAACATCGACGTGAAGGGACACATCGAGTGGCTGCCACCCGCACGGGTGGCAAACTGCAACCGAGGTACGCGCCCTTAGCGGGAACCGAACCCGGGTCTTTCTGGACCGCAGGCCAACGCTCTAACCGCTGAGCCAAACCGGCCAGGACTTTTTCTTTATTTTTAGAGAGAGAGGAAGGGAGAAGGAGAGAGAGAGAAACATCGATGAGAGAGAACATCTATTGGCCGCCTCCTGCATCCCCTACTGGGATCGGGTCCACAACCTGGGCATGTACCCTGAGCAGGAATCGAACCAGCGACCTCTTGGTGCAGGGTTGGCGCTCAGCCCCTGAGCCACACCGGCCGAGCCTCAGCGGGAACATTTAATGAGCCCAGAGCAGGTACCTGGCGCTGGCAAGCGCTTCATGTGTCCTAACTTCATTCTCTCGGTGACTCAAGGGAGACACACGGTGACGTTCTCTCCGTTTTACGAAGGAGCTGATGTACAGAGGGTGGAACAAGTTGCCGTAGACTACACAGCTCATCACTGGGGGACCAGGACACGGACCCCGGGGGCTCTGGCTCTAGAGGGGGCTCTCCTAGCGACAGCCTCTGTTCTGTGCTGAGCACGTGTAAGCGTCACCTCTTTACTCCTAAGCCCCGAGGCTGCGGCGGCCGCACTTCCTGCGCTCCCCCCGATGAGCTGAGACCTGCCACTCAGCCAGAGCCAGCGAGAAGCCGCGGATTAACCAGTCTACAGATCTCTGCTTGCTCGCCCAGCCGGCCCAGCTCCTAAACCGCTCATTCATTCCAGAAATATTTTCTATCCGCTGTCTCCGAGAGGTGGCTTTAGTTTCCAACCAATAAATCAGTAAACACCAGGATGTCAGACGGGGGCAAAGGCTGTGAAGAAAAACAGAAAATGGGGTTGGGGGGAGGCAGCGATTTGCTGTTTGAATCTGGTAAATAGACAGTGTCTCACGGAGAAGCCACTGCCCGAGACCAGGTGTGACCTCTGAGCCCTGGGGACCAGATCCCAGCAGGAGGCACAGCCGTGCAAGGGCCCTGAGGCAGAAAGAAGCCTGTCGGCTCGCTCGGCACCACCTTCCCACCAGTTACCCGTCTTCGCATCTCTCCGTCCCCGAGTTGACGGAAACAGTGCCTCTTGTCCCCCTGTTCGTTTCTTGCCTTCCGTCTCGAAATGTTCCCTCATAGGAGCTGAACGTGTCCCCTGTGAAGTGAGGTTGTTCCCATTGCCTTAGGGGTGACTGGCTGGCGTGTGCCCTGGCCCCTCCCGAAACGTGGCTGCTGCCTCCCCAGCGCCCTTGTGTTTCAGAGACTCGCCCGAGGAGCACGGGGCACAGGGCGTGAGACCTGGGCGTTGCTTCCAGCACAGAGAGGTGCTCGTGTCCCCTGTCAGGTACCCGCCACACTCACCTTCTGCTCTGTCACCCTTAGGGAGCAGATGGAGCCGCGGGAGCTGCCGGAGCACCAGGGATCCAAGGGCCAGCGGTAGGCTCCTCTGCGGACGGGGTCTGCCTTCAGTCTCGCGTGCCCTCCCCAGAAGCCCAAATGCTTGCCTGCTGCCCTGTCCTCCCTGCCTCCTGTGGCTCAGGCACCCCGAGAGTCTAGTCGCTGCTAGTCAGCCACAGAGCAATCACTGTCTAGCAGAGCCCGGTTACCTCACCTCTAAGATGAAGGCTTGGGCGAGATGCCCTGGAAACCTGGGGTACCAGAATTCAGGTCACCACCAAACAGGCCCAGGTCACCCCTCTCCCAGTCCCCTCAGTGTGGGCTCCACCTGCACAGGCCCGGGGTGGAGAGTTGGAGCTGGCCCACCCCAGCCTGTGGTCCTGCACCAGGAAGCGTGCGGGGGGGAGGTTGTTGAAAAGCGGAGTGTGGTTAAGAAAGGGGGGTCGAGAGCCAAGGTCCCGAAACCACAGCTGCTGGGGCTGGCCTTTGAACCCAAGCCATTTATCTGAAAATGCAGTTATGTTCATCGCCCGATGCTTCCGGAACCTCTTGGTTCCAATGCCATAAGCAAAGGGTGAACCTCGGTAGCAGCTTTGGGACAGTGGCCGCTACAAATGTACTTACTCACTTCAAGGACTACGTGGCGGATGAATGTCCCTTCTCTCATCTGACTGGCCTGTACCTTAGGAACCTCCTGGACGGTTATCGCCGTATTATAAATAAGGAGGGGGTCAGCGAGGTGAACTGGCCCGTTCAGGGTCACAGAGTGAGGAAAGGTCAGTGTCGGGTGCAAACCCCCGTCTCTGGGGACCGCAGGGTCATCTTCCAAGTCTAGGTAACAGGGCCAGAAGGAGGCCAGCTCTCCACACCAACCTGCCTAGTTAGGCTCTGCCCGGGGGGAGGGGACGCCAGGAGATGCAAGAGGTGGGTGCAGCCACACCCACGGTTTCTCTAGGGGCCCCTGCAGCCCGGAGGCCGCTCTGTGTGACGTCACCTACGTGCAGACAAGCCGGTCTGAGAGGGGTAATGACGCTTTTATGTCCTGTGTCTTTCAGGGGAAAGACGGCCCCCCGGGCCCCGAAGGCCCACCTGGGTTACCCGGAGCCCCGGTGAGTAGCACTGCAGAAACATCTGGTTTCGCTCCTGCACAGATAAGCTCACGAGGACGTATTTCACCCCTGTCAAAGCAAGACGTGGCCACAGGGAGTTCCGTGCTATAAAATATGAGGAGAAAGAGACTCACTCTAAGTTAAATGTTCAGTGGAGCCTGTCAGTATTATTCTGTTAGTTGTTTACTTATTTAATAGCCTTTTCCTCTCTACACATACATGTGTGTGCATATAGCTGTGTATATGTAGATGAGTGCCGTGTATATATACCCATGTAGTTAAGACAGTCACAACATGCACATATATGCAATTATCTCAATTATGTATATATGCATATATAACTGAGATACTTGATTATTGTGATAATATAAACATTTTCTATTTTCCATGCTGATATTAAATGTTCATAAATTTTACCTACACTCTAATAAATGTCCCATAATATATACTGCTCATTCCTCTGTTGCCTCACAAATCTTACAATTATTTAAAAAATCTGCAATAGACTAGTTTGCATGGATAGTGGTTTTCTGATTTCTATAGGATGGGCCCTAAAAGTGGAGTGTCCTGGTCAGAGTTCAGTCATGTCTAAGGTGCTTGACACACACGAATTACTTTCCACCAGTGTCGTCCGGACTGTTTCATTCAACGTCCTTCTCAAGGGTGGCGTTCCCCCGCATGTCAGCGCAAGGCTCGTCTTGGGGGCCAGGAGCTGCCTTCTCCCCTGATAGGGAGCCCGTGTGTGTGGCTCCAGTCTGGCCTGTGCCTGCTTTGGGGGCCTCCACTGGCCACAGCTCCCCGCCCTGCCCTCCACGGTGCATTCTTTTGTTCCAGCTGTACTGGCTGCCTTGTGGTTCTTGGACACTCTGCATCCTCTCCTCTCCTGGCCACAGGGCCTTTGCACATGCATTTCTGCACAGAAAGCCCTCTTGCCCCCCTGGTGAACGGCTGATGCCTTTGATCTCTCCTGGCGCTGTCGTCTTCCACAGTGTGGGCACCTGCCCTCCTCACCGCCAGGGTCGATCCAGGGCCCAGATAGGAGGCCTCATCCTCCCACATTTGACTTCCCGAACATGTCCTGGAAGGCCTTCTTTAGATCAATAGCAATAATAGAGAAACAATTGCAATTTCTTTTGTATTATGTGCCGGTCACTGCGGATCAGGCATCCAAGCCAGAATCTTGGTGTTGGGGGAAAACCAGGAAATCAAACCACTTCTGCTGGTTGAAATGCTCATTGTAGCTGCCTGTGATGGATCTGTGTGTCCTCCCTCCTGCGTAGATCTTCAGACGGAAAACCAATTTGAGTTTCTCTTGCAGGGAGCAGAAGGCAAAGAGGGCAGAGATGGAAAACCCGGCGCCCCCGGAGAGCCGGTAAGGACTGTGCATTCTTATTTCACAGGCCGAGGTACTGCGGTCTCGGGTACAACTGCTGTGTGCCCGGGGGCGCTCTGAACTGGGCACAGTGAGAGGCACTTGCTGTGCGTTGCTTCTGCCCCTTCTGACAGCCCTCGGGAAGCACAGCCGGCCCCATTTCACATCTGAGGAAACAGTCCCAGGGACATGAGTGAGGGCCCCAGAGTCACATGATGAGCAGGTGGCAGAACCAGAACCTGGGCCCTGGCTCCTGTCCATGCTCTGCATTTTTTTCACCTGCCCAGGCAGCTTCCATCCTAGTGATGGGGGAGGGGAAACTGAGGCAAGTGAGCACTGGCTGGAGTGGAAATCTGACGTGGGAAAAGCCTGCTGTGCCACCAGAGACCTAGGTGCACCTGCTGGGCCCGGGGAAGCGAGTTTGCTCTTCTTCAGAGTCCCGTGTGACTCCTCTGCCTTTACCAACACTGTCCAGGGACACCCTGTGGCCCCAGGAGCTGTCGGTTGGGCGAGTGCAGGGTCTTGCAGACCTGAATCTGTGACCTCACAGCTGTCCTTCCTCAGGCGGGCTCCCCGATGACCGCGGTCCCACAGCCTCTGGTCTTTCCTGTCCCGGCCTCAGTGTTTAGGGGAGGACGGAAGGCGTCCCAGAGACCCAGGCTCGCCCAGCGCCCAGCAGCGAGAGACTGCTTAGCGACAGGGCCCCCCGGTGGATCCCACGCGGCTGAGAGGAAGGAGTTCTCCCTGCCCTGTACACACAGCCCCTCTTCCCAGACACATTAATGCACACAGCCGGCCCTATTTTGTATAAAAATGGGTCTATGTATATTCTTTTAGTGTTTACATAAAGGGACCCTCGGAGACTCCAAAGACCCAAATAGAAGTAGTGACTGTTCCCAGGGGGGCGACACGGAGCAGAAGGAGCAGAGGATGGGAAGACGCATTTGCCCTCCAGAGTGTGTGACGAATTGTTCTCATTTCGATGTCGGGAGTGATGGGCATGCATTACTATCGATCACATGACGTGACAACGAAATTGGACTGTTTTACACCAAACTCACAACCGCAGCAGCACGAGGACATAGCGCTGGGGACCTGGGATGAGCCCTTGGCGACTCGGACCTCTAGTTTCTCCGTAAGCAGAGAGAGGGCAGTGGCGACCTGCCGGAGCTGCGGGAGCCAGGCGAGGTGGGGGTGCTGATGCACTGGGCTGGCCTCTCCGCTCACTGTTTCAGGGAGGACTTTCCCGCTGCCCTAGTTTTAACTCCTGCTGAGGTCAGGCCTGCGGGCCCTGGGGAAGCACTAAGCGGAGGCACACGAAAGTGCGGCGAGGTTTCTCTCCCATTTAGTGTGTATGGTCAGAAACCGTCAGCCTCGTTCTGCTTCCGGGCGACTTGCTGGGAGCGCTTTCCCCGAGTCTTCCCCGGCCTGCTGGCTGCAGACAGACACCCGCGGGGACGGGGAGGAGGAGTTGACAGCTGAGCAGGGCCAAACGCTCTGGAGAAGCTGCTGCAGGTGGACGCCCGGGGGCCAAGGCAGTTAGCCAGGGTGACAGGGTGGGGGGCGGGAGGACGCCTCACAGGCTGAGTGTGTGCTCACCTGCGGCCCCGGGCACTGCGTGCTTCCTCATGTCTGCTGCGTAATTCCCCGAAAACCCTCTGGGGTGTGGGAGTCATTGCCCCGGATGAGGACACTAAGGCACAGAGAGGTTAAGCAGGCTGGCCAAGGCCACACAGCGGGGAATGACCTGTTGTGCAGGTGTGTCTTCTGAGAGGCTGTCACTGACAGTGCAGTGACAGGCTGCTGGTCTTCATTGTCTGTTGATGGAGGCCCTTTCCGGACAGGCCTATGCCAGGCACTGGGCACAGACCGATGTCGGGCCTGGCCTGTCCTAGGAAGTCAGCGTGAGAACACAGGGCTGGCTCTCCTGGCGGAGGGGCCTCAGTGACTCCTCCCCAGGGCATGCCAGGCTTCACTCTGTTCAGTCGGTTCATTCTGGAGCTTCGGCGCGTGGCCATCCTGACGTCTGTCACTCTGAGCTGATTGGCAGGAAGTTGGCACAGGAACGAGTGGCCTCAGAGATGCCCGAGGAGTAGACTGGAGACAGGGCTTGGAGGCCCGCGGGGTGATGAGAGGTGCTCCCCGGAGCACAGAGGGCCTGCGGAAAGGGGACAAGGGAAAGCAGCAAGGCCACTGACACCAGGCGGTGAGCGAGTCCTGCCAGGGGGCACCAGGCCCGGCCTTGCTGGGGTCCGCAGAGAATGTGGGGAACCCGCTGCAGCCTGCTCCTGCCCCGGCCAGGGCCTAGGAGGCTGCACTGGGCATCGGGCAGCTGCAGCCTGTGCTCACTGAGGATTCCCCCGGGGCCATGGCTCCGAGCATTTGGGCCTTCGCCCCTCAAAGCCAAGTATCCCCAAAGGCCATCTGTGCCCGGCCTCCAGCCTGGGCGGGGACTGTTTGTTCTACAAAGGACAGGGGCCCTCCTGTGGGAGCCAAGGAGATGGACTGGGGAACAGCAGCATTTGGTAAAGGTGGTAGGTGGTCACTCTTTAGTTTAACTTATTACTTCAAGTTTCTATACTTTAGGAACATGGATGGATGGATAGAGAATAGATAGATGGAGATGGATGGATGAAGGGATAAACGGGTGGATGATGGATGGAAGGATTGATGATGGATCAATGATGGATGGGTGGATGATGGATGGATGGATAGATGGATGATGAATGGATAGATGATGGATGGATAGATGGATGGATGGATGATGGATGGATGGATGATGGATGGATGGATGGATGGATGGATGATGGATGGATGGATGATTAGATGGATGGATAAATGGCAAGATGCATACACAGATAGGTAGATAGATAGGCAGCCTTTTGAGTTGCCTGCTGCATACTTTTTATTAGGGGTCATTTAAATAATAACTATAATGCAGAATGAGGTACAGAGAGAGACTCTGAAGCCCAAATGCCTGGGTTAGAACCCCAGCTGTGTGACCTTGAGCAGATCGCTCACCCTCTCTGTGCCTCAGTGTTTTGCCGGAGGGGTGACAGTAGTGCCTCCCTCACCGATCTCCAGGGAGGAGTCGTGCCATCGTCCTGGGACGCACTCAGGTGCACCTGGCATGTGGAACTGCCTCAGCAGGTGCTGGTGATCAGTGTTCTTCTCTGGTAACGAGGCCAGGGATGGGATGGGCTTCCCACCTGACAGGGAGGCAGGATGGTAGGCCCCTACTCCCTCAGTCACAGAGACCCGTGGGGGGGTTCTCAGCTTACAACTGAGAGACAGATCCAGGAAGGGAAAGATACCCCAAGATCTCGCAGCTGGACTTGGACAAGCTGGGACAGAAGAACCCAACCAGCCAACCTGGGAACAGAGTTGTGTACCCACCCTTCTCTCTACAACTTTTTCTCCAAACCCAAGGATGCTCCTTTCCCTCTCTTCTCTCCGCTGAGGGACCCGGGGAATGGACGTGCCTCATGTCCAGTTACTGTGAAGGCAGGGCCAGCCCACCACTGCAGCTGCCCGTCAGGCGTGGCCTCCCCTCCCCTGCTTCCCACACCCACCCAGCACCTCTGACCACTCCGCTTGGACTGCAGCGGCCCTCGCTCATTGGGTGGTAGTCATAGCTTGGTTCTACCCAGGGCGACACCAAGCTGCTGATAGCGAAGAATTTTCAATAGCTAAGCTGTCCCCGTGACTTCTGTAGAGTAAGAGAAGGCAGGTGGGGAGAGGAAGAGTCATCACAGGCCCCGCCAGGAGGCACAGCCCCCGGGGTGAGGAGAGCAGTCTCCGGGGTCACGGTATTTCTCAAGCAGACCAGAACCCTTCTGAGAATGCAAAGGGGCTGAACCCCGTGGACCAGCACCGTCCCAGGAGAGCCAGCAGGCCCAGCCTGGGTGTGGGGTGGCGATTTGTGTGCATGCAACAGACCACAGGGCCGGGGAGGGCGGGCAGGGAGACAGGGACGGGCTTGTGGGAATATCGTGCTGGGCCGCCCGGCAGGCAGGAATGGGGTCCCTCAGAGGCTGTTCTCACCCGTCTCCCCCTCTCTCCTCTCAGGGCAAAGCAGGAGAGCCGGGTCTGCCAGGACCAGAGGGGGCCCGGGGCCCGCCCGTAAGTGCCGTGGTGTGAATGTGTGTGCGCACATGTGTGTGTTCTGTCCACGGTGGAATCAAGCCATCAGCCCCATGGTGCCGGCATGGTGGGTGGAGGTCTCGGGACCCTGGGCTCAGAGGTCCTCCTTCAGCACACTGGGCACCTACCTGACAAATCCCATCTTTCACAGCCAACCATCGCTGCACAGTTGTCAAACTCGCCACCGTGGTGACTATGGCTGTTCTATGTTCCCTTTGTTCTTATCCAATTTGTTATCACTTTCATGGGCTGCTTCTGGGTGATGGAGCCTACAGGAGTTTTAATTTTAGTTCTGAATATTTTCCATAGCTAAAGTTTTTTTTTGTTTTGTTTTTTACCAATTATAAAAGTAACCCATTCTCATCGCAAAATAATAACAATGGTTATTAGTTTTCTAATTAAGTAATAATTAGAAAAATAATAAAAATAATGTAAGAGAAGAAAACAGAATTACTTGTAATTCTACAACACAGAAAGGTAAAACTCTGTTAACATTATAGTTTATCTTTCCTGGTCTTTTTTATATGCATAAATTCTGACATTTATATATCCAAGTCTCTCTCTAGGTGTCAAGCTAGTATAAATACAAACATACACAGATATCTTTTTCTATAAAAATGAACTCAATTGATGTATTTGGGGATTGTTGAGGTTTTTTATTTTGTTAAATACTCTACTCCTTCATAATTTTAAAATTGTTTACACAATTTCTTAAATTTGTTTTTGGGGAAAAATATGATTTTTAATGAAAATTCTAAAATCCAAATTATTTGGCAAGAAGGAGGAGATCAAACTGTTAGTTCTCTTTCCTTAATGTGCTTTTCTGTAAAAAAAAATCAATAACTCACCTGGCTCCCATTCAATATGGAGGAAACAAAACACACAATCCATTTCTTTTTTTGCTAAATCTCTTTGCTTTTCACCTAATTACACCAGAGAAGAAACCTAAGAATGGAGAACACCACCTTCTGTGGGGGATGAAAAGCCCGAGTTAGTGATTTTTGCTGAGGTGGCTCCTGGCTTATTGGACGGGAGGGGCTTCCTCTCCCCGATGAGGACACATGTGCTGGGCTGTGATTGGACAAGACCGTCTGTGGGCGGGGAGCTGCAAGGAGCCGACCCGGGTGGGGCGGAGTTAGATGCCCAGCCGGGGAGAACCCCCCTCCTGCCTGCGGAGTTGGAGCAAAGCTCTGAGGGAAGACATGAGCTGGGTTCAGCTTCCACTTTTCGTGTATTCACTTTGTGACCCTGGCCAGGGGACCTCTCTGAACATCTGTCTCTTCTATGAACTGGAGTCCGACGAGTTCCCACTTCTCTCAGGTGCTTTGGACACTGAAGGAGAATGAATATGTGACACTCCCCGCCGAGTGTCTCGCACCTCGCGTGTGCCCCAGTGGGTGCTTCTGCCCACGATCACATGGGAAGGGAGCACCGCAGGGTCCCTGGCTCTGAGGTGGCTGGATTTGGGGTGCCAGGGTCTTTGAGGAAGATGCTGGAACCGGACGGCTCTGTCCTTTTCTAGGGAAAGAGCTGCCTGTTCTGAGCAGCGGAGAACACGGTTTCTGTCTCAGTCAATGCTTTGCAACAACTCTGCAGAAGTAGCTCTATCCTCCTTCTACAGATGTGGAAACCGAGTCACAGTGGAGGGAAGAAGGCACCCGAGATTTATAGCTAGAAAGTGGGAAGTGTAGTTCAGTTCCAGGCCCGAGTCCCCGGTCACCCCTGTGCCGTCACCCTTGACCGAACAGGAAACCCTTCTGCAAACGAATGGGTCCCACCGTGCTCAGCGGGGGCATCGGCACTGTTCTCGTTTGGTGGGTGGTGGCACTACAATGCCCAGGCTCACAGTGGTCCAATCTGGAATCAAACCTGAGATGCTTCGCCGTCCTGCTCCCCCTCTTCCTCCCGGGTCCCTGATGCGTCCTGCCAGCCCCCGAGGTGACAGGTTAGGTCCCATCCCATGCTCACCACACCCAGCAGGGCAGGGGCCAACCCTGGCCTCGGCGGGAGCCACGAAATGCAGGCACTCAGCTCAAGGCTTTGCAGGGACCTGAAGCCGCCAGGCCGGGCTCCCGGCCCTGCACCCCGCCGCTCCCAGGAGCCGGCAGAGGGGCTCCCAGCCGAGTGGTGTGGGATCAGGAGCCGAGGGAGAATAAGGTCAGGGACATGTGGGCCGATGCCCGGGCTCTTTGGGCTCCTGCCCCTGCAGCCCTGCACACGCTGCAGCCTGAGTGCAGGGGCAGGGCCTTGCTGCCCAGTCGGCCGGCATCGAGGGCAGGGCCAGTGCCTGGCACCCGGCAGGGCCCGCTCCCCGCCGCGGGTCGGGAGCGAGGGGAGTCCGGCCTGGCTGGACCGTCTCCCCAGGTGCCTGCCCTTCCCTCTCGCCAGCCTGCTCTTCGGGGGAATCACTCCATTCTCTCTCTCCTAGGGCTTCAAGGGACACACGGGTGATGCCGGTGCTCCGGGCCCCCGGGTAAGTGGGTGCCCCCCGGGCATGTCGTCCCGGGCTCGCCTGAGCTGGTGTTTGCAGACAGGGGGCCCCTGGGCCCTGCTGGCCAGTGCGGCGCCTTGCCCCCTGAGAAGTGGAAAGCATCATCCCTCTCCTGGCCTAGTTTTTCTAGAAATTTCTCCTGGGGCACAGACACTGACTTATAATGGACTAGATGGATCGGCCTGGAGCCAGGTGTGCTCACTGGGCTGTGCTACATGAACTTGTGACTGAGGCCAGGGGATGGGGTGATTCCCAGGCCCAGAGCTCCCCGTGGAGAGCGTCGGTTTATCCCAGAGGCCTGCGTTTTGTCCCCTTAGTGCCCTGAGCAGAAGGACCCTCAGGGCCCTCAGGGCCATGCCCTGTGTCAGGGCGAGAGCCGAGGTATGGAGGGCCCAACGGGCCAGCAGGCGAGAAGCCGGAATCCAGGCGGCTGTGCCCGGCCCTGCAGCCTCTGTTTCCTGCAGCTCAGGGAGGCACACAGGGTGCAGGACTTGCCCAGGCCTTGGGGCACCGCAGACCCAGCACGGGGCCTGGACTCTGGGGCGCTGGCTGGCGGACCTCCTCCTGGGCACCCCTCCCCCCGACGCTGAGAGCCTGGCATTCGGGGTCTTCCCCTCTAACAGCAGGTCTTGTTTCTGCTTTTCCATCTAGGGAGAGCCTGGCGCCATGGGGCCCCCCGGCCGGGAAGGGTCACCTGGGAAAGACGTAAGTGGTGGCCTGTGGGCCTGGCTGGGGCTGTGAGGGCAGGGCACGTAGACAAAGTGGAAAGGGCTTCCCCGAAGGACCAGGGGACCCCTGAAACCGTACCAGTGAGGTCGGTGCCACTGCAGAGAAGTTCAGAGGGAACTCTCAGAGGTGGCTGGTGATGTCTCGGCTGCCCGCACACAGCTGGCGTCCTCCTTGGTGCGCTGACAAGGCCCGGGATGGGCGCACCAGCCCAGTGGGTCACTGCCCGGGCCACACTGGATAAGGAGGCTCTTCTGAATCCACCGTGATCCGTCTGTCGGTACCCAGGGCCAGCCACTGGCTCCAGCCTCAGTGCACTGGAGCAGCCTTTCCGAGGCTCTCCCGGCCCCTCCTCCTCCCCCGCGTGCTGCTGCCCGGAGCCCCGCATGGCCACCGCCACCCGTGCTGCGCGACCTCTGCACTGCACCTGCTCTCACCGAGTTTGGGTCTTGCGACAGAGCAGGTCGTCTTTACCTCCAGTCATAGGGATGGAGACTGAGACCCAGAGAGGTCAAGACATTGCCTCATGGTCACACAGCGAACCAGGTGGGAGGAGGCTGCCGGTGCCCGGATTTGTCAGCTCCACATCCTCATGGGGGACCCACCCTACACGACGTCCTGCGGGGCAATCTGATGTGTGGACGCAGCCTCCTGGGAGTGGGTGCTTGGTCAGCCTGGGCACCCTTCAGGACATGCCATGAACCACAAGGGCACTGCCCCTGCCCCGCGCTCTTGATGCTCTAGGTACATCGTCGTCCTGGCCACCTGCCATCCGGAGATGACGCCGCTGCAAGGGTCTCAGAAGAGATCCAGTCTACTCCCACGTTCTCCCGTAGCAGCGAATTCATTTGACAAAGCCAGGGACCCCCAACACAGCCAAGAGCAGCTCCCTGGACCCTGGGCGGGCTCCCCGCAGCCCGGACCCACAATGCACCTTGGGCCCTAAAGGGCAGCTTGACCGTCCTGGTCTGGCCAACCCCACTCACTCGCACTTACAGAAAACAGGATGCTGGCCTCCCAGGCAGGCGAGGTCGGGGTGCCACACACCCAGCAGGCGAGGTCGGGGTGCCGCGGGCCCGGCAGGCGAGGTCGGGGTGCCGCGGGCCCGGCAGGCGAGGTCGGGGTGCCACGGGCCCGAGGCTGGCTTCAAGCGGACGATGCTTCCTTCCTTCCTCGTCATTCATCCGGTTCTTTGTTTCCAGTCGTGTGCTGGAGTCTGCGCTGTGTGGGAGCGCGGCCAAGCTCTGGCTACACCATGTCACAGGGTGCTGCACGTCCCCTGAGCGGGGAACCGGTCCTTCGTCCCTAGAGGGTGTGTCCCGGTGGCATCGCCCTTCCTGCGGGACTGCGGCGGGACAGCTCTGGGTGACTGTCCAGCATCCAGGGCAGACCTGCAGGAGGGCTTCCTGGGTCCAGGTGCAGCTGCCGGACCCCAGGGAGCAGGGGCTCGTCTGAGCCAGGCAGGAGAGAGGGGTGCTGAAATGCGGGGTTCGCGTGCTCGCTCACCCACGGAAGTGCGTCGGCCGAATTGGGAGTTCCTGGCAGTTAATGAACGATGAAGCGTTCTGGGCGCAGTCGGTCGGTCTCGTGGGCAACATGGTGAACTTTGGTCTACGTGGGACTGTGTCCATCATCTTCATGCAGTGACTTCTTTGACCTGATTGTCTCTGTTCCAGGGCGACGCTGGACCCACAGGGCCACAGGGTCCCCAAGGACTGAGGGGCCTACCGGTGAGTTCTGCATGGAGACCAATGGGCGCCATGATGCGGCAGGGTTTGTTACCATGGTGACATGTTTGGGTCATCCCTGTGGCACTGTGTTATTCCACACGTCAGCATGACTCAGCAGTTAGGAAGCAGTCACTGCCCTGAGCCTCCCAGAGCCCCCCCCACACTCCCCATCTCTTTTCTGGAACCCCCTCCCCACAATCGGAAATTAAGAAGGTGCCACCTGGCCCTGGCCCGTTTGGCTCAGTGGTTAGAGTGTTGGCCCACAGGTTTGATTCCAGTCAAGGGCATTTACCTGGGTTGCAGGTTCGATCCCTGGCCCCGGTCAGGGTCGTGTGGGAGGCAACCCGTCGATGTCTCTCTCTCACATCGAGGTTTCTCTCTGTCTCCCCCCTCCCTCCCTTCCACTCTCTCCAAAAATCAATGGAAAAATATCCTCGGGTGAGGACTAACAAAAATAAATACATAGCCCTGGCCGGTTTGGCTCAGCGGTTAGAGCGTCGGCCTGCGGTCCTGAGAGACCCGGGTTCGGTTCCCGCTAAGGGCACGTACTTCGGTTGCAGTTTGTCCCCGGCCCTGGTTGGTCGTGCGGTGGCAGCCACTCGATGTGTCCCTTTCACATCGATGTTTCTCTCTCTCTATCTCTTCCTCTCTCTCCCTCCCACTCTATCTGTACAAAAAATGGAAAAATGTCCTCGGGTGAGGATAAAAAAATAAATAAATAAATACATAAATACATAAATGGAAATAGAAGACACCTCGGGGCGGCAGAGGCCTAAGCCCTCAGCAACCCCCTGCTGCACACGCCTCTGAGGGCACAGAAGGCCGAGGGAGGGCACTGGGGAGCAGGGGAGCCCCGGACAGTGCGGGGTGGAGGATGCTGGCTGGAGCAGTGGGGCTGGGCAGGGCCTCGGGTGCCAGGGGCAGGAGGTGGGCCTGGCCCGAGGCCCCAAAGGCCGGCCTGTGGGTCTACAGCTTGTCCCCAGCAGCTCTGAGGGACGTCACACAGAATCCGTAACCAGCAATGAACAGCTGGGGTTCGCCAAACACTTCTCTTCCGGGGCTCACTGAGGCGGGCTCCTCCCGACTGAAGAGGGGGGCCTGCCCTCCTCAGTGGGGTCGCAGGGCGGCGAGCCGGACGCTGTCTGTCTGTGGACACTGGCTGTCTGTGGACACTGGCAGTGCCGGTGCTGCCCGGGCATTTGCACAACCCACTCCCTGGGTCTCCCCGAACCTGGGGCAGGTGCACTGCTGTCCCCGTCACAGATGAGAAACTGAGGCACAGAGACATCAGGTAACTTGCCTAAGACCACACAGCACTGAGGGGCAGAGCCAGGGCCTGGACTCAAGCAGTTCGGTTCAGGTCTGCAGCTTCAGTCAACACCTCTGGGCCCATGTTCGTGAGTTTCCTCCTGAGAAAGACCGCCTGGCGGGAGGGCCTTGGAGCAGGACGCTGGAACTCAGAGCCCGAGGAGGGGCGGGGGCCTCCTCTCCTGGCGGGCTAGACACCAGGGGCTCCCCCAGGACAGCGGGACCTGAGAAGTGAGCCCAGGAGGGAGCCAGGCGTCAGCCCCAGTCGGCCTGTGCAGGTGACAGGTGCCTCCCCGAGCCACCTCCTGTGCACATTGACCTGGTGACACCCTGACCGCCCCTGCACACGGAGAGGACCGAGGGAGGAGGACATGAGACGGGTACAGGGATGAGCCCCAGCGCATGTTTTTAGAGCCACACAGATGGGTGGCGGGAGGCGCAGGGGGCACACCAGGCAGCTCTCCCTGGAAGGGGGGAGTGGGGCGTCACACGGACAGGCGGGCTGCGATCCCCCGCAGGCCCTGTGCTTCCTCGGTGCCTCGGTTTCCTCCTCTGTGCCTGGGGATAAAGACGGCTCTGCCACGCGATTCTGGCCGGACCTGGTGACGTGAGGCGGACGAAAGCCCCAGGGCCACACGTGACTTTCTGGGTGCAGGCGGAGGCCGTATTTATGACCACTCGCGGACGAGCCAAGTGCTCAGCGAGGTGTGGGAGCATGAGGGCTCGGGCGCCTGGTTCAGAGCCCGGGTCCCTTCTGCGCAGGTTGCGTAGCGTTTCCGTGCACAACGGCGTTTGTCTGTGGGCAGCGCGGTGCAGCCTGGCGGGCAGGGAGCGCCCCGTAGCGGTGGCGCCTTCGCCCTGTGACCGGGTCCGTGCTACCAGCAGTTAGTCGCAGCAGAGTCCAGGCATCAGCACCGTCGGGGCAAAGGGTCTGTGGAGAGTGGTCCTTTCTGTTCTCGGCCTCCCGTGCGTCTGCTTCGTGCTAGATGCTGGGTGTAGAGTCCGTTTGGGCAGCTCCAGGCGGGGGTCAGAGCTGGGTGGGGGTGACAGCCGGGCAGACATAGCCGCCCAGTGGGGCGTCCTGAGAGGAAGGAGGATGATGAGCAGAGGAAACGCCCAACGCAGCCCAGTGGAGCTGAGACGTTTGGGCTCAACGAGAACGTGTGCCCCTCAGGGCAGGTCGCCGGGGGCCTCCTCGAACTTTCTGATGGGAAGGGCTGCGGGGATCTTACTGGTTAAATGTCTTTATCAAAATCACAAATGTCCAGACTACCCCCCAGCCAGTGAATCTCGGGTTGGGAGAGGCAGTCCTGGAGCTGGAGTGGGAGGGTTTCTGTTCGGTTCTGACCCTGCACGCTCCCTCCTCCTGGGCTCAGTATCTGCATCTGTTAAATGGGCACATGGACGCCCTCAGCGGTGGGGCAGTGAGGTCAGCATGCAGACGTCCTGCGCAGTGGGAACAGCCGGGCTGATGTGAGCGGCTGTGTCAGACTGTTCGTCCCCGGAGCCGGCCCCTGAGCGGAAGGACCGGTGGACGAATGGATGGACGGGGTCGTGATTATTTGCTGGGCGGAGCCGTGGGCCCTGCCCGCTGGGGGAGGCTTTTTCCATGTGCTCGGGCTCCTTCAATTCTACAACAACACGGCGAAGTCAGTATAACGCTCCTTGACAAGCCCCTGTGAGTAATGGGTGGTTTGCTGAGAGCAAAGGGGGCCCAGGTACAGCCCTCGGTGGGGGATCATGCCCCCTGCACCCCGACTCTCGGCTCCGTGACGTCCGTGCAGAGACCCTGCAGTGACCCCTGCTGTTTTCCCCACCAGGGTAAGAACGGATCGCCCGGAACTCCAGGGGACCCCGGCCCTCCGGGAAACCCAGTGAGTACCCGTCCCCTGCCGCGTGGGGGAACCAGGGCGGCCTGGAAGGGGCGTCTGGCCCGCATCCCCGCGCGTCTGGGCTCACGCTTACAAGCACCGGTGGGAAAACACGGGTTCGAGTGGTAGAGATGGGCTGTGGAGGGAGAGGGTGCGGGGGGACTTGTCTCAGGGTTTAAAGTGCGTGCGATGCTGCAGCTGGCTCTGTGGACAACCACATGCGTCCAACGGGACCGAACATTGAAGCCTTTTTAAAGAATGTTGATAGGACGGCACAGCCGTTGTTGGGTGTTTCCAGAAGATGAAAGACGGGGTCAGGCTGACCAGCCCTTAGCATCTCGGACAGGAGGGGAGCAGCCTGGGCGTGGGTGTCACGGAGCTGTGGCTGAGGAGTGTCCTCCTGCCGGGGGGGGGGATGGGCGGCACGCAGGAACGATGGGTGTACAGTAGAAAGAGGGTGGGATGAGGAGTCAGCAAAGTCCTGGTCACCAGAGAGAGGAGTTGGGGTTTGGGGTTCAGGTCTGGTAGGTGGGAGACACGGTGGGGAACACGGGCCTGGGATGGGTTCTAGGCCTGGAGAAGTCAGCCTGTCCACGCATCTCCTCCCTGCCTCCGTGTTGTACTGGCTGAAGTGGGCGGTCGGTTCAGAAGACAGCCTCAGGCAGTGGGGGTCAAGCAGGAGCCGCACGAGCAGTGCGCAGACCACAGTGGCAGCCGACTGCCCACTCCAGCGTTAGGGTGACCAGCCCACCTGGTTTGCCCACAAGCTCCCCGCTCCTGGGACGACCATCATGCCCCGGCAAACCAGGCGTGTGGTCCCCGGAGGAGAGACCCCTCTTCCATCGGAGCAGGGCCGGTGGCACTCAAGGAGCCTAAGTCCTCTGCACGTGTTGTCACCTCCCTTGGGGACCGTGGCGAGGGGCTTGCTGCTGCCGCGGGGACGAAGGGGTGGGTGGGGCGGGCCATGGAGCTGGACACAGTCCCACCGCCGTGCTGGCCCCAGAAGGGCTGACCCACATAGGGGGGCTTCCCGGAGACGCTGAAACAAAGATTCCCATGGGCTTTTCCCCAAAAGGGGTCCTTCCAAACCAGGAGCCTCAGTGTCCCGTTGGGAAGAAGTATAGCACCTCGCCGCGGGGGCCGCATACTCGTCAGAGAGTTTCCTTAAATATTGTGTCCTGTTTTATTCCTGAACGGAAAGTCCGTTGACTGCAGAGAGACTTCGGGTCTGCCCCCCACCCCGTGACAGCACCACGAGGGCCCACAGGACCCCCACCCAGGTGTCTCCCTGACCCACTCCCTCGGCTACGGGACAGGGTCTCATCTCTGTAGATGTCCCACGCCTTCCGAGTGCAGAGGGGTCACAGGCTTTCTGAGTCGGCTTGAATTGACACTCGACCTTGAAGAATTAATCCAGTTTTCCCTCTGCAGGGCCAGAAGGGAAGTAAAGGAGAAAGTGGCAGCCCAGGACTCCCTGGCTTCCTGGGTCCTCGTGGGCCTCCGGTAAGCAGAGCACCCCGATGGGGCAAGGTGCCCAGCTCGGGGGGTAGCTTCCGTTCAGTCCCTGTCCTTCCACCTCCGGTGTCCTCAGGCCCATGTCCCGGGTCCCAGTGACCGGCATGATCCTTTCGGAGACAGTGGGCGCCTCGTGTCACACCTGTGTGGGGTCCTCAGCCCCCCTGGGAAAGTCTGCTGAGCTCTGTGCCTCGGCTTCCTCACCATTCCAGTGGGCATGCCCAGCACCGACCTCAGAGCTGGACGGGGTGGTGTAGGGATGAGGGTTGGCAGCAGCGCCCCGCCCACTGCGGGAGCCTGATCAATAGAAACGATCTGAATGGTGGCTGTGGCGCGTTAGGGTGGTGATGTGGTCTCAGAACTCGGAGCGCGTAGGTACCACTGTACAGACGGGCAGGTTCGGGCTGTAGCCTCAGAACATGCGGGTAGTTGATCCAAGGCCACACGGTCATTCCGGGCTCCAGCCAGCCCTTCACTCCAGGTCTCCTGACTTGAGATTCTGATGCAGAGGAGCCGAGGGGGAGCCTTGCCCCGTTTCTGGGCAGAGGGATGCCAGGGGACCCACATTCCCAGTGATCCCCCCGGGCGTTGTGCACACTGTATCCACACCCTGGCCTCCTGACCAGTGAAGGCGGCTTGTGCGGAACCTGCAGTGTAGGAAGCTGTCCCTGTCCCTGTCCATCCCCCTCCAGTTCAACCCTGGCCCCGAGGGTGCCCACTGCCAGACCCGCCCAACGGCTCGAGCTGGTGACCCCTATTTGCCCTTTTCGCCCTTGTTGCCCGAGACTAGCACTGCTCTGTCCATTGGTTTTTACTTGTGCCTGTTCATTCACTGGACAGGCCCCCTCTCCATCCCCTTGTCACTAATCTGGCTGCCACGGAGCAGCCGGGAACCCCCTCTTCTTCCAGACCCATTACAGTGTACCCCTTAGTCAGGTACCAGCAGATGGTCCGTTGCCACACGCCTGCTCCAGTTCTGAGGGCATTCCCAGTATGGACACGCCACCCTCATGGTCACTCAGGAAGCAGGCCAGCTCCTGTGCCCATTTCACAGATGAAGAAACAGAGGCAGCCTTAGGACGCTGCAGGGAGGTTGCCCGAGGTCTCAGATCCCGTAACTGGAGGAGCCGGGACTTGAACTTGGGAAGGCCGACTCCAGAGCCCAGCGTCTCTTGGTTTCTCATGTCCCCCCGAGCTGGCTTCTCAGAGGTCTCACTGGCTCAGCCAGACACCTGCAGCGGATGTCCCCGGAGGCCCTCCTGATGGAGTCAGAGCCATGCCGTCGGCGAGGAGCTGGGGGCTCCCCTCCCACCTGGAACCCCTCCTTCGCCTCCTGCGCAGGCTGATCAGACAGCCCTGCTGGGGGTCCCTGCTTGGCTGGCCATCGGTTGTGTCTGAGTGGAAGTGTGTTTGAAGACAGTCTGGTCCTTGCCATGTGAATGCTTCCGAGCTCACGATGTCCTCTGTTCACAGGGGGAGCCCGGAGAGAAGGGAGCCCCCGGCAAGGAGGCAAGTGTCACCCCCCGACCCCTTCCCTGGGCGACCTTTCCTGTGGCAGCTGCGGGGGTGGCTCGCAGAGCCGCACGGGGCCTGGGTTTAGCCGAGCTCCCACAGTGGAGCAAGGCTTTCTGAACAAGAGTCCAGAGTGTACGCTTGCGAAGGCCCGAGTTCTGTAGCGAGTCCAGGGGTCCACTGTGAAGTGTCTTCTGCTCTCTCCCTGCATCAATCCCGCGACAAGTCTTTCCCGACGCCCCAGCCCCACTCAGCTCTGTCCGGTCTCCCGGCCTCCACCCCAGGACCCTCTTCCAGTCCGCCGTCCTCTGCCAAACTGACCCCAAACTGCAAACTGTCTTTCCTGGAGGGAGCCCCTGCCTCCCGCTGCCCCGCCATGTGGTATCCCCAGTCCCTGCTCCTACACAGAGGCAGTGTCCCCTCTTGGCTGCTACAAAATTGCCAGAGACGTGGCGGCCGAGACAGCAGACGTGTTTCTCAGTCCTGGGGACCGGGGAAGTCCAAGGTCAAGGTGCTGGTCTCCTCCCTCCCTAACTGCACTAGCCGGACACTGAGTGTCCAGGCCACCCCCGTGGTCCCACTATGGGGGCCCACCCTCATGTCCTCATCTAAATCTAATCACCCCCAAAGAACCCCCACCTCCTAATACCATCCCCTATGAATTGGGAGACACACACATGCACCCATAAAAGATGGGAACGTCTCCCTGCCGAGGGAGATGACCGGCAGAGGCCACCAGATGGCAGACCACAGGCCCCCTGCACTGGGGAGTCAGAGATGTCACCTGCTGTGGGGGGCAGGGGTGGAGTCAGCCAGGACAGCAGGGAGTGAGAGCTACCGGAGAACAATGCATGCGGGTCCCCTGGGTGCCAAGGAGAGGGGACTAACGCTGGAACAGGTGGAGCAGGACTGGGAAGAGGCCCAAGCGTGCTGGTGCCATGGCGTAGGGTGGGCCTTGGCAGGAGGGAAGGGCCAGAGAAGGGGGAGACCCGAGCAGGGCAAAGAGGCCAGGGCAGGGGGAGTGGCCCGGGTGGTGACTGTCCTGCCTTGGATTTTATTGCAGGGTGCCCCCGGGAAGCCTGGTGAAGCAGGGCCCAGAGGAGAAAGGGTGAGTGGGAGCATAGTCCCGGGGCTGTGACCTTCCCAGGACGTGAGGGACTTTGTCCCAGACACTCCGTGAACAGCCCGGCCGGAGAGCTGACTTCTCCCTTCACAGTTCCCTGAGCACCCGGAGCCTGAGGGTGTCTCCCCCACCCCACCTTGTGGTAGTAGGTGTTGCTGTTGGACCCCGTTTTCGGTTATTATCCGAGGAAGCAGCGTCATCGTGGTTATGAGCACAGTGGCCCGTGAGCGGAGACTCGGGCGCCTGCTGCCATAACCCGCCTGTGTGCCTTGCTCGGCTCCCGGGCAGCTTGTCACTGGAGGCGACGGGGCAGGTTTTCCGTAATGAATCCCTCGGGCCTGATGCTCAGAACGCCTTTCTGTACATTTCATTTCTCCAGGAAAAAAACCCACATCCTAGGGAAAGCGTTTATTTTTTCCAGCACTGCCCGTGGGGGGAGGGGCACGGTCTCACACTCACGACAGCCGTCCCGTCCCTTCCTTCAGCGGAATGGAACATCGCCCGCCTGTGCCCGCACGCCCCCGTTCGGTCGGCGTCGCCCTGTCACGCTGTCGCGCCACATGGGTGTCACTGCCCCCCGCTTCCCGCCCCCTGCATGTTTTCCCTGGTCCTGCAAAGAATTTATCTCAGCTTTCCCTCCAAGTCGGGGTGTGAGGAGTGGTGTCTGCTGAGCCAGAGACGGCGGGAAGGAGAGGCCAGCGCCAGGGTCCCCTTCCTTCCCTGCCCCGTGGCTGCTGGTTCCTGAGCATGGAGCCTGGGGAAGGGCGGTGGCTGAGACGTGTCGAGGGTCCCCTCCCCCCAGGCCAGTGTCGCAGGGCTGCTCCTGGGGGATCTGGCCGCAGCTCTGGCTTAAGGTTTGGTTGGGAGCCAGGGTATTCAGACGACAAATATGAATCTTCTCTAATCCTGATCAACAAGCTGAGAGGTGCCCTCCCCCGTTAAGTGGTTTGGTGGAACCGGGCCAGGGAGCAGGCAGGTCGCCCCTCCCCGCACTCCTGGGAGCTTCTGGAACAGGGACAAGGACCGCAGAGGGTTCAGAGCCGGCTAGTGAATGGAAATGCCAACCGCAGAGCTGCAGGGCCCGGTGCCCCGGTGCACAGAGCGCCAGGACTCATGGACGCTGAGCTACGCTCACCGACGGAGGACCGGGGCCCTAGCACACGGTCACGCCTGAGACGTCTGAGTGACCTCCTCAGATCTGGCTGAATTCGTGGCTGCATTCGCTGCTCTTTTCCTTACTGTTGAACAAGTCGTAGAGACACGTAGCTAAGCGATGCGAGAGGCCGTACGAGCGGATGGAGAAAAGCCGCCCCTCCCCCGGGGCGTTCATTCCGCCTGTTCCCAGGCCCGTCGCTGCGCGGTCTGCGCAGAGAACCCTGTGGGTGTGGGGGCCACGTGTGTGTTCCTCTGTGGAACCCCGGAACAGATCACACTTAACCTGCTGTTTCAATGCTTCTGTTCTTCACGGAACTGCAGCCGCTGATGCCCGGCCTTCTTGTCCGTGGCTCCGGGCATGTGTGTGGCCAGGTCCCCTTTCCAGTTTCCTCTGTTTCCGGCCTTTTCCCCTCTCCCTGCCCCCGCCCAACTTGGCCCGGAGGCGATCATGTGACCACCATGCTTTCAGACCTGCCAGCGACTGTCCTGCTGCTCAGCCCACAGTCCAGACAAGGCAGAGGACCAGCGCTTTCCTCGTTGCCATGGTTTCCAAGTCATTGATCCAGGACTTCAAACTCTGAGTCCACAATGGGGAGAAGGGGTCCCAGGCAGCGTCATCCTGGGTGGTCCCACTAGAGCTGAGAGGAGGGAGCGAAGGTCACCCGTGAGCGAGACCCCTCTGCCTGCAGCGTCACTGTCCCTGCAGCTGACGGAGGACAGCAGGGCCAGAATGGGCCAGCGGCGGGGCGGGCGGATGGAGGAGCCCGGACCGGGGTCTGGGAACCAGGGTTCTCATATTTCCCCGCAGACTGTCTGTGTGACCGCGGCGGGCGGCTGTCTCTCTGGGCCCCTGTCCTCGGCTGTGCGGGGACTTCCGTCCAGTGCTCCGGGAGGCAGAGGACGGGGGTCCCCCTGCAGCTGAGCAGTCCTTTCTGCACTGGTGCACCCCGGGCCTTGGCTCACTCACACCCTTCTTTCCCCCTCTAGGGAGATCCTGGGGTCAAAGGAGACAAAGGAGCTCCCGGTGGACACGGTCAGCCCGGGGATCCCGGAATCCCAGGCCACAAGGGCCACACGGGTCTGATGGGCCCCCAAGGTCCACCTGGGGAGAGTGGGCCGGCCGGGCCCCCGGGGCCTCCGGGCCAGCCAGGGTTTCCAGGACTGAGGGTAAGGACGCTGCTCTTGCCTTGAACACAGGCTCCTCGGGCCTAAGGGGAGCCGGGGGGTGTGGCCTCCAGCAGCCAGGTGCCAGTGACCTGTGTGACCTGGGGCAGGTCACCCCCACGCTGAGCCTGCCCTGGCGGTCTGAGCACCGGGGTAAGGTGCTCTCCTGACAGGTTTGCTGTGCCTGGTAGGTGACACACAGTGTGTGTCCTAAGAGGCTCCAGAGGAAGGTCCTGTCCTGCCCCCACCCCGTCCCAGGGTAGGGACCCTAAGACGCCCCTCTGGGCTCCAGTGCTCTTCAGCCCGGGCCCTGTGCAGAAGGGGTGGAGGAGACACAGCCACCCCCGGTGGTCTGAGCTACACTTCGGGGCGCCATCGTACAAGGCCCGGCCGTGCCGCCCCTGCCCGCCTGCCCCTTGGTCTTCCCTCGGGTCTCACTTCTCCCAAATGTAAACGGAAAGGCTGTGTAGAGCACTCTCTCCTTCCTTTGGACGTATTTTATTCAGTGTCGGGCTCTCCCTGACACACACTTGTCACGTAGGCACAGATGGCCTGTAGGGGGTGGAAGGGGGGCTGGGGGGCTGTCCGTGAAGGACCCCTCTTCCCCTCTCATATTCCTCGGGGCACTGGCTTAGGCGACCTCGTGTCCCTGCCAGCTCGGACACTCTGCCCTGTCACTGCCCGGTGGCTGTGGTCAGCCTTTTCAGCCACCCTGAAGGAGGCCAGGCAGCACGACCTGTTTCTCAGCCAAGTGTGTGGGGCCTGGAGGCCTCGGTGGCCCCCAAAGCCCCCTGGGTCCCAGCCAAGTCGTCCGAGCCCTGCCGCTGGGGCGTGATGGACGTTCCGGGACGGTCAGGGCAAACTGCCGCCCAGGACAGAGGCAGGAACGGAACTGGACTCCGTCCCGGCTGAGCCCCGTGCCTGGCGGCGAGGCTGCAGCGATGAGCGTGGGGAGACGGGCCTCTGCAGGGTGGACACTGTCCCAGCACTCGGATCACGGGGAGAAGCCCGATGTGGCATGAGGACTGTTCTCGTAGATTCTTCGGAGAACCCACGTCCCCGTGTGGGCCTGATGGCCGCTCTGACCCACAGACTCAGCGTCTGTGTCCCCAGCTCCAGGAGGGTGTGGGTCACCCGTGGTGAGCAGAGCAGGGAAACAGACCCTGGAGCTGAAGAGGCCAAGTGGCCAGTCAGGGGATGTGACATGAATTCAGGCCGGCGGTGGCGGTGTCCCGTGAGCTTGTCCTGGAGCAGACAGGACTTCGCCAGGGGGAGAGCAGGGGCCATACCTGCCGGTCCAGGGATGCAGGGTGGTCTGTGCAGGAAGGAGCAGAGGGACGGCGGCAGGGCCCAGCGAGCCTGCAGTCCAGGTGGCATTACAATGGGACCGTGCTGCCTGTGTCCGAGGGAGGGGGAGGGGACTCTAGGTGTGCAGAGGGCTGGACCAGGAAGGTGCGGAATGTGTGGCCATGGCTGACCCCTCTCCCCTCCCTCCCAGGGCGAATCTCCCTCCCTGGACACCCTGCGGCGACTCATCCAGGAAGAAGTCGGGAAACAGCTGGAAAGTGAGTGGCTGGCCCTTGTCACAGCCGGCAGAGGGCCAGGGGCTCCAAGAGCCCTGGGAAGCAGTCCTCTGGTTATCTTCCTGCACTGTGCAGCCGGGCTTGGGAAAAGCCCCTGAGGGCAGCTCGCGTACCAATCAGGGCTGAGGGGCACCTTGCAGGCTGGAGCCAGCCTCACCTGACACGGACCCCTCTCCAGAGCTCCCTTTATGAGGCTTGCATGACCTCTGCTTGATTACCTCTCGAATGGGGAGCTCACCATCTGTAGAACCAGCTCTGCCGCGATCATTCATTTCCTGTGCACTCCATCATTTATCTGATCAAAGTCATCTTGGCAGGCCTGTGGTGGGCCTTACAAAACTCCCAGCCCAGGGGAGGAGATGGGTCCGGAAATGGACGAGACGATTTCAGTGCAATCAGAGAAGTTCTGGGATTTCGTCAGGCACAGAGGGTATTGAAAGAGGACAAGTGAAAGCACCTCAGAGAACTCAGAAAGTGGGGAGCAGATGAGGGAGGGCTTCCTGGAGGAGGTGCCATGAGAGCTGAAATGAGTGAGACCCTGCCTGTGTGAAGATCCCGAGGGAATGGGGGGCACAGTGCTTCCAGGGATCTGGAAACTTTTCACCCCACCGTGCTGGGTTTATTGTTAAAGCCCAGCCTTGCCTGCGCCAGGCGCCTAGCAGACCCTCAGGGGCGGAGAAAGGCGGGCAGGTGGTAGTCACAACGCCAGCCCGCCGGGCTCCCCGATGTCAGGTGGAGTTCTAAGCACTCACGTATCCAGGGGACCGTCCCAGTGATCTCGTGAAGCGCGTGCGATTGTTAGGAGCAGAGGGAGTCCCGCACCTGAGCCCGTGGAGCTGGTAGCTGTGTGGGCAGGTTGGCAGGCAGGCGCCCTAGCTCGGCACCATGCTCTTGGCCTCCACAGTCCCACGCCCTCTGTGATGGGAACTTGGGAGAAGAGAGGCAGACAGGCCCATGGCCGGGAGGTGAGACCCCATGGTTCCCAGACGCAGGTGGATGAGAGGGGGGCCCATGTGCCCACCTGGTGTGTCTCAGACCTTTGTGCCAGACTCTGAGCTGGGTGTGGGGCGCACCATTGAACAAGATGACCCTTGTCCCCTGCCCCTTTGGAGTGTCAGGTGAGCATGACCCTTCTGCTTACCCAGGAAAGCCAGAGGCCGTTGCCCGGCATGGAAGGCAGGTACTGGGTGGGGGTGACGAAAGGAAGGACACTCGAGGCCGGAATGGTGAATGCACCGACCGGTGGTGTCCAGTGTCCTGTGTGGGATCTCTGAGCTCCTGCTTGCGGGCGTTAGATGTGTCTGTGACCCAGACGTCTAGCTGAGAGCAGATGCGAACCTATTGGAGCTGGTTCTGTTGGAACAGCTGCTGGCTAAGCTCTTCCTTCCGGTCTTCTGAGGAGGGCGCTGTGCGGATGGGGCTTGGGCACCTTAGGCAGTTTGCCCGGGCCCCAGAGCTGGACCACACACCTCCTGCCCCCCAGAAGGCACAGAGGAAGGCAGTGCCCTGGGAAGCAGGTCGCCCCACAGTCAGACGACCCCAACTCCCCCTTGGTTTTCACACCAAAATGCCGGGGGGACTCGGACTCATTCTCAGCATCAGTAAGGTGAGGGGCGTGGTCTGATCCTCTGTGACCGCACAGCAGGCAGACAAGGGTGACTCTCGGTGGCCATCAGATGTTCCCAGTACAATAAAGAGACAGTGGCCAGCAACTGGACAATTGATTAAGAAACCAGATTTTCAACCAATTCTGTAGTCTTCACATTTTCGACATCGGAGGATATCTGTGACCACCCCATTCAGCCCAGCCTTTGTAGGTGAGGACTTCGACGCTCAGATAAGTCAGAAAGTATTTCTGGGTAAGCACGTCCATCACACCCGCCTCAGTGTCCCCTGCGGACAGTTACCACATCCACACTATGGTGGCTGGCACGGTCACTGCTCTGAGTTATGACACGAGCCCATCAGCCAGCATCCGCCCCGCACTGGCCACGTGCCGGGCGCAGTTTGAATAGATTGTCTCAGTCCAGCGTCCTCACCCGGCCCGGGTGTGTGTGTGTGTGTGTGTGTGTGTGTGTGTGTGTGTGTGTGATTTTATTGCCTCCCCCTCACAGGCAAGGAAATGAGGGCTCAGAGAGGTCAAGTGCCTCGCCCAAGGCCACACAGCAGGCGCCTGGCTCCACAGGCAGTGTGGTCAGCACCGAAGGAGAGCCCAGCTGGGGGGCTTGCACGTCCTAGGCAGGGGCCGTCGGAGGGGCTGTATTGTTGTGCTGTGGTTGTGACTGTCTCCTCAGTCACAGTGCTGGCCTTTGTCCTTATGCCTCCTTCACGAAACGTCTCTGCTCTTCCCCGTCCACAGCCAAACTCGCCTACCTCCTGGCTCAGATGCCCCCGGCACACGCGAAGGCATCTCAAGGCAGACCTGGGCCCCCGGGGCCCCCTGGAAAAGATGGGCTTCCAGGCCGGGCAGGCCCCGTGGGGGAGCCGGGACGGCCCGGGCAGGGGGGTCTGGAAGGACCATCTGGACCAGTAGGTCCCAAAGGTGAGTGAGGACTGGAAGGTTGTGCTTCCCCATCCCCGCAAGGCTGAGAAGGCTCCGTGAGGCGTAGGCATCCATGATGCGCAATGTGTTCCGTCCTCATGCCCTGCAGCGTAGCAGCACCCAGAATGTCGGCATCATGTCATTATTTCATCTGGGTGACAGGTTTGCAGAGTGGACAGTTTTGCAAAATTGTGCTTCTGCCGGGAGGACTGGTTCCCTCTCCGCCCTTGCTCTCTGCATCTCGCTGTTCGGGCTCCAGGGAGCCCGCGGAATGCCCTCTCGCCCCCCGACTGTGGAACTAACTGAGGAAGGAGACAGGTGACCTCCAGCAAATGGGCACAAAGCTCCAGCTTTTTCATCGAATTAAGTGGCTTGGAGCTGCGGCCAGAAATGGCTGGAGACGCCCGGCGCTCGGGTGCGCGGCTTCCCTGGTCCTGGGCGCTGTGGCCCGCGGGTCTCGCCTGCAGTGTGGTGCAGAGGCCGGCGGGGGGAGCTCTCTCTGCAGGCGGGCACACAGCCTGGGAGCCAGAGGAAGGGCCTGGAGACCATCTCCCCAACCTGAGCACCTGCTCCCCTCTGGGGAAGAATGAGGCGTGGGGACAGCCACGCATGCTGTGATTCCAGCGCCGTCTCACGACTCGGGGTTAGGGCAACAGAGGTCCCCAGCTCCTTCCGCTTTCCGTGGCCCATTTCCTTAGCGTTCATTCATTCCCTGTCGTGTTTCTCCTCCCGAGAAGGCTTTCTGTTAAATCTGTGTCCAAATCCCACTTCTTTTAGTTCATAAAACAAAATACATAAAATAAGTGTCGATAACGCATCGAGCAGAGACCACATAGACTGGGACAGAAGGGGACCAGACGCGGCAGTCACAGCATACAGGCTCTTATCTCACACACCAGCACCATTCCCGGTGGGTTACAAGACTGTGGGAATGACGGGAAAAGGTGAAGATGAGAAAAGAACGTGAGCGAGACCGGTCACTCAGCTCCTGCAGCATTCCCTCGATGCGGTCTGGACTGTCCTGGCCCCGCCCCCCCCGCCCCTCTGTGATGGTCCCTTCCTGTTCCACTTCGCCCCAGCGTGGTCTTGGGCCGTTTCATCTCGCTTAGTGGACTTCAAGCCCATAGGATCCAGGATGCTGAGTTTTTCACCCAGTTCCTTCTTGGGGTTCTGTCAAATGCTCCGAGGACATGCGGTATCGGGCAGAGTGCGTGTGTGCCGACACGTGGGGCTCTGGGCGAGTGTGTGGGGTGTGTGCCTTGGTTGCCTGCGTTGGTGTGAGTCTCTATGTGTGTACGAGTGTATGTTAGTATTTGCTGACGTGTGAATGTGCGTGTGTATGCGTGTAATCGGGCAGTTATGTGCGGGAGTCACCGTGTAGACGTGTATCTGAGCGTGCGTTCAGGGGGGACTGTCTGGTGATTGTGTGTACACACGCGTAGATTCCCGTGTGAGTATGTGCTTGGACATGCGTGCAGTGAGTGAGCGGGAACGGGAGTTAGGGGCGCAGCTGTGGGTATGTGTGAGCAAGGTGACTTGGAGTGGAGGCTGCAGCTCGGGGGGCCCCGAACCTCCTGCGCGGTGGGACCCTGTCTCTGCCTTGTCGTGAGCATCCACCACCACAGGTGTGTGTTTTCCTCACAGGTGAGCGAGGAGCCAAAGGTGACCCAGGGACGCCAGGTGTTGGCCTCCGAGGCGAGATGGGCCCCCCCGGAATCCCAGGTAGGCGTGGCGTCTGGAGCCTCTGGTGGGGACGGCCACCGCCATGGTTGTCCCCTGCCCACATCGCCAGTGGCCTCAGGAAAGGCCGCGGGGAAAGGGTGACGTTTAACACGAGGACACCGGACACTGGATTGTTTCTGTCCCATCTGTCTGCAATGCCAGCTTCTTGACTTGCGGAGACAGCGAGGGTACCTCCCGTGGGTCCCTGCTTTGGGGTGAAATCCTGCTGGGGACCGCATGTCCCCTTCAGTCATTCCCAGTGCACGCTAACTTCGTACACATGCTGCGGATGCTTCCATCAGCAGTCACGGTCCCTTCGTTTAAGCCAGCCTTTCCCCAACTCACGTGAACGTGGAACCCTGTTTCTTTCCCGCTGCTCGTGTCAACACCCCGACACTATTTCTCAGAGCATAGTTTAGGGGTGCTGGCCAAGCGGCAGGGTGGCCAGCAGTCCTGGCTTGTCCGGGGCTGGCCTGTTCCCGGGACCAAGGACGTCCTGTTTTGAAACCGGGACAAGTCAGGCACCCTCCCCGCGGCTCCATGGGGACCCTGTGGCCCCACAGTCCCAGGCGCGCTGTAGACAGACAGACAGCCAGAGGACAGCCCACTGCGTGGCCATCCAGCTCCCCTCACCGAGATCTCATTTCCGTTTGTTCTCTTCATACGATGGCGTGAGGTCATTTCTGAATGTGAAGCCTACAGGTCATTTTAACTTTAGTATTTATAGCTTCTTGATTCTCCAGATGGCCTACCGTGGCCACGTCTTGTTATTCTCGTAAGAGAAGAGAACTACAAATGCATTATACATATTTATTTCTGATGGCTCGCCTGCGTGTCAATTGCTTTAATATTAATAATATTTTAAAATAAGGCAATTCCAAAGAAAGATTCAAAGGCAGACCAGAGAGCATGTAGAAGGGGGAGGTGGCCGCCAGCGTGAGGGTGGGTGATGACCGTGCTGGGTTGTTCCGAGCCGAGAGGACACAGCTGGGCTCGGCACTCGGTCACCGTGGGGCTGTGACCAAGTGAAGCACTCAGGAACGCTAGGGCAGATGACACGTCTAAAGAGCTTTTTAAAATAAAAAGTCTACTTTTATTTATCTTATGGGACACTCAGATTCTCTAACATGATTATTAGGACTTAAGAAGGAATCTGGCTGGTGTGGCTCAGTGGTTGAGCATCGACCCTGCACCAAAGGGTCGCTGGTTCTAATCCCAGTCAGGGCACGTGCCCAGGTTGTGGGCCTGATCCCCAGTGGGGGGCGTGCAGGAGGCGGCCAATCCATGTTCTCTCTCATCCATGTTTCTATCTCTCTCTCCCTTTCTCTCTCTCTCTAAAAGTCAATAAAGAAAAAAAATAAAAGAAAAGCAGGAATCTCATTGCGAGGGTTAACTAGCACCCTCAGCACGGAGCTCTCCCGTTGCCCAAGCAGAAAGGGAGACTGATAGATTCTGGGTTATATTACGATGCCTCATAAACGGAGGCAGAGAAGCGTGTCCGCAGGGAGTCTGTTCTGGGTCTGTCTGGTCTGCGTGTCAGTCGCTTCCATTCTGTGTACCTCGTCTGTGACCATGATTTGAGGAGTCGGCTCATGTGGTCCGAGTGTGCTGTTCGTGTAGGTAAAGCTCAGAGAGCACAGACCTCTGGGGACAAGCTGCATACTGGATAATGGAATGTCACCAGGTGTCTCTAAAGACATGTGACTTGGGGCTGACGGTTAATGACGAGGACGTGATGTCCCTGTTCAGAGGTGTCTCCTAACAGCATGTGAGGACACGGAAGGCCGGGTCTCTCGGCCCCTCGTAAGGAGCCTGTGTTCCGTACCTGGCTGTCATCTACCTCTGCTTGCTCCTCTCCAGTGGCCCCTGATTGCTGTCCCGTCCAAACAGGAAGGGAAGCCCTTCTGCTCCCTGAGGTTCACAGAGACCACGCTGACCGCCCAGGCGCAGTGCTCAGAGCCTGGGCTGTTCTTCTGAGGACGTTCCCGTGCGCGGTTCGTCCTGGGCGGGGCCCGTGAGGACACCTGAACCCACTCTGTTTGTTTCTTCCTTGGCCCAGGTCAACCCGGGGAACCTGGTTACGCTAAAGATGGGCTTCCTGGGGGTCCCGGCCCTCAAGGGGAGACCGGACCAGCTGGACACCCGGGCCCCCCAGGCCCGCCAGGCCCCCCTGGCCACTGTGACCCCTCCCAGTGTGCCTACTTCGCCAGCCTAGCCGCCCGCCCAGGGAATGTGAAGGGCCCCTAGAAGATTCTGGGACACCAGGAGACTGCAGTGGATTTTCTGAAACTTGAACTCAGACCCGAGGACGTCAGAGGTCTTGACACATTTCGGCCACCTGTTTTTTCCTTTCATTTTTTTCTTTTATCATTTGTTTTGGCTTTACTTTCTTGAGAGACCTCCATGTCAGTCAAACCACCAGATGCTGGCAGCCAGTCAGATGATGATTGCTATTATTGTTAATGATTATTATTACTATTCCGATGGTCAGGGCTTTGCGAGTGCCCCTCCCTGCCCTCTGGGGCGGGAGGTCTGACTTGGGGGCAGCGGGGCCCTTCTCGGCCCCGAGGCCCGTCTGCCACGCTGCCCATGTGAAGGAAGCTGTCGGTGCTGTGAAACCCGACGGGCCGCTCGCCAGGCTGACCTCTTCCCTCCAAAGGGGCCTGGAGACGGAGGAGTTGCACGCTTCTGTCCTCGCTGGTGCCCAGAGGCGGCGCGGGAGAAGCTTCCCAGAGAGAGCGAGGCGGGAGGCAGGGTTTGCAGACATGATGAATGTTCTCGCCTCGCGATGGGCAGTGCGGAGAGCTCAGGTCCGTCCGGGGGCGCGGACATGCCCCCGCTGTATCAAGCTGGCTGAACTGAAATGCTGTCACCTGGCTGGCAGTGCTTCCTGGGGTCCCGTGTCTGGACCACGGACGGGAGGCAGCCCCTGCACGGTGACTTGGCTGCCAAGCCGCGGACAGGACCCTGCGAGCTGCTTCCTGGATTCCCCTCGCCTTGTCGTCGGGTCGGGGAGCGGCCACTCCGGGTTTCCTGATGGGTCAGGTGGCCAGGGCGCCGGCCGGAGCTGGGGAGTGTGCCCCGGTGCCTCCTCTGAACTGTGTTGGTGTGGGTGCCACGCCAGCCCGCACAGGTGCTCAATAAACCCGACCCCTTCTCAGCTCTCGTGCTGGCTCCTTTCTTCCTGGGTCCTTACCAGGTGTGTCTGGGAAGGGAGAGAACGTGGGGCGCAGGGCGCTTCTGTCATCGAGACATGCGGGACCTGAAAAGGCACATCAAACAAAACAGTCCCCACACAGACCACGGCCAGACGGTTCCCGACGGAGTCCCGGTTCCGCCGCTGCTCCTCCTAGGACGATGTCATGTCGGTGACGGGCTCCAGCTCTCATAACCCCGAGGGCGGGAAGGCCTCCCCCGACACCTGGCTTACTTAACCGCGATCCGTGTGTGGCAGGACGAGCTGCTGCTGGGGCCCATGTGAGGTTGCCTGGCACAGTGCCACCTTGCTTTCCTGCACCGAGCTCCCTGTAGCAGGAAGAAGGAGAATTGGGCAGGCATTCCTGAGCCTCTGTTCCCCCAGAGGTCTGTGGTGGGGACACAGTGAACAGGGATGGGACCGAGACGGGGCCGAGGATGAGTGTCTATTCCCACGTGGTGCTCATTCGTTTGAGCTCAGCAGACACGGTGCAGGGTGCAGGGTGCTGGGTGCTGGGCGCTGGGGATGGCAAGGTGCCCGGGGCACATGTTGGCCACAGGCTGGAGAGAGAGGCATCTAATGACCTCCAAGCACTGTTTCTGCCCCAGGCTCAGGCAGACAGACACACGTGGGACAGGACCTAACGCCATTACTACCACGAGAGGTCGAATCTGGGGATAGCGTGGCTGACTCTACAGTAATAATAGCAAGAAACAGCCCTGCCAGGTAGTGTCCCTGCTCCATCTGACGACCACGGCGGGGCAGATGTCCTCAGCCTCACCTTACAGGTGGGAGCACAGCCACAGGAGAGATGATGTGAGTCTCCCCAGGTCACACAGCGCCGAGCAGTCAAGTCCGGGACTTCTCGCTCTCTTTCTGTCATTGTGATTTTTGTCCCCAGCCTTCCCAAGCTCCGAATAACCCGGGTTCCCCAGATGAGAGCGTTCTGTAAGAAGATAAATAGTGTGACTGCCTATGTGTCCGTCACGTGACATGACCCAGCACAGCTAACGGACGGCTGCCGTTGAAACGAGATTAAAATCCAGCCAGGAGGCTCAGAGCCACTCGTCCTGCCCGCGGTCTGCAGTATGAATCACGGTTCGCACTTCTTTCCCCCCCCCAGGGCTCGTTATAACCCGTGCCTTTCGCCTCAGAAATGCAGCCATCTGCTGCACAGGCCTCGGTTACAAGGACCGAGGGACATTTCACACCCAGCGAGGGGACAGGTTACGTCCCTGTGGAGACACTGGGTCCAGCCTAGGGCACCTTCTCGGGCGCAGGATGAGCGGGGAGAGCCTGCCAGGGGCGATCCCTGAGCACCCCATCCGCCCAGAGCGGTCGGTGAGCTGCGGGCCGTTCTCTGTGTTCACCCAGTGCTGCTCTCGAAAAACGCACACACGCGCAAACGCGGGTTCACGTGTGCTCAGATTGCTCCCTGCTCTGAATCATCTCAAATGCCCAGGGTCAGAGATGACGACAGAGCGGCCTCGCGGGCCTTGGAAAGGGGTCTGGATGTGACTGCCATGAGCCGAGAAGCTGCGTCCGACTCGCGTGCTGAGGAAAACCACTTTGCAGCGGGGGGGAGACGCCAACAAACCCCGGCCGGTAACCACGGCTGGAAAAGCACGGTGGTCCCCCAAACCAGGGTGTAATGACTGCCATGTTGACGATGGTAATAATGACATTTCAGGAGGCTTGTTTGTGATATCAACCTCACTTTTCTCCTTTCGAAAGGATCTCCACATTTATTCTTTCTGCCTGTCTGTAGGTGTAGACGTAGGGAAGGGGTGAGGGCTTGCACGAGGGAGTTTTATGCTGTTGCTCACAGTTTCGCTACTGGCTTGAAGTTGACGCAAAGCTCTGGTCTTAAAAAGCCTTTTTGTCCGAGTGTTTGCATGACCGTGAAACACAAGCCCCGCGGCCCTGTTTCTGGAGCGGAGAGGAGAGAGATTAATTTCAGAGCAGAAGCAGGAATGAATGGAAAAGTGCTGATGGGTATCGAGAGGAAGGTTAGTTCTCCGGGAAACAAACAAAGCAGACAGGCAGACAGACAGACAAACACTCAGGACACAGACACAGACTCCAGGCCGAGGAGGCCCTTAGAGACGTTCATCAGGTGATCACAAAGGAACGAAGCCAAAGGGCATTGTTAACAAATTCATCACTTTTTGTTCATTAAAAATTTAAAGTTGATAAATACCACATAAAGTAATAAGTGAAATTTGTCATATCTAACAAACGGATCCTTGAATACTTGAGGCATAATGAATCTGGCGGGTGCTGATTTTCTATAAATACCAAAATTTAATGATTGTCCCTGAGCTATTCATTAAACTTCAAAAGCCCATGAATAATGAATAGGAAATCCATTTGTTCATTAACTTGAGAAATGGAAAAGCTCCCTCCCCTGTTATGTCTCTGATTAATTTGGCTCCGACACATGTTAGCAGGTCTGTGGACGTTCCCTGGGGCTATTTCTGAAGGGACACAGTCCTATCTGCTCAGCCCGTGAGAACCTGGAAGGTCAGCCCCGGGCGGGGGTCTGTCAAGTGGATTCTCTACCATGAGGGACAGAGACACTTTACAGCACCATCCCAGAAGGGGCCCCGACCCCCTGATGACCAGCCCTCGTTCTGGGCAATTGGAGCCTGAATAGGAGCACAAATTCTTGTTCAGTGGTCGCTGAGATACCACGAATAAGATATTCAATGTTTTTGATTCTCGGTTTCCTCATCTGTCATAAACTCCCATGCGGCATTGCCTCACATCTAGTGGCTTTAAATGACATGCATTCAGCCCTGGCTGGTTTGGCTCAGCGGTTAGAGCATCGACCTGTGGTCTGGAGAGACCGGGGTTCGGTTCCCGCTAAGGGCATGTACCTTGGTTGCAGTTTGTCCCCAAGGCCCTGGTTGGGTAGTACGGGTGGCAGCCACTCGATGTGTCCCTTTCACGTCGATATTTCTCTCTCTCCCTCCCACTCTACCTGAACAAAAAAATGGAAAAATGTCCTCAGGTGAGGTTAAAAAAAAAAAAAAGTCATGCACTTATTACCTTATATATCAGACCTCCAGGGGCTGAAGTCAGGGAGTTAGCAGCCTGTACTTTTTTTCTGAAAGCTCTAGAAGAAAATTAACTTTCTTGCCCTTTGCAGCGTTTAGTCCTCCAGCTTCCTTGGCTCGGGGCCCCTTCCAACACCTGCAGAGCCAGCAAGTGTAGGCGGGGTCCTGGCACCGCATCAGTCCGACCTCGTTTCCATGGTGACATCTCTGCCTGGACTTCCACCTTTGACCTGGAGCATCTCCCTCTTTCAAGGGCAGCTCATTAACCACCCTAATTCCACCTGCGACTTGAATTCCCCATTTGCCACTCAACCTTGACACAGATGCAGGTCCCAGGGACCAGGGTGTGGCCGTCTTCGGGGCTTCCGTTCTACCTACCACACCTGGCAGGGCGGCTCTGAGGGCCAGTTCAGATGCGGGGGGTCAACTGCCTTGGGCAGTGTCTGCTGCGCTTTGAGGGACTAGCGCACAGTAGCAGTCCTTGCTGGTCATTATTTTATTTTATTATTTTTAAAATTAAAAAAAGTTTTTTAGCCTCACTCAAGGACATTTTTTTTTCTTTTTGCATTTATCTTCAGATAGAGTGGGAGAGAGAGAGAGAGAAACATTAATGTGAGAGAGACACATGGAGTGGTTGCCACCCACATGGCCCCGGTTGGAGTCGGGGACAAACCACAACCGAGGTAGGTGCCCCTCGCTGGAACGGAATCCGGGTCTCTCTGGTCCGCGGGCTGTCGCTCTAACCGCGGAGCCAAACCAGCCAGGAACCTGTTCATTGTTTTAAATCTCGTCTTCACAGTGAACTTGGGAAGTAGGCTGGGCAGGTGCGATGGTCCCCCTCTGACCGGAGAATTCTCAGAGGGGCGAGGGATTGCCCGCGGCGGCTGGCTAGCCCGCAGAGGGAGAGGGGCTTCTTTGCAGTTGTCTCCATGAATCTTGGCTTGGAATCCTGGGGCAGGACCGATGGAAAGTTTTGAATGACAAAGCAGTTT